TGTTAATCAAAGCCACGCGTTCTCCTGCAGGCAATAAAACCTGTATATTCTTTTCCGTCAATCAATGAAGTTGGCGGTCTTCTCCCCGTTTCACTACAAACCCCCGCCCTTGGCGCTAGACTCCAGCACTTCATCAGTTCCTTTTGAAACTTCCGCCTCCACACTACTTCCTTGCCTGCGTCGCAAAGCCTGCCTAAATAACACGAGCTGTGAAACACTATTAAGAGAAAAATATCGCTAGCGTTTGTGGGATTTCTTCCCTTGAGGGAAACTCACAGAGTGAGAAGCAGCATTGTTTTATGGGAAATTAAAAATGCTCCTAGTCACCTGGCGACTCACTCCTTTGTCTGGTTAGTTTCGGCTACACCTCGTAAAGCCTACGGACTCGCCAAGACCGAATCTCTACGGTCGATCTGCACAGCTGACCGCCGCTATTCCGTGCTCGTCTCTCACTCTTACGCACTGCCTAGTTGTTCTATGGGTCCCTCTGTGGGCAAGGGTGGCTACTGACTTCAAATCTCAAGACCTGGTGCCAAATTGACGCGGAGCTCCTCAGTTGTAGAGCAGGGATGCGGGAAAGCAAAGAAAAGATGCGCCTAGTCTTGTATTATATATGTAGTGAGCATGAAAAAGAGGCCAAATTCAATCGTTTAGACTTTTGTTAGCTCAACGTCACAAACAGTGCAATAGCATTCGGTTAGGGCGTTGTGCGTCCCCATCTGACTCAGGGTTGTCCGCAGCAATTCTTACTGTCAGTGCTTGGTCAGGTCATCAAGGCACGCCAGAACGGAATGACAAACTTTGGGTCTTCATCCGTGGCGATGCTTTTGGCCATTCCATGGTACTTCCAAAGATGAGTTACGGATAATGACAGAGCTGGAACAAGGGGTGAAATGAGCATATTTCTTGAGGTTAACATACAACAGTGTACATGCTATACTGCTTCTTGGCCGTAGTCAGTGCAACAATGAAGTACATTCTTTGAACATTCCAAAACCTTTCAGGAAGCGAAGGGCTATGCCAGATGGAGTTTTTGGAGAATTCTGCGGCTTAGATTCCTGTCATGATAATGCATACTTCTCTGGGGAGGGAAGCTTCCGTGGCCACCGGGAGGAGCGGTAAAAATTTTCTACTCTCAGTGCGCCTCTCACCAGGATGTGAAGAAACACGACCGCTTTACGCAAAACAGCACTGAGGAGCAAAGCCGCTGTGAAAAACCGCAGTTTCCGCTATGCTTTAAGCTGCAGCGTGTCATCGAAATCGTGGTAGTGCTTCACCATTTTGGCAGTATGGAGTCTGGCAGTAGTATCGGATGCATGGGTGTCAAAAACATGCGATATACGCAATCTCTATGGCACCCGGCAATCATTACAGATGAGGACAATTAAGGTTCACAATAGTGAAGCGCTTGGGCATTGCGAGCGCGCATTTCCGACCATACTTTCAGCATGCTCCAACGTAAAGTCAAGCTGCAGGAGGCGCCCAAGCTGACAAGCTCTACGTTTCTCACCGTTCAGAAAATTCTTTGGAAGGTACTTCTAAGACTGATGCTTAGTCTAGAGAGTAAACTGGATTTCACATAAATATACCCGCATCATGCACCCACCACCACACCGCGTTGTATTCCTTTTCCCTCATCAGATAGAGCTGCTCTGTGTCGGTGAGGTGATAAGACAACGACCAACAATTTCAAGCTTCGGAGGTTTTGCAGTATGTTGGGGGAGAACAAGGACACATAGGGTGCCAAAGTCTCTTCGAAGGAAGAAATGAGGCCCATACCTGGGCAGCACGAGTTTCGGAAATGTAGTGCTGCGGCTGAGATGCGTCTTTGCTGCGGATTAAGCTCATCTGTGTGCTGATAAGCTGGTCAGTTAAGGGACCAGCGTTCCAAGCAAAACTGCTAATGGCTTTCGGTAGAAAGATAACTTCGCAACACCCCTGCAAGTGTGAGCCTGGAAAGCCATTGTATACCTGCCATTTAAGTTAACCTGGATTTGTGAGAGGGCGCCTACAATGTCAAAAGTCGAGCAAACTATTGATATGTGAAGTGTGTCAAGCAATTCGTTACTATGGGCGTTGGCAGATCCGGGTCCACTGTGATATAGTTGGAGAAAGTAACATCAACGCTCATGCGCCACCTTCCGTCCTTATCTGGGAATAACTTTGGGTTATTACCAAAGGTGCCTGGCTACTCCTGCACTTGGCTTTTTCAGCTTGTCATCCGGTATCCACCCAGGATTGACCCGGAATGGATCCCTGACGGGGGCGCAACGTGCACCGCAGCCTATCTTGGATGCTTTTCGTACACGTGATGCGTCGTCTTTGCTTGCTGAGCAGCCTGCTCTCACAGTCCAGCCGTTGTGTTGAAGCTTTTTCATGATTTTCACGCTTTTCCAGTTCCGGCCTATATGTCCCAATCTCCCATTGTCGAATCAGGTACGTAGTTGGACAGATAATTGGTCTGCTTGATGCCGCAAGCTCTTTCTAAATTTCTTTTTTTTTGGTTCTGGACTGCAGGCTATGACCGGTTGACATCGGACCTACGTCTACAGATTTGAAAGCCCAATTTATCTCGTTAGCTGCGCTGATTTGCTGCTGAAAACCACAGTAGTGGATCCTTCGTAAAAGTCAAACCGGTCGCACAGATTTTAAATTGCTTAGCTGCTGCTCATCCTCCAGCCACTTGGTGTGACCCTTTAGGTACACCCAACAAAAATATTTGTTAAAAGTAGCTGTCCGTTAGCTGCCGTGGCTGCTGTAAATCAAGTTTCAGGGTATTTGGTTCACGAGTCCATCGATACATCGCACTGGTTTTATCCTTCTCAATCCTCTCAGAGCTTGCTGCTGAGCTGATCTCGACATAAAATACTGAGTCTGGGCTTGCATGAAGGCTTGAACTGCAGTGATTGTTGCAGGCAGACTAGTTCCTCGAGATGAATTGAGCCACTTTTACAGTGCTTCTCCCTCCAGTACGCATTCCGCAAGGAGCACTCATTACTCTACATCAGTGGAGAGTAGAGTGAGATACAGCTTCAACCGGCTCATGAGGGCTTCGAGTGGTTGCCCCATGCTGATGGCCGTACTGAATCTTCTTGGGTAGCATAACTGCATCAGTGCACACACACGCATTCTGTTGGCTCACAAGCCATGCCTGCCTACCAGCTGTGCTACTGCGTTGACATCAGCTTCTAGGCCAGCCTTTGTCCGCCCAATAGAAGTGCAGCCACCGTGAGCGTCCCTCGCCATAGAGTTTGTGTACCGATTCTAGCAAACACCAGCTCACTAAATTGCCGGCTACGTAAGTAATCAACAGAAAACTGTCGTACGGAGACCTGATATCCAGTTGATGCACAGCCAGTAGGTGAGGGAGAAACGCTGCATCCAGCCTTACAGTACTGCCAGCTGTAGTACTTTATCTGGGATCTCCGCACGAAGACACTTAACTCAAGACTTATTGCACGGCTAACAGAGGGTTATTACATGTTAAGTAAAAGGACTTCCTCCCTCCGCTGACAGTGATCCTAACATTTACGAGCATTTCGGCTCATAACCAGCTTGTTTGTGCGTACTTGCACCCTTCAAGAGCTTTGAGCATTCATAGCAACCTGCCCACGCGCAAACAACGTTGCATCTTCTGGTAGAATGCGAAGGCTACCCTGCATATACAAGGAGTAAGGGCAGACAAGCAAATACGTCAATGCTCTGATAATTTTTAGTCAAATAGAACTAGTGTAGCACACAGTGTCGCAGTCTACCTTAGGCAACTACACAGGGCGGTGGGTAGACTGCATCCTGTCTCATTCCCCTTACATAAAAGCCTGATGGGCAAGGGCAGTGGATTCACGGTGCTACCTTAAAAAGATACCTATTAATTTTCTCTAGGTTTTATTAAGTCCTGGGGTTTGTGTCTTCCCACGGAGATGCTGCATGTACCGCAGCAGTAGCCTACGGCATAGTAACAGAAAATTCATTTCTATGATAGGGCTTTGTCTACCCCGCTGCCATAACAGCTAGAAGATGGTGCCATGGCAATTAGTATAGTCAGTACTAGAGCAAATTCAATAAATATCCCTATTGTGGGAGAAGCTCTCTGAGCTCTGCGTACAGAGCGAAAGTAGCCACGCGAGGACATCCATGAATTTAAGATAAAGCCAAAAGGAAAAACTGAGCGACAGCTTAATTAATGTCATACATGTAGGAAAATCTGTTTATGGGTAGACTGGCCCACGTCATTGCACGTCGGCGGAGCCTTAACCAGCATTACCAAGGAAGGTAGAACACAAAATCTTTTGAGCACCCTGAGACATCCCTGTGAGAGTTTAGTGCATTTTTCTAGTCTGAAACGAGCTCAAAGACTGGGAAATGAGCTAACGCGGTACTGTTTCGCTAAGGACATGGGCGTCCTTCCACCGAAAGTCCCACTTTGTGCGATATGGTTTATGAGGCGACCATTCTAGCGTAGCTTCACTTCAAGCCACAATTCTTTAAACACTACTCCTTTGAAGTGCAAGACTGTGCGACATGTGATATTACTTCTTTTAAGATTCTGAGGCAGCTGTATTGCTTCCTGACGCTGCGGGCCACTGAGCGTTTGTTTTAATGCCTGCGTAGCCAGGCCGCTCCGCCTCCTGCATACAACAGCTCTCTGAGTGATTCTTTCACCTGGATCAAAGTCAGACACTACCTGTATTATTCATTGCTTGTCAATTGTCCTTATTGAATAAGGCAGCCCACAAGGGGCTCCGGCAGTGCACAGCAGTGCGTTGGCTGCCATTTTGGGCTACGCACTTGCGAGGCATACCGGCTCCCTTCAAGCTCCCACTTGTTTGGCATGACGTGCGTATGCGCATGGGATGGGAGACTGTATGCTGCCACTCTCGCCCACAAGCAGAACCGCTGCGTGAGCAGTACCTATCCCTTTGGTATTACTTTGTTCCAACTTCTCAGCACACCTAGTTGGAGTTACAGGGGTACAGTAGCTCCAGACCTCCAGTGACAGCATGGGCCAGTCAGCCACCAAGTCCGGCGTTGTGGTTTGGGGACCAATGGTATGTCCTGCTTTGTGCCCGATATCTAGGACAGAACCTGAAACCCTAGAGGACGGACCTCCTGAAGCACTCAATTCCAAGTCTTCTCTCTAGATCATGGATAGTGCAGCAGATCCTCATGATCTCTTTTATATAAAGACGTGAGCCTGTATCTTTGTGGGTGTTTTAGGAATCTGAGGACACAGGCTGGGATGGAAGCTCTCCAGACGCCTTTGAGAACCCTTCTGTTGGCTTGTCACCCACAGCACTTCCCAATCAGGGAGTCGGCTCCGCAATCTCTAATCTTCAGCTCCGTCTGGTAGATGGGCTCAAGGCCACTGGGGTGAGAGCTGTCGCTGCAGGTGGCAAGCATTTTGCCTGTCTCGTCCAGACCGGGGATATTTTTGTTTGGGGGGCAGGTGCACAGGGCCAGCTCGGTCTGGGAGACTGTGCAGATGTCGTCTGCCCCAAGATTCTGAGGCCTGTGCAAGGCAAATTAGTTCAAGCGGTATGTTTTGGCCTCCTACTGCAGTTTGTCGCTTGTCTACTAGAGGTCAAGAGCCCCAAGAAAGTTTGTCACCGCTAATTTTGAGCTTTTCATGATTTTGCTGTATCATGACCTCGACTGTCTTACCGCAGGTCTCTTGTGGGTTTCAACATACAGCCTGCGTGCTTCACGATGGCTCCGCGTTCACATGGGGATGCGCTCTGCATGGCAGACTGGGTCTGGGTGGTTTAAATCTGCCACAAGGTGGAACTTTCCTGGGGGAGGAAGACCTGGCCTATACTCGGCAAGTAGTCTCCGTGCCTCAGCATGTAAAGGCCCTTGCAAGGAAAAGTGTCACTGACGTATCTTGCGGAGGCTTCCACACGGCGTTCCTCGTTGTTAGCGGAGATGGAACCGCACTGTACACCTGCGGCCTTGGTCTGTCCGGCCGCCTTGGTGAGCCTTCACAATAGCAGCTTCTGTTTCTGCTGTTATTCTTGACGAACGAGTCTCTGCCAGGGGTACAACTTGTAGTTAGAGAGAATTACGTGTTCTTTGTATCATTCTGATTCACCCGAGCGTATGAGTGCCAGGTGTGGGAGACGAGGACGATCGCCACACGGTGAGTTTCGCCTGGGGCTACTGCCCTTCACCTGATCGCCCTCCCACACACATTGCATCTGCAGTGAACTGGGCGTATTCCGCCATCTCAATCTTTCCAAGGACCATACTGGATAGAACCATTATGTAGTGATTGTAATACCACTTGACGTGGGTGATTCTCAGCCGGAAAAAGTACAGGGGCTTGAGGGCCTTGTCCTCACAGCTGTTGCCTGCGGAGGCCATCATACAGGTGAGGCTCTTTCAGGCAATCGAAGCCTAAGCATGAGAGCGGAACACAGAGAATTCCAGTTGCTTCGACGCCTAGTTCTGCTGCTTGCCTTTTGATGTGCCTGCAAGCTGTGTGTTCCGTTGCTGGTGTGTCCAGCCTGCATTGCTTCGCCGGGGTGCCTATACACTTGGGGAGGTGCAGCCTTTGGGAAGCTGGGTCTCGTCTCCCATTCCTCCGTCCTGAAGCCTTCAAAAGTGGGGGGTCCTTTGGTGGGAAAGGTACTTTGCCTTGGTGCAACCGTTGTTAGAGTTGAAGGCTCTGTGGAGATAGGCTCTCAGGAGAGCTAAGGACATGCTTATTTCGGGGACATTAGAGACTTAGGATAGTCTGGTGCAAGACAGTGTTACCTTTAGGGAGACGCCTCTTAGTAAAGGTTCTCGCGTCCAAAGGACTTGCAGCCTTTTGCCCCAAGTAATCCATTTGGAGGAACCCTTCCTTATAGCTTCGACATCGCAGCGGCTTGATTTGCTTTTGCTGCAAGCTTTCAGGAGAAAAAACAGCTGCGATAGCGGCAAAGGCGTACAATAGATGAGAGACTTGAGCAGTGGAGATGCCACTAAATATTTCGAGAGCACTTCAGCTTTAAATACCCCTACGCTGGTGCATCGCATTTTCTATGCCGGTCTGTTTTCTGCTGCTACAGATGGTTTCTTCTGTGGCCCTTGGGACTCATCACAGCGCCTGCACCACCACAGATGGAGAGCTGTATACCTGGGGTCAGGGGAGGCGCGTCAGTCTCTCCCTCCTAGCCCACCAGAGCCCTTTTAACATTTAGAACAATGCATGTCCTATACATGCCCACCAACCTTATGTGCCTAATTCCTTGGTCGGAGTAGCTCGCTCTCTATGGCGTGGATCCCTTAACGGAACTCCGTGTATGAGGCCATTTTCCATGCTGCAGATGCACTCCAAGCATCTGGCTCTGTCGTTTCTGTAGGGGGCTGCCTAATATGCATGCTGAACGATTAGCGACAAATCAGTAATTTGTATTTTTGCTCTGGTTGTGTATGTGGCTCGTCTGGTGCAGCTGGGACACGAACAGAGCGGAGAAGCCGACCAGCCACTGCCCCGCCGAGTGGAAGCTCTCGTTGGGTTTTTTGTCCATCGGGTCGCATGCGGGGAGAGGCATACAGTCTGCGTTCTGAATTCGGGTACTCCTGTGTAGGAATCTGATCTTCCGGCGTTCTCTATCCTTTCCCCGCGTGTATCTCCGTTGCCTTTTATATGTACGATTGTTGGTTTTCTCCTTTACATGTATATGCGGTTGCATTTGGCCCAGTTTACCCCTTGTGTCTCTTGTTGTTTGTCGTTCTTTAAGCCTTCTTTCCAGGCTTCAAGAGTGTGATCTCTTGCTAGATTTTCCCCCTCCATATGTTTATTTGTTGAGCGCCTGGCTGTACGCCTCTTTCACACTATGTTTCCTGCATTCCTGCTTCTCAACTGCTGTCTTTTTCTACAGGGGACATCTGGGCCTGGGGCACTTCCCGCGTGAGTTTTTCCCACATCCCCCATAGACACAGACAATAGGGAGCAGCAGTAAGAATGAGTTATTGAGACTGCAGTGTTTCTTTGTGGAGCTGCATCGTTATTCGCTAACGGTGCAGGTACAGCAGTAACTTAACATTTACGTATGCGGCCGTCTAGCTCTTCCGTATCTGTATATTTGTAGGAACGCTTAGTGATGTACCTGCATACTTCGAGATAATTTTGGCTGTATACATTCTTCTCAATGTTGTGATGGGTAGACTCAATCCAAGGAGCTAGCTGGTACACGTTTTTCTTTGCGCGCTTTGCTTTTTGCTTCCAAGGCCGCGCTTTATTGACGTCAATCCTCTTTGTTTTTGCATTTATCGCCAAAGCTGATCCCTGTAACCGAATTTGTGAATCAGATGCACCTGCCGTTGCCTTTTGACATCTCCCCACCGTTTCTGCTGGAGTTGTCAGGCGTATGCGGCCTCTCGTATTAGGCATTAGGCATATGCCGTTCGTAAAACTGTGTTGGTTCTGCGCATTCCGCTATGTCCTTAGGCCGTGGGCCACGGGGATCCCTCTGTCCCTCCCAATGCTCCCACTCCTCTTCGTTTACTGAGAGGAAAAGGGGTATCCAGCGTCGCATGCGGGGGCCCCCGATCCATCGCCCTGTGCAACGCCAGCCATGCGCCTTCAAGGGCAACAAATGAAGGGCTCTACAAAAACCCTTCTTCAAAGGCTGTTGATCCAGCTATACTAAACAGCCGAAAAACAGGAAGCCATCAGTCGCAGCATTCTACGGAGCCCCATGTGATGGAAGATAGCGGGGGGCCCACTCCCGTCGTAGCATTTGCAGAAACTTCAGGCAAGCGAGGCTCGCCTCTTAAAGGTCAGTGAGAATGAGAAGCGGGGAGGCCCATAGTAGAGTGGCACACATACAAAATACAGGACAGCCTTTTGACAAAATAAGAGCTCATAAACAAGTAATACAGCTAGTTGTGGCAGTGAAAGTTTGCACGTCTTGGGATTCGCTCCAGGTGATGACCAGCCCATAGGATGCTCCGGAGAGGGTTGTGGCTCAGACGCAACACGCTCCACTTTACTTGAAATGGAGGTGAGATAGAGGCTGCTGAGGAATGTATTCTGTCTAAAAGGATTTGGCGGTTATGGGTATAGCATGCCACCCACAGGTGGTTCCTTATTTATTTCTATTGAGATCAAATGGAAACTACGCGTCTTGCAGAGGGGAGCAAACAAAGGAGATACATCACCAGAGGCCCTCATCGCCCACTTAGACCGTGAATTGCAAGCCGCCCGCATGGACAGTCTTCTACTTGCTGCGTTGCTCAAGGGAGCGGCGACGGAGGTGAGTAGATGTTTGCTCCACTAACACGACATGGGCGAAGTTATGTAAGAAAAGGCTCATTCAGATATGGAGAGGACACGACGCAGGAATAGGCTTTGCGAAAGGAAACACCGCAGGGACAGAGGCACGGAGAGAGAACTGATGAGTCAGAAAAAAAACTGACTTAGAGCTAGGGATGTTTGTGATGCTGTGTCTCGCTGTTTCGCCCTGCAGCTTGATGCAGCCCTCCAGAGAATCAGACAGCTCGAGGCTGAGGTCAAAGTGCTAGAAAAGGTTCGCTGGATTCTACGAACCTGCGAGAACACTACCCGCACTCCCCTTGACTTCCTACCTCAGCGCATTTGTTTACAGCATTCCACAGAAACTCTTCTGCACAGTCATGGAGGTCCCATGATTCTGACTATCCATGCTTGGTGCTGCTTGGTCTTATGCTGCCTTAGAGTTCAGCTGACGCGGGGGAGCGCCTCGCAACACTACGAGGCCATTACGAGCAGCACATAAAGGAATTAGGACAGCAGCTGGCGCAGCAGGACGTGCAGTTCCATGCGGCTCTTGCTGCCCGCAGCGGCGCTGCTGTTGGCAGCGGAAGCCACGCCCAGGTGGGAGTAGGCTCCCAGGCAGCTTTGTTGCAGCACCTTAGTTTAGAGGAGGCCCTCGCGGATCCCCTGGGGTCGCAAGGACCCTCATTCTTTTTGCGACCAAGGGGTCCCGGCAACAATGCGCCTGCAGAAACAGCAGGAGGTAGCAACACCCCGTTGGGCGTGCCCGCCCCCTCCAGCCCCTCTCGATTTGAGAAAAACGAGGGTATGTGTACCCAAGGAATGGTACCGAAGCCCAGAGGTGCGGAGACATTCATGCTCCCCCTCTCAACTGCTTATGGATCTTCTGGGGCAGCCAGACCCCACCAACAGCGGCATCCGAAGCAGCCACCGGAGAGTAAGGAGGCATGCACCATGAATAAAGCCTTTGTAGCGCAGGATCCAAGTGGCGGAGGATCTTCTCCCGCGATTCCCATCTTTGTATTGGATGACAGTGAGAACCCTTGGCTCTAAAATTTCCCCTCTTCCTCCAAACCATTTTCCATACTTTTTCGTAAAATGACCCTCCCTTCACTCCATGAGGCCCTTTGTCACGCCTACATTGTCAATTAATACGGTCCATCCTTTTAAAAGCTAGAACCCCTGTAGAGACCGCTTACAAGCTCTCCTGTGCCACCTTACTCAAATATATACCTAGGCCACTCAAATGCTGGCTCTGTAGCCTACAAAAAAAGGTATTTAGTAAGCTCTCCACTGTTTCTAAAGTTAGCTACTGTTTTAAAAGTTAGTACTACTTCAGGAAGAAACAATTAAAGAGTGCTCAGACACGAGGTTGCCAGCCACGAAAAAGGCTTAATAGTGCCAAAAAACACCTGACCTTCACAAGACCTTTCCATGGATGTAACAGCTATGAGGAACTTCACCAACCAGAACCCGAGCCGTATTTTCTAGCACTACTAATCAAATGTGAACCTAGTGATGCTATCCTTGATCAGGGGACAGTCGATATGCGCCTGTCTACACGCATAGGGGCTAGGCGCTCTGTTGCGCTACTCTTGAACAACATTCTGCATAAAATAACAGACAGGCACTGTAGAGGCTCTGAACACAGCTATGCGGTAAATTCTTTGTGCATGAAGTTGACTATAGGGGCATTAATCGTCTTGATTTGCGTCCAGTCTGAGCTTCTTTCTCATTCCGAGTTCCACCTTGCCCTGCTTAACATATCTTTTCTTCCGAATTTCCGTTTGTTTTCGCATCTTTTCTTTTTCCACTTTAGCATTCTTCTGCATTTTTATCTTCAGCTTTTCTTGTTGTTTCTCTCTTCGTTGCTCCTCCCTCGCGTTCCTAATGGTCTGCAGCCGCTGTAACAGGGCGGCCACTCGTTTGTCGTACGCCGATACCAAGGGCTTTTGCATATCCTTCTCTTCCTGTAATTTTTTCCCTCTCAGCTTTTTAAGCCGAGACACGACTGGTTGCAACTGCGGAAAGGATAAAACAGACATGAAACACATTGCACACAATACAGAATAAGTCTGAAGGACTACGAAAACACCTCTAGCGGAGCAGAGAATATAACCCGTGAAAGACATTAAGGTTTGCAGCAACCATGCAGGAATAGAAGAGTTTAAGGCATAGAAGGGCTGGATAAAAGACCGAAACAAACATCCACAGTGCGCTTTCATGGCCACACATCACGCTATATACATTTGAACACTCAGTGTACGAGCACACGTGCAGAGCAATACATGACACGCTCCGGCGTTACAAAAGAAGGTTGTACGGCAGTACTAACGACGGCAATAAAAACAGCACTTGTAATAGCCACAGCAACAACAGCATCAGGGCTTGCCTTGGGTCTTGCGTGGAACGGCAGCTTCATAGCGAGCTGTTTGGGTATTTTGATTGGGTTAAACTTGCGTTGCACTCTGGTGGGACCCCCATACGGCAGCAAGTTAGCATCCTTATATGGAAGAGGCAGCTGCTTTGCCTGCCGGATTTCCGCATGACTCCTCAAACGTCTCCACGCTGGCACATCGAGCACTGGGTTAAAGAATGGCCGGGGCGACACCTGTGGAAGAACCGCAACAGAATCACAAGAGGCGCCCCTGAGTCCTCCGTCATCAACCAGCTGGTTTATACATGCGCGTAAGCACAAATTAGGCTAGACCTTACACAGTTGTACCGAAATTCAGTAATTCAAGGCTGTAAGCATTTCTTCTACGCAGATCCATGAATACAAGCAAGCAGATACACATGCAACACAGGAAAACAGAATGTATTTGGATGCGGCTTACCTTGATCCATGTCTTACAGATTATCAGATCTGACATAAGAATTTTATCCTCGAAAGAAGCGCGGAATGTGCCATCCATCCCCACAGCTTTTTTTATCTGACCCCTAATGCCAGACGCTGTCTGTATCTTAGCACCTGTAAAACCATACCCGTTGCACCACAAAGTCGAGAAACGTATGAACTATGAGGAAAGCGACCAAGTATAGAGCTTCCCGAACAAGTCACAAACAACTGTACAGGAAAGGCGGCATTACGTCAACACTCACAAATGCACATGCATCTATCTAAGTATACTGTTAATGTGCCACCACATGCTTGAACAAATCGGTAAAGTATAGATATATATGCAGTGAAAAATACTTTACCCCTTAACTCTTTTGCTTACTGATGCATCTGTTGACTTCTAGGTCGGAGTTAAACATGCCCTTGATAAACGCAGTGTTTTTAAATACATTCTTTGCCTCTCCTATGAGTTTCAGTTTCTTCTGGATCTTCGGTTCCGGTGTCATCTGCAGGGCAACTCCAGATGCCGCAATTCGGTAACTCGCGACGGCCCGGAAGTCGCTGATGGCTAGCAGAGGAGTTGACGGTGGTAGAGCCGGAGCGTAAATGTACGCCAGGCAGTGCAAATGCTCCGGCGTGTATTTTAAGTACTTCACTCTGCAACGTAACATAGCCAAGGATCAAAAAGAGCCACACCACCAAGGCACAATAATCTCATCCAAAGCCTCAACCAAACTCCACACCCCGCAGACAGCCTGCATCAACTACCTCCGCAGCCGTATAACCTTACAGATCGGACCAAGTAACGCACCATAGTACGCTTAACTGGCGACCCCACGGCTTCCCGTAAACGCACCTCGTTTCTCCACGATCTTCCATCGCGTAAATGGGTAGGGATTGGAAACGCCGCCATCCAGCGCTGAACAGGAGTGGGTCACTACTCTTCAAGATCCTCGGGGCCCAGCGGTGCTTCCTCAGCCGGAGCTGCAAAAGCACTCAATTGAGACAAAGAAATTTCAATCTGCTGGCAATGCAATATGACGGACACTTTCGTATTTAATAAGGCTGAGTTCCGGACCCGAAAGGCCTTGGCGAAAACTTTACTGAGAAGTACGTATACATACGTCGCCTACCGAGCAGATGTACCTGCATAAAGGTGCACTGAAGCTCTCCGGCGTTCAGACCCCCTAGAACAAGTGGACGTGATAAGCTAAGACCCTCCAGCCACTGAATTGGAAGGTTTGCGATGCAAATCTTTACATATGTGCCAATGGGAAAACCTCCCAGGGTTTCCTCCGATCCCTTAAATGCCTTGATTGCTGCCTTCAGGCCCTCCTGCTGCTGCGCCTCCTCTGTATAAAAGCAGCCACACACGGCATGCACTGAGCTGTGCTGAGAATAACCCCCTCTAAGCACAGGCAAAAGGGGCGGTAGACAAAGTCACACGGCATGCAAGGAGACTAGAAGCCCTGCCGACAAAATGCAATTGTTTTCCATAGAATAACCGTACTTTCGGCCCTTTGCTGCTCCTCTGTGACTTCCTCTGCACTTGTCGAGTCCTCCTTGGTCGCTTCCTTTGCCTGCTCCAGCTCCAACCATCCCCCGGTTATGAAGAAGCGCCTCTACGGTTACAGGACAGCAATAGGTTTCACCGCAACAGAGTGGCTAATATATTGGACCCAATAAGAGCGACAACTGCTCGCCGTAACACAAGACAAACCCTAAGCAGCAATATCCAAACAAGGCGCTTCGACACAAATAGAATACAGATCAGCAAAAGATTGAGCAGAAAGACCTGACTGACCTTAAGCGCTTGCATAAAATCCGGAGTCCAAAAAGACTCAATCCCGCCGTGATCTTCTGACTCGAACCCGAGAGCCTTGTAGATAGCCGCGGCTTCTTCTGAGGGGCTGTCCCCCCATTCAAACTCTGCGCTAAGGCCAGAGGCCGTTGCAGGGAGAGGTAGGTTACCAAAGAGCACATGATTGCGGTGGACTCCTCGTTTCTGTGCAGCGGACTCCATGATCTCTTTATCCTCCGACCCGGAGGTGCTGCCGTCAGAGTCCTCAAAGAGAGAAAGCTGCCCTTCAGGGCGGGCCCCACTCTTGATTCTGCTGTCGGTATTGTAAGCCCCGTTACCCTGCTCCGGGTGCCCATACACAACATCTGCCAGGGAATTCCGAGTCGCTCTTGAACCGCTCAGATGCTGCAGCACACGGTCTCCTGTGCCCCTTGGCTCGTCTATATCCGAGGAGCCATCAGTGTCAGTGTCTGTTTCTGCAACAGCCCAACGTTCCTCCTCTAGTTCCTCTGGATCTCCGTCGAAGAACAAATGGCCCGGCTGATCCGTAGAGGCCTCCGTCTCTACTACACGTCGGGGCGGTGGTACTGACCTGTCTATACACCGTGTGGATGAGTCGAGCAACTGCATTTGCTGTGACTGGAGCTGCAGGCTCAGTTGCTGTTCCGCCCCTTGCAGCTCCCGCACCATCTTAATCGCTGGCTCCAACTCCTTTTCAGCCTCTTCCTCTGTTTCGGTGTCTGAACTGCTGCTTTCGGTAGTAGCAGAAGAGCCGGACGCTTCCTCATCACTTTCAGAGGCCTCGCTCTCACTGTCGCTGCTTGTTCCTTCACTATTGACTTCATCTTTTCCCTCCTTTATGAGTTGTGCTTTGGGTGTAAATCCAACCTGTGGTTGCCCGTGCATGTTAAACCCCCACGCAAAACAGCTCAAAGTCACAGACGCTAATAACGTCGTACAGCAAAAAGCAACAGAAGCACTAATCACCCCAAGTAAAAAAGAAGCTATACTCTTCAATACACTCCAAAAGATGGGCTTTGGGTGCGGAACACGCAGCAGGGCCTACCTTAGTGTCAGGGAGGTGTATGTACATCGCATCATCGTCTATCCGCATGCCCCCTATGTCGCAGTCCGGTGCATATATACAGCGCTCTTTCTCCTTCAGAGCCCGTGCTGCTCGCGACCTCCTGCGCTTTGTGAGAGTGCCTTCAGTTCCTTCAGCGGTAGCTCCTCCCAAAGGAGCTATTTCAGCTGATGCAGCGAGCGGGAGCGTCTCGTTTTTCTCCCTAAAAAGACACGCAAAATGAATGCACAGGCAAAATGCAGATACCGCTTTAGAGTTTTTTCTCCCGTAATCAAGGACAATACCGGGCAAAGAAAGAAGTCTCGAGCAGCCACGTGCGCCTGAACGGGGTGGACAGAAACTACAGGATACCGGCACAGGCACATAGGCAACTTTCGGAAAAGACATGATTTCGTGCTGCCTCAATTCAAAAGAGCATGTCATGACGTATGTACGCTCTCCCAGCTTATCTCCATGGGCCTCACTCTGCACAGGGAGCCGGACAGGGGTCTTCGCACTTGGACACAGACAGCACAGGGAAATCCCCTGCCCCGGGGATGTGCACTGTCAGCCCCTCCCGCAGTACAGCCCCCCTAACGTAACCGTAAACCACACAGATCCTGCCCTCATGTTGATCTTGCAGCTGATGCTCCTGCTGCGGCTGTATGTCGCTCTGCGCGCTACCGCCCACGGGCTGGCCGTCCCCAAATCCTTGTCTGACGTCGGATTTGAGCGCGAGGAGATAAGGGTGCGATGCGCGCCACTGCAGTGGCCTGAGCTTTTGTACAGACAGGAATCTTGCAAGATTAAGAACATCTCTGTTAAGGTATTTGCTGTTCCTGAGGCCGCTGAGAAAAAAGAGCTTCGCACCATCGTAGAGCTCAGCCCAGAAACGGTTTTTCAACTCCTTCTTCCGCCGCTTGAGGGTCTGTTTGTTGTTCAGCGTGTCCAAATGTGTCAGTACACCCAGCACACGAGGCATCCCATGTGTCTGCATCATATTTATGAATTCGAACGTCTCCATTTCAAACCTGTAATAAGCAAACACAAAGCCCAACGCCTTGTGATAATCCTTACGCTTTTAACAGCAAATATACCCAGAGGTAAATACCAACAACAGTCTCAAGAAGTGACGGCATAGTAGCGCTATCCATTTTATGCGCACAGCAAACCCTGCATATCCAGTAATGCTGAGTAACCCGCGTCGCAAGCACACGAACACCAGCCGGGCGATTCTCTGAAATTGTCTATTGTCATTCCATGCGAGATGCTCCGCTCGCCAAATAAAAAACATGCATTGATATTAAGCGGTAGCCACAGCACTTTAGGAGCTAAGAGCCATGCGATCTCACCCGTACTGAGCGTCAATAAGAAGCAGCGCTATATCCGCCACCTTGGCTGCATCGAGCATGCCGGCCGCGTCATTCGGACACTCAATGAATGTGAGGCGCCGCTGTTTTGAAGCCACGACAGTCACGGGCCCCCGCAAGGCCCCCACAGTCCTCCGCGCGTAGTGACGAGCCAGACAACGAATTAACAAAGATTTTCCGACCTGAAAGCACATCGAAGCCCCAGTATCCAAACATTTGACCGATAAAATCACCTTCTTCAAAAGCTTGCGATGGGAACAATAACCGGCCCTCAAGACGCGACGAATACTAAAATGTTGTAGCCATGCGTATCTGGCAACTGATAAACCTTATAAATGTTTCCATGGCAGCAGCAACTAAAGAAGCAAATAATTCGTATCGCACTCCTGGAGGCCCCTGAACGACGACGGTATACGGGGGTGCGACTTCCGGTGTTTTATCAACGACAGCTTTATGTTCCTTGAGCGTCGCCTTGTCGAGAGAATGCTGTACTCTTCGCTGCACGGAGACCACTCCCCCACTGAAAGTGAAGGCCTTAGGGTTGTGCCGCTTGTCGTCTGTTGTGGCGCCCAGGGCTTTCTTTTTCTTCTGCCGCTCCTGGCGGGAGGCCTTAATACCTGCCTGCTTTGCCCTGTGGCGCCGGTTATGCTGTTCTGTCTCCATATTTGGAAGAAGCACAAATTGATTTCAACCAGGACCAGCCCTCCCGGCAAACCTAGCCAGCAGAGGGCCGGTTAGGGCTACTGCAGGGTTCACAGGGGAAACTACAGGGAGCCATACATTGCTCGCACGCTCCAGCTAAAGAATCGAGAAAAGCGCAACCGGCCTCAAGGCCATACGATAAAGAATCAAGGAACGAAGGAGTAAGAAGCAGGCAGGGCGCCAATAGCGAGGGTCCCTTTCGAAGTGATTATACAAAAACAGACTGGAGAACGTAGAAGGCACGCAAGCGTCCGGTATATTGGATCTCTGCTTTAAACAGAAGGGAGAAGAGGAAGAAGTAGGAGGGATTTCAGAGCGAGGTCCTCCGCTCAATGTTCGAACGGGAAGATAAACAATACTACATTGAGAAGTCTTCCATGTATATTGTGGGCATTTATGAAGGAATAAATAAGGTAGCAATAAAAATAACACATCCTCATTCAAGCAATCAAGCAAACCATGGCATTCCAAGCCTAGACCCCGCAGAAGTCTGGGGCCTCGTTCCGCATGCTCTGAAGGGGCCCCAGTGAATTTGCTTCAAAATCACCTCCCGTCCACTTCATGGTGAACACAGAACCGATATATATTGCATATAATCCGGCTGTGTTTAGAGAGAGCAGGCACAGCACGAGTGGAGGCAACTTCTTGTGTGTGAATCACTTCAGGGAGCGCACCTGGTGCTTAACGACTAACTGGAGGCGACAGGCGTTGTATTTATTCTTTCTTATTTCTGTCCAAATTATATTGTTCTAAGTGAGTGCTTTTTCGCTACGCACCCTCGACTACATCCAAGATGCCCAAATCTGCCGAATTTGAGTGCAGAGAAGTGCATTCCTATACACGTCGTTAGCATTTTTTTTTCGCCGCGGATGGAGCTTCGACACAGTAGAATATATATAAAGCGCTCTTTCAGGTGGAGCAAGAGGAGCCTATGTGGCATGAAGTAGGCATATGTTCAATTTCCTCCTATCTGTGGTTTCTCCGCCCGTTTTACCTCTTCAGCAGCAGTGCCGCTTGTTTTCTCCTCAACCGCCTGATTTACCCTTTTCCTCACTCCCTCAGTGCTCCCTCTCTCTATCAGGTGCTGCCTACCCATAACGGACATCTCCTCTTTGCCTCCCTCGTATTTAACATTTACCGTCCGACGAATGCCAAACAGCAATGGCTTTTCCCGTATCTTATCAGCGTCGAGGGTTGTCTTGTGATATGACGCGTCTTGGTAGCGCAGGTGCGCTTCCTCCTACAGGAGATAATGCAGAATCTTTGCCGTCGCGGGATGGCAGTCGTGCAGAAGATCCCTTGGCCGCGTTTCGTCTGGGTATTTTGACATTGGAACAGCCCACGTTCTATGGACCTTCTGGCTTCATCAGCACGGCATCGGGTACACGTGTTAGTCGCAAGACTCTGCTGTTTGGCAGTCAAAACATAACCATTGCGGGGGCCTCGGTTTTAAACGACGGTGTGGTGTTGCGGGGAGACCTGGCGTCACTTCGACTAGGCCGGTTCGTGTGGGTTGGAAGGAATACGTTGCTCCAGCCCTGCAGCTGCCGCAGCAAGGGGCAAGTGCAGCACGTGCCGATGACTGTGGGAGACTGCTGCATCATAGGGGACGACTCCGTCGTGCAGGCGGCGTCCGTGGGGGCCTGTGTTGAGATAGGACCTCGTTGTGTTATCGGCAACAGGTGTCTTCTTAAGGACTTTTCCCTGGTCTTGCCAGACTCCGTGCTACCCCCAGACACAATCGTGCCTTCCTTTTGTATCTTTGGAGGAACGCCTGCTCGGATGTTGGGCCAACTTCCAGAGGCTTGGGGCACCAAGCACAGACTCAGGGCGAAGAACAAATATAGACTGTTCGCCCTCGACGCCGCAACAGACAACGCAGGAGCATCTGTCACAGCAGCAGCAGGGATGCAAACCCAGGGGTAGCGGCAGTCCCCCCGATGGCACATATCTACGATTACCGATCGGAATTTTTCGTGCTTTTGTATGATGTAGAAAGGGGGTTAAGAAGCTAGAGATTCTAATCGGTTTCTAGCGATACAGGTACATTGTAATAGTGGCAGCACATAGTCTGTATGTAAAGGATCAAGACCCGTAACTTGCCAAAACGATAAAGTACAGCTACTCCACCCAGGTTGGCGTACACTCAAGATAATAAAAACAAAATCCAAGGGCGAATTGGTGAAGCAGCTATGTTAAGAGCCACCAGGTCTACGAGCACCTAAAAGTGGTGAACGATGACTGCTCTGCAGTCCATTCAGGACCACCTAGTTGCATAAAGAGTCACCGAAACTGCATTCTACCGCCCATCCCCACCCCATCCTTTAAGCTATTTGGCCAGTCAAACATCCGTTCATTGCAGCATTCGAGCTGCCTCACTACGAAACACAACTGACTTTTACCCTAAATACAAATCTTGTGCTGGCCTGTCCCCTATTCCTGGTTCTGCCTTCCTCAGTCTCCTTGGAGCATAGCCGACTGCGGCATTCTGTTGCTTTGCCTGCTGTTGCTCCATGCTCTGCAGCAACACCTGCTGTTGGTGCACTTCATTCGAAGTGGGAATTCCCCACAGCCCCTCTGCTCTTGTGCTTGCTTCTGCCATGACAGCCTGTGTGTTTTGGGGGAGTGGTTCGGGTAGCTGGAGCTGCGGTAGTTGGAGTTGTAGCTCCAATTTTCTGTACTTTCTCTTGAAGTCTGCGACTTGGGGGTCCTGATCGAGAGCCCAAGGGGTCTCTGTGCGCTGGTAAAGGTGTGGCGGGGGGTAACGGGGTAAGTAATCAGGCACATGGGGGGGCCTCCTTTGATGCTGCAACTTTTGGCGTCCATTGTCCGGTGGAGAAGGGCCATCGTGCTCCTTACTGTTTTGTCCCATCAGATCATATACTAGCCAGGAGTCCTCTGAACTTACAATAGCGGGACCCCCAGTCTTGAGGGGAAGCTGTTTTGGGGGCCTTGGCGCCACTGGGTCAACTGCGGCAGCGAAGAGCAATGCGTATGCCGACGGACACACAAAACGTAGAGCCTGCTTGATGTCACAGTAATTAGCAGCAGCTGTGCCCCTTAGAGTTGCAAATAGGCGCGCCTGTCGTCCGACTTGCTCAATTACTGCGCCCATCCAGGCAGCGCCCAGTTCCAGGGCTTCCTGCTCAGCTGAGCGCACCCCCTTGAATAGGAGGATCCACGCAGCGCTGCGCTGCATTAGCTCGCAGTAGTAAACGCTCTCTGGACACAAGAAGGGGCCAGCATCAGGCCTCAGGGAGAGTTCAGCAGGGGCCTCTGGGGACTCCGCAGCAGGAGCCGCAGAGGCCCCATCGCCGCCCGTAGTCATATTCGCTTTACCCTGCTCCGTATACCCTGTGATTCATGGCGAGTATGATGTGAGAGCGCTTCTAATGAACAAATTCACAAGTACTGCAATTTCAAGAGGCACCCACCCGCACCGCCCCATGCAGCCTCAGTCGCCTGTCGGGAAAAACGGCAACGAAATGAAGCGGGACTGTCCACGTAAGAAAAATAATGCAGGAAGGAGGTTGAAAAGGATTAAAGGGAATTCAAGTGAGCAAGAAGGGGGACCTCACGCAGAGTTTGTCTGCGCGCGCCTCAACAGTCCCACCGTTCAGCGTCTCCACCTTACCTTTGCAATTGTGTGGCAACCTTGGCAGTCCTCGGTAGTTTTTAGCACCAAACGCCTCCACAAGCGTATAAGAGAAGCTTGTTAAAGTAACGTTTTCGCTAAACTAGCAAAGATAGAGACTTTTCATTTATTTTCACTATTTTCAGGGACACCCAACCATCTGTAATTTCTTTCGAATTTCGCGTCTCCTAATTGGTTAGGCCAAGCTTCTAGATTAAGATAAGCGACATATAGGCTGATTAAAAGGTATCCTATATTGTCACTGTTATTGTAAACAGAGGGTGCTATCCCCCTTCAATATGGCTAACAATCCCAACATTGGTCGAGGCATATATTCAGACTCAACTGCTCATTGGGTTTGAGTTCCCATGAATTCTTATAAACGCTGTAACCTCGTGCCTTGATCCTGTAGCCAAACGTACTTTGATAGCGTACAATGTCATTAGAGCAATAATAGTGGGTCAACAAAGGTGCACGATGGATTTAGGGCTGGCTGGACTCCGTGATATAATCTTCCCATTGATATTGGGTAATAAGTGTGAAACGAAGACCTTGTACTAGTCGTGCAAGAGCTTTTTAGCGATCTAAATTCATGCTGTTGATCCTGACCTCTATCAATCTTTGAAGACTAATGTGGCTTCTAAATTATTTTTAGGCACGCGGTATGTAATTGCATTACACTTTAACTGCTGTTGCGATTCTTTTCTATCATTATGCGCGTGAACTAGTATGTCTTTTGTTTTCTACATTATTCTGAAACTAAAGGGTGAAGAAAGCAAACTTAATTATTTCAGTACATCCACTTTCTAGAATTTCTGCATTCTGCAGATATAAAGCTCACATAACAATAGCACGACGGCAGAAGGAATTGCAATCGACTGTTGCAAATGCACAATGGAGCTACCGGGTGGCAGGAAGACAATCTTATAGTCAGAACCGAGCAGTCCAATACGCTGGCTTGGCAATTTACGTATGGGCGGCGAAATTTATCCAGTGTTACACTTGTGGAGGGAATCTGGTCTCAACTGGCACATAAATGTGGCTTAAAGTAGTACAAAAACATCATATCAAGCAGCTTACCCCAGAACTTCGTTGGCTTTACACCTTTTGGCATGGGCCCTGGTTTCTGTATTCAGGTCTGCTCAACCTGTAGTACATTGGCTTCTTTAACTAACAAGTGTTTGGAGTGCGTGGAACCAAGCTCAACCCTTACTTACAAGTTTCGTTGATGTACAAAACATACATTGGGATCGCTACGGGCTTATCACCAACCAGCCAAACGTTCAAGTAATCTAATTTTGGGCTCACAGGCTAAGAGTACCAGCCTGCTAGCGCTTCCTTATCTATTGGACAAGCATTATTAAAAACATTTATAGTCAGTGAACAGTGTATGTTCTTGTGCCACGCTCAATGATGTATGCGATTGTTTGGACTGAGCTACAATCAAAAACGTACATCTCAGGTGTAGCACCTCCTGGATACTGCAGGCGAATGTGGTGCCGCAGTGGAGCAGGAAGGCAGTGCCTCCTAGGAACAAAGAGAACTTTCATTGAGGACTTACATTGGCTTCTAGTTGCAGGTCTAATTACATAAGAAAGCACAAAGAAAACTCGTACATGGGTCGTCGTTTACAAAAGGCAACGCCGAAGTCTCTTACTTCTATGAAAACTTTGTTCGGTGATAGCAAATTACCTTGTGGAAGGCTGCCGAAATACAACAGCTCAAAATCTTATTGTTTTACCCTTTCAATCAGCAGCCTGAAGGTAGAGGTGAGGTATCGTGAACAATTACCATTAGTGATAGAGAAGCATGAAGCACTAGTACTCTGTAAACCAAAACCGAGTTGTGCTTCAACCTTATTGGCAAAAGCTTTTGATGTGACGAAGCTGCTTCAGCGGCAGTTCCTCGGGCAATTATTGTCTCTGCAGGCAATCATTTCATTTTGTTCCATTTGTTTAGCGCTAGATGGGGAAGGCGGAGATTTTTGCTCCGATTATTCTCGTTTGACAAAATCCCGAACCCAGCACAATGTGCACTTAGCGGTGCCACATTAGGTCTCGCCCGTGAGGTTTGCTCCGGGGAAACATCTAGTGAGCATTGTTTGTTGATTCAGGTAATGTCAACCTCGCATTCTGGCACGGCGCCCACTAGGTCTTGTCGGGCATTCAAGCACAGGCCTAATGTGTATATACCCAACAGAACTGAGCGACCAAAGCGATCACCAATTATGCGTGCACATACTTCGGTGGCTTTGAGTGCCGATGGTCTTTGTACTTCAATTGACTACGGAGATTGCGGCATTGTGGATACTGAAAAGGATGCGTTTTGACTCTTCAACCTGCAGAGGGAGCGAGGGGGAAAGTAGCGGGGGAAATCCCGAGTTTTTTGAAGTATATGTATGGAGCTGTTATATTCTCTGCCGGTGAGGGAAATGGCAATCTTCCCTTGTCGCTGTAGCTCTACGCGGTGAACAGGTTTAGTAAATTGCAGTTCATAGGATATCATGTGATTCAATGAATGAAAGATATGCTCGTAAATTTATTTGGCTACTCTCGCTCTTCTTGTTATTGCTGGCTGGAGTTGCATTTGGATTGCCCTAGCTGTAGTCCAAGAGTGACCTTGAACAGGTTTCCGGTGTTCGGAAGTGTCAGAGCACACGAATTTGCCCAGTATGGGTTACTATTATTACTAGTTTACCTGTATAAGTCATTCAAATTCTTTTTAATTATAATTTGAAAGGATTTTTTCGTGGCATTTTCTTGATATCGGTTGCCACTTCCTGTCCTTGTGTCGAACGATCCCCGAGCTCGGGTTCGATTGCCTGTTGCTGGTGGCATAAATCCCGCTGCGGACTACTGAAAGGGTGCATCGCTATAGAAACAAGCATTCAAAAGCTTTTGGCAGGGACTCCAACACGAAGCCCTGTTTATAAGCCTAGACTCAACAATAGTCCCAACCAGCTGTTGCACCATGTGGCCCCAAAGACAACTTGCAAGTTGAGATGTCCATGCGTTTGTTAATATGTCTGGTTGAAGTTCCTCATCAGCTTCCTTAAAAGCCAGGGCGTGCATTGAGGGAGGGTAGGGCATCCAATGAGAACCAAACCTTGCAGGAATTTTGCACAGACTCTGCGCTAGATTGTGCAGCAAACCCAAACCTTGAACATCGTTAGGCCACAAGTCTAAGATGGCTGCTCAAGAGCCAAATCACTTACAGCTTTAGTATTCCAAAGCGCGTCATTAAATAAGGGCACATTACTGTTCCCTTTATTTCGATTTTTTTCATGTATCCTATTCTTTACTTTCTGTGTCAATTCGCCTCTATTTGTTCTCACCTTACACACCCTTGGAAAATCCCAACTATTTGCAACCTCATGCAGCAAACGGGAGTCTGCTTCCCACAGGTTGAAATCGACAGACGGCCATGGCATCCTTGCCGGTTGCAGAACACAACTTGGCTTGCCTCTCCACTGTCGCTGCGGGGCCAAAATGGAGTTTTGGAGGTCGACCCGCGCATCCCGTTTCGGAGTATCCGGTCCCTGGTCCAGGAGCATACAGCCCTCACTTTGAGCTTGCCAAACAGAATGCACCGCAATACGGGTGCGGTCACCTGCAACTACACGAACGGATACCTCCCATAGAGCGTACTATTCATCCGTACATATAAGGGATAAGCTAGAGTTTAGGCCTTTTGGTGTCGTGTTTTAGGGCACCCTAACATTTCTATGGCTAAAAGTACAAACCCACTAGGGCAAGTGCAAAGCGACATTACGTTGTCTCGCAGTTGTAGCCTGTGCTCTAGCATCTCACCACGTAGTTCCCCGCTGGATAATGGCTAGAAGAAGTGGGAACAAATATTACCGTACCATATCCCCAGCAGTTCCGCTTTCTCATGTTCAGTCTATATAGCTGTCTACTGGTTCCGATCATCGCAGCTTTGGATCTGAGAAACGCGGGGGAGTCCTTGGGGGCCTTCAAACCTGCCCAGGCCCGGGGGCATATCAACCTCAAATTGCTGGAGGAAGACAGGCAGCAAGCTGGACGATGGGAAGCAAACTAGCCCCACGAGAGCACCGTAGTTTGACCCCTGGCCCTGGTGCATACTCGAATGTGGTGCCGAAAAGCAGCGCCCCCGCTTATGGAGTGGGAACCTCCACTAGGGGGGTATTTTCTGCTTCGTTATCCCCTGGCCCGGGCACATACAACCCAGGGACTAATTTTGGTAGTCGGTCGCCCCAATGGAGGTACGTTTTACTTTTCCTGTTGACCATATCTAGCCTAAACAAGCCTTAAGGACGCCGAAGAATTTTCATAGGAAACACACGGGGGAAAGGTTGCTAGCCCCCCGAGGAAGGCGGCCCTGCAGGTCGAAAGATGTTTACATTGTATACTAGCAGAGATGCACAGATTGTACAAATGAATCCGTAGACCTAGCCTTCTGCTCAGCTATGCGGCTATGTATTTGCCCAGATAGGCATACACCTGAACAATCAGAAAAGTGCAGAGTATATATATACTTGTGCATAATCACGTGTGGTTCACAGCTTAGGAACATCTCAGCGTTATCACTTCACCCAGGGGAAATCGAAGTTTCCTGGTCCTGGCGCGTATTCTCCTTGTGCTACAACGAGGGACGGTCCAATGTACAGCATGGGAGCGAGGATCACACCACGTAACAGCGATCTTACTCCAGGCCCAGGAACCTACACTCCAAGGGTTCCCAAGAAAGAAGCAAACAGATTCAGGTTAGCAGGCCGCTGCTAAATTGCCTGACTGGGTTCATCGCATTTTGGACCCGTGATGTGCCATGTACATTTTTGTCTCCCACTTAGGTGCAAAGGGATAGTACATCTATTAATCTATATCTAAATTTATTTCGGGAAGCGCGTATGGCCGCACTTTTTCGAGACATGCATATAGCGTGGACAAAAATGATTTAAATCAAGGCCACTGCAGGAGTGAGACTATAGCGGAGTATTGAGCAGCTCTGTATCTATCTCTGTTTCCAGCTTCGGGAGTCGAACACCACAAGGGCACTTGACGGAGAGCGCTCCAGGGCCGGGTGCCTACACCCCGACTGAAAGAACAGTGTGGCGACGACCTCCTGCTTGGGGGTTTGGAAATTCAAACAGAGCGTGCTTCGCTGTCAATTCGTGCCCTGGCCCTGGCCAGTATAACCCCCAAAAGAAATCAGGAACTCCATCCTGGAGGTATCTCTGTTCTCATCTATGTCGTGTCTCTCCCTTGCCGTATCTCCCTTCCTTTGTTGTATGGGTTACTAAGTACACCGGTGAGGCCTTTGCAGAGCTTTGACTCGTTGTCTCTCCAGTTTGTCGCGCCTTGTTCATTACTCCATATCCACAAGGTCGTGCTTACTTGCAGCTTCGGTGGAGAGGCCAAGCTGCAGGGACAAGTTACCGGCAGAGACACTCCAGCCCCCGGGACCTACACTCTAAGCAGTACTATGGGTCAAGGCGTAAAGTAAGGTTCTCCGTGTCCGGCAAGGAGAAAGCCTCAGTTCAACCCTGGAATATATGCTTCAGCTTAGTCATAAAAGCTCGCTGTATTATCAAACAAAAAAAACATAGCATCGACTCTAGCTTTCCGGGATACAGTCCCAGGGTTGTACGCAGGTTGTATATCCTTGATTCCCTTCAGGTATTCCATCGCAGGAGGTGCCCGTAGGGGGACAGCTGTCCCCTCAGACTCACCGGGTGAGCCTGCTGAATACGCTACGGCGGTTTGACATAACCGGCGCTGGGCATCTTCTCAAGCGCTCTTCACCCAGGCTTTCTGGCCTCCCGGGCCCCCGCCGTTGCTTTTAGCCAGTTGGGATGCTGCGTTCAGGCAAGTGAGGACTGTTCTTTTGCGTTGGTTTTCCAAACAGGGCCATGCACGTATGTGCCTGTGCTAAGCAACGGCTCTCCTAAATGGACTTTTGGCTCCTCTACGCGAACTGATCTCGCCCCTACTGGCGTGAGCCCAGGACCTGGTAAGTCATCGACAATGGGGACAGCGACACGGCAATATCTCACTTCACGCATTAACAGGTATCGTCTGCGCAATGGAGGGTTACAGTGCCCTTGTGGATGTGCTTATTGTCAAGGAGCCTACAGCCCATCCACTGCCAAGGAGGGGTCTAGCTGGACGATGAGCGGCCGGCACGGAGGCTGTGGCCCTGCATGGTACGCTAGAATGCTTCCCTCGTGTCGAGGACCTGCATGCTTTTGCTGTTGTGGCCCTTACTACCCCGGTTGTTAGGCTTATAAATGGGGAATTCCATCGGCGGAGCCGCACACCCCGAGAACAAGTAGCCTTATGGGCAGCTCTTTTGTCCCATTTCGCAGCACTAAGAAGCCAAACACACGCACTGACAAGATCGGAACAACCTACTCAACATTTGGGTTCTAGAGGTAGGTAACAGAGAAATCCTAACGCATTACTCTTTGATCCGCTGTATCACAGTCTCCCCCTTTTTTCTGGCATTGAATACTTACTGCACAGACCTACGTCCCATAACCGGCCCCTAGGTTCTAGCTGCGGTTTTAGGGGCCCCGAAATGCTTTCCATATTTAACATGGTTAAGAGGAAAACATATCTTTTGTCGTGTTTAGTTCATGAAGATGCTCCGTTCTTTGAACGACGAGCGTAGCTAGTAACAGCAGGAACCCCCGAGGGCCCCGCGACTTCATCTAACCAACAACCAAGTCCAATGTAGTACACACCCGTGGAGTTGAATGATCTGAACAGTGCGTATGGCTTGAGCTAGCTTATTTGACGGATGTCGCTGCTTGTGGGTCATCAGGCAGGCGCACAACTTCTCTAAGCGACCCATTTTCTCAGCACTCTGCCGGACCGCAGCAAACTCCCATCGGCACTGGTTCTGGTACTTCCTAGTGATCAATCTTTGAACAGAATACTGCCACGTGGCCCCATTTGGCTGAAATGTGCTGAATACCAGTTAAATGCTCGATCATGTAGATCCTGGACATAAAAATAAGGGGCAACATGGAGCCCTCGCTTGCATCGAACACCACTTCCAGAGCCCTTAGGTGGATAGCAAAGAATTAGAAAGAATTTATTCATACGCTACAACATAGCCAAACGGACAGCGAGCCAAATTTCACGAAAAAGCAAAAAGAACTTTTTTGAGCGCCCCAACAATGTTTGGAACCCAGCCAGGCTCGTTGGGACTGCTTCCCCTGTTTGTCCCATTTGAGCCAAGACTCGCGATCCACTTTTCCGTATCTGGCTGATGGGGTGTATAAACACACTGAACAGTATTAATGAGTCCTGCGTATCGTGCCTCCTCCATTTCCACATCGAAGTAATTCGTGTGGTAAAAGCGACACAGTCGAAGCCAGCAAAGAGATCACACTATTTAGCCACCTCATTGCCAAAAAATTAAAAACGTCCTTTTACTAAAATCAAGGTGAAAGTGAAATGGCATTCGGCTGAGAAGCTTGGTTGCGTACATTCGCTTCTCCCATGCACCCAATGCGCTTTAGTCTTTATTATAGTATAGAGACACCTGCTTTAGGTGTCGCTGCTTCACAAGCTTCGTCTGCCATCATATGCCTACTCTCCCTCGTTCCCTTCCCCATCATCCCTAGTCTTCTTCCTCCCCTTCCTCGTCGTCTTCCTCCCCTTCCTCGTCGTCTTCCTCCAGAGCTTCACTACCAGAATATTTGTATTCTTCGGACACCTCTGAGAGCAAAGGATCGGCATCCTCTAGGGCTACGAGGGGCTGCTCCTCAGTGTTTGGCCTGTGGAGTCGGTTATCGCCACTTCCATGCTGGGCAACGTGGTGGTCTTGCAGGCTGTTTGCGCTCCAAGAGGCTGATGCCTTCTGCTCTGTATGAAGAGCCTCCTGCCAAGAGCCTGTCATAGCTGGAGACTCATCCACATTAAACGTGAGGGTGTTCATGTGTACACGATGGAGCTCACCGCTGTCAGCGACGCCCCTCACCCGTTGCCCCTTACGGTGCCCTGTGGTGATCTGCTGGCCTCCCTTACCCGCAGCACGAGGTTCAGTGCCAACGTGCTCGCCTGCAGGTACAGGAGGGATACTCACCTCTTCGTCTACTGCGGGTGACACTGCCATGGAGGCTTCTACCAAGCCTCCCGGTTGTCTTTCTGCTGCCTTTCGCCGCCGAGCACTTCGACTACGCGACTTTTTACGTCGTCTCCGCCGGCCCTTGGTTCTCCCACGCTGCTCCTTTGAACCCACGGCCTCTGCATCTCCCTCTGTGGCAGGCTTGCGAGGGTCAGTACCTATCGCACGCGACCCGCTTGAAGCCCTCACTGTGTCCTCCAATCGATTACTGCCACGGACAGGAGACCTTCCCCTTGCCTTTACGTGCTCTGTCTCTCCTGACCTGGCCATCATGGACTCCTCTTTTGCTGGCCGCTCCATAAGTTCCTCCATCAAGCGTCTCTTAAAGGCTCCGGGGGTTTCCAGGGGTGGCACATCAGGGGAGAACATTCCGACCCCCTTCTCACTGGCTTCCCGCTGCAGTTCCCGCAACCTTTCCAGATTTCCATTGTACTGCGCGTTCTGCCCTCTGCAGAAAGAACGTATCAGTTGCAGACACAGATTCACCTTGTCGCGTGGTATGGCTGCCCCTCCCAGTGACCGCCTATAGCAGGCTTTTTGGATTGAGCCAAGAGCCACATAGTAAGAGGCCCTCACAAGGCCCCCTTTTGCATCAACACTAAATGCACGCTTCAGACTACATAGAGTCCCGGTGACATCGTTGTGTTCTTCAGGTGCGCCACAGAACTTTCGAAGTCTGGCTAGCCACCCTACGTTTATGCCCCTAGCTGTATTAACGCTTCATGAAACAAAGGCAAAGGGCTAATCCCTAGAGCTATCTACACGCATGGGAGCTGCCTATGTAGTCTTACACGTAAATGGTGGCGAGACCCGCCAGTAATAAGGACTGCGATATATCTTCACACCACTCTCCCCGTTCCTTCTTAGTGAGCTGCAGCTCTGAGCCCTCGCCAAAACAACAGCGAAATAAGGCCCAACAACTTTTCTTCCTCGACTTGAAATGCATCATAGAAGTAATGCTCTTAAGACTAGCCTGTCTCCCCAAGGAACTGCAGGGTACCAACACCTGCACTATCAACCTTCCGTACTGGTCCTTGGCAAGCAGACGCAAGAAGACGATCCTGTTCAGCAATTTCTGCTTAGCCAACTGGGTTGCCTCCTGAAGAAAAGTAAAACGAACGCCTCACAACCAACATGCCCAGTGTTTTGGTGCACATTACCTGCAGGAAACGAGTCGGCCAGCTGAGGGCTAGGCATTGTAGGTTACAGCTAAATAAAAAGGCCCTCTTCTAGGAATTTCAGCAGGGCGAAAATACTCATGAAAAAGGTAAAGTGAATCCAAGCGGGGGCAAAGACAGTGCATGTGTCAAACAGTGTCTGCACTGCCGGCCGCGCCAATCTGATAGAGAGCACAGATGCCCCAAAAGGAACTACTAGATTTAGGGTGTCGACTGACAGCAGCAAAGGGCTGTCCTGAGCGGCCCATCTTCGGTGCCTCAGGGGCGTCTACCCCGTAAATTCGAAGACGTAGAGTCTCCCCTTTGAGTTTCCCTGTCCATGGCTGGCACTGGGCAAACAAGGCCATTCGCTGGTGTTTCTTATCCAGGGGGAAAGGATACAGCTTATGGCCATTTGGTATGTGTCTGTGGGTCCCATACACACAGGCGCATCCGTGAATGGATCGAAGTCGAAACAGTAGCAACCCTAGACTGCAAAATCTAACGTCTGTCTCCTACGATAACTCCTTAAGCTTGAATTTTATGAGCGAGTCTTGAGGCACGCTGTTGCCTCATACGCCATAGAGGCTGTACCTGCCACGGAAGGTATCCCCATCAATGACGTTGACAATCTGCACGACGATGCATTTGTGTTCGAGAATGGAAGGATATGGCACGTAATCCTCGGTGAGGAATAGAGAGTCCCCTGAAATGAATTCATGGGGGAGACACGGCAATGCAAAGGGGGCCGGGGGTTCCTCCCGAGGCACCTTGGGAGTGGATGCCTTACTGCCCATCACTGGAGAGAAACCAGCTCACGCCTCTCCAGGGTAAGGAAGGCCCTTTGCGAATCCTGGAGTTACGGCTTTGGTTGTCTGGGGAACAAGTACAAAGGAAGGTTACTCCCGCGGTTTGATGAAAAACACACAGGGGTCTTACGACGCCTTCAAGGAAGTGCAGCAGTGGCACAGGCCTCTATATCAGTGGCCTAAGGAAGGCCGTACAGGAGCTGCAGAGGCTGCCAGAGAAAGCACGCAGTATGCATATCTCCAGTATCGTGCGGCTTCCCCTTTCCTTACGTTTATACGAAACATCTAAACCCTCTCCCAAGTTGCTCGAATCGGAAGCCAAATCTGGGCTCAAAGAGAACGGCATGAGCTGGTGGGCAATGCACACTGTCTGCAGACCCTGTGGTTGTTTGTCCACTGGAAGAGGCTTGTGGGTGCCGCATACAGTCATAAGACTATTGAAAGACAAAAAAAAGGGTAAAATATTGTTACCCATGAACTTCGAGCAGCAGAGAATCCTTGACAAACCTGCCTGAAAGCGGTAACCCAGCGGTCCGTCTTGGGGCCCGCTGAGGGCCCCCAGATACAGCTGTTGTCAGAGAAAACGGTTGATGCTTACTTGCATTTGGTGTGCTGTACCACGCTTCAGTATCTCTCTGATTGCATGGCCTTCCACATTATAAGCAACCTTAGTTGGCTGTGCAGCAGCAAGTTGCATGACCCCCCAGACAACTGCGCAGCCGACTGCTGGAGTGTCGGCTCACTTTCCCAGAATACGGTTACCAAAGGTGCACCAGCATTCACCATTATCATGATGACACAAACACAACCTACTGGCGGTCTCGAGGCACTCAGATTTACTGCAGATTCCCTCTCGGTGAATCTCATTCGCAGCCACAATCAGATACTGCAATAAACCTAGAAGAAACGTACATACCCAGACGAGTACACTGCAAACGATTGTATACTCTTTCTCTAGGGACACCAAGCACCCTGCTTCTTCTGCAATGGGAGAGTTAGGTGGCCGAGCCACAGAACTTGGCGGCTCGGTGCCCTTAAGAGAGCAGGAACCCCTTGATCCTGCCACGGCTGCAAATTGCCCTTCGCTTAATGCCGCGCCTCCTACGGATGGCCTGAAGGATTCGATTTCAGTCTCTGATGGAGTGATCGGCAACGACGGTCAGAATGGGGATCCCTCGCAGATCGATGGGTCCCACGTTGAGGGGGCTCCAGAAATTCCAAGAGCCCCTGGTTTACCCTCCGCAACGGAACGTTTTCTGTCACTCGATTTTGATTCACTTGAGAAGGCCTTAGAACGCTTCAAGTTCGACACACGCCTCGCAATGGCTCTCAGGGTTCCCCCGCAGGCCGCCGTGCCGCCTTCGCAAATCAAATCAGGTCTTCCTCCTCCACCCCCTCCCCTCGACTTTCACAGAGTCTACTCGTCGGTAGACACTCTCTTGGCTGTCCACGAGCAGCAGGCACTTCAGGTCAGTAATCGAAGGAGGCTGGGCCCCTTGGAGCGTTCCCATGGAGCCCCACTCACCAGCTCGGCTGCTGGGGGTTCACCGTTACACCGTATTTCCTTCTATCACGTGCGTCTGCTACTGGTGAGCCTTCGTGAACGGTAAGTGAAATGGCTGCTTTTTGTGTGTGACTTTCTTGTTTGTCTCAGGTGTACGCCGAGAGTTGCCCCCAGATGTTATCGCTGGACCGTGAAATCGAGGGGAGCGAGCGTTTGTTGGCGGGGGTTGAATCGCGGCTGCATGCACTCAGTGAAGACTTGGGAGCCTCTGGTAGCAACACACGTCACGTGGAACAGCAAAGCAGTGCCCTTGCTACCCGAGCCCGCAACAGGAAGGAAGCCTATGTGCTGCTGCAGACTTACCTACAGCAAATAACCCTCACAAGGGAGCTCGTTAAGGCAGTCTGCGACGGGTCACTAGAGGAAGACCCGAAGGCCTTCTTGCAAGCTCTTAAGGAACTGGAGAAGAAAATAGAGCATGCTAAACAACCAGGAATGAGGCAATACAAAAGCACTGTGAGGCACACCTTTCTTCGGAATGAGTGACCCCCTGATTCTCTCATGGAAAACTGGCAGCTGTTACCCCCTATAGGCACATGCAGGGTCCCTGTATCCCTTGTTTGATCTTGTGAGCTTTTCTGGAGTTCGCCGTTGACTTGGCATCGCCGTAGAATCCTTCCTATGGAAAGGGTTCCTATGCTTTGTGTTTTGTGCGGGGGATCGTCAGGAGGCCTCCTTGCCTGAGCTATACAGGCTGCGCGACTGTGCGGCTCAACGCATCGTTAGTCACTTGCAACAGCGGATTGCGCTTTTGCGCCAGCCTCGAACAAACATTCACATTATTCAGAGGGGGGAGCTCCTGAAACACAAAGACCTCTACCTTTTCCTCACAGATCAGGCACCTGCGTCAGCTGTTGCCCTCAAGGACGAATACACCCGCGTGATTTCCTCTGTCTACGCTTCTCTTTTCAAGTCGTACCACAACCAGCTCATGGGGATGCTCGCAGGCGGAGGCACGGGACAGCAGCGACGGCAACAGCAGCAAGGCCCCGCTGGAGGACCAGGTGCTCCATGTGAGGGGCCCCAAGAGGTAGACGCCGGTGATGCTACAGCAGCAGCCGCTGGCAAGGTAAGAGCCACAAGTCCAAGGGCCCTAAGGGAGGCCCCTGAGGGTCACTCGCTCTTTGCTCTCGAGCTCATTTTCTTACATCCCCCTCTTTAGCGCTACGTATACACTGAAATTAATGCGTGTTCCAAAATACAATGACGAAAGTGAATTCAGCACATGCACTTCAGTGTGCACAAAAAGTGCTCAGTGAGTCGCAGGCAGAGCCTCGACGCTGCTGTGGTGCTTCCTCCCTATCCTTGCGGCTGCTGTAGCTGAGTCTGCTCTCAGGGAGCTGGATCATTTGTAGCCTCTGCACGGCAAGTTATGGGTTTCCTGACACGCCTGAGTTCAGGGGGAAGCGGAACTGGCCCTCAACCGAGTTCACTAGCTGTCCTGAGCAGGCAAGCCAACCCATAGCCTGTCTTAGTTTGCGCACAGACTCTCTTCGGAGGCGTGTTATCCGTTTCGTAGGGCTCGCTAACTATAGCTACTGACTTCTGGGCTCGCCTACATAATTTCACGTTGGAGAGTATGCATTTTTGCGAGAGCACTCGCAACCGTCTGCGGCTTGCACATGTTGTGGTCCTGTGCTACACAGTCTGGGGGATAGAGACGAAATCCTCTCTGATTTGGACGCGGAGCCGTTGGTCGCAGTGCATATGGCACGGCCCTTGGCGACCTCGCCTTCACAGGGCACGTCTACAGTCTACGGTGGCAGTTCCACCTCTGCAAAGTCTCTTGCCGGAGAAGGCGCAAATGTTTCGCCTACTGCTACGACAACTGCCATTGTTTCGAGTCCACCTAACGCCGTTCCTTCTACCTCCCTTGCTCAAACTCGCTGCCAAGACTCCCCAATTCTATACTATGAGCAACTCTTCAGGTATTCTGTTTGGCCCAGCTGAATAATCTACTGAGTGTCCTTACTTCGCTCCTTTGCAGCGGACATTGCTTATCTTTTTGCCTTGTGCTCTTGACGACCTTTTCACGTTGAATTCCTTTTCGTTGGTTACCAGAGAGGAAATCAAGGAGACTCAGGGATGCTCAGAAAGGGTTTCTCGGTCCCCCGTGGAGTGCTTTGCTCTCCTGATGCGACAACTATACACAGCGACCGGGTATAGATACGTAATTGACTGTGTGCATGCTGTTTAGTGTGGCTGTGCAGGTCGCACCAAAAGCTCCTCCTGGATACAGCGACCAGCGAGCTGATTTTTGTTACGGACTTCTTTCTCAACGCTGGTCAGCAGGGAAAAAAACTGTGGGCTAGGAACTCCCTTTGTGGCTTGTACAGAGTATCGAGCCGGTGACACGGAAGGAGGGATCTGGCTTGACTTTCTTACATTGAAAAGGCAGCAACGTATGAAGAATACCAGAAACCAACACAAGAGAAAGTGCAAGCTAGCTACCAGCGCGATCGTAGCTGAGTTCAAAATGTAGGCCTTGTGTTTTGGTGCATTCTAAGGGTTGGATGTTCATTACCAAGTGCTATTCAACGAGATTTTCAACAAAACGAAGACATTTTTTCTATCCACGCTACAAGAAGTGCTACAAGGCTCAGTCGACGCGATTGGTGTTGCACTCATGCTTCGCATTAACCAGCACAGCAGGTTATCTCATCTTCACCCTTCCTGAGGGCCACAGTTGCTGCTGAGTCTCTAGGAACGCTGGACGTAATGTAGTTGAGGAACGAAGACTCAGGGCAGCACGGAGCTGGGCTGTGTTGAATGCACTCTGTGTCTGTACAGACAACTGATGCAGCGGCGGAAGGTCCCGTGTCTTTCCTCTTACTTGGACCAGGTCGATGTGCGTCTGCTTCTGTCGCAGTGTGACTAGTGTAAAGGAAAGAAGATATAGATTGTCTCTTTAGTGCTGGCATATATTCGTTTGTTCATTCTGCAGCCAAGGCTAGAGTGACAAAAATGTGAGGGTTGACAGAAAGGTCGACCTGCCAAGGGCCTCCTTCTCTTCGGGTTTTTGAGTGTGTCTCTCACAGGTTCTGCTTTCACAGCGTCTGAATGACCTGTTACTGGTGAACATCAAGACTCTCAGGGCTGTTCGATCCAAGGAGATGCTGCCAGCGCCACCAGGCAGCACTGTGCCGCCTCTAACGACAGCTCCGCACCCTGTCGCACGCAGCGTTGGCGGTCAGTAAGGACAAGGGCACGGGAGAGTGAGAAACAGAGCAAGGGAGAAAGGAGAACTAATAGATAGGGGTGTAAAGGAGGGAGAGCTAGACATATTGAGCCCAGGAGCCAGTGGGTATCGTAGAAGCACCAAGATTTGAAGGCACAGGAAGGAGGCCCTCAGGAATCACAGGGCCCTTACCTCCGGCCCTCCAGTCTGACTGCTGAGGCCGATTGAGGAAGCACGCGTTTGTATGACATGTAAAAGCTTTATGGCATATTTGGGCAAGTCACCTAGACGTGGTGTGTGGCCACACACTTTGCTTGCATTGCAGAACTGGCCTCAGCATTGGCCTACCTTCAGCAGCCACTGCACGGCTTACCAGCTCTCCCAGAGGAACCGCTTAAAACGCGTCTTTCTGAGTTGCACTCTACAGCCCTCGATGTATTGATGGTAATGGTGTTTTCACTGCCCAGTGGCAGGATTCGGCTGCCAGACTCTACATAGTGATTGCCTCTTGTGGTGCCTCCAAATCTGCCACTACGTCTTAGCATGGCGTTGTCTCACAGAACGCGTTTTGGAACCCTGGCTTTGTCTTTCTTCAGGGCCTTTCCCAGGAATTCACAGATAGAAGATCTCAGCAAGTTTTCCTTTTGAACAACTACGACACCTTGCTCTCTCTGATGCACTCACGACGCGTCTTACCGGACGTCTGCGCAACGTAGGGTCACGCATTACCTCGTCCACAAAGAACACGACGGCTTTTCGAATCTTGAAGTCTTAACCATATGGCACTTGTATTTCCTTTGGTGCTTCGTTTCTTTTGCACTTGTCTTCGAAATGGCGTAGCCTAAACAATAAGAGCTGTACCTCTCCCCTTACTGCACGTGGCTACCCATGGCCCTTGCTGCGCTTCCCAGCCACCTAACCGCGAGTTCATTGCACCGTATTGCCTTTACGTGGACGATGTAGGCTGGAACACCTATTGTGGGAACAAGTGAACGCCTATGTGGAGGCACAGCTGAAGGAACATTTTGCAGATCTCGTTTCAAGTGTCCGGACAGCTGAAGAGGTTCTTGCAGCAGAACAGCCCCTCGAAAACCCTGCGCACCTCTCCGACGTGGCTCACTTAGAGCGTGCGGTAGGCCATGCATCTCTGGGCGCGATTACTGCATCACTGCTGCTGCTCCACCCATATGGTGCAGCTTTAGTCTTGTATGCTTGCCATGCTGCAGCAGACAGTTCCTGTTAATCTTTCCTTGAGTTGCTCTTAATTGCAATGTGACTGTGTTGCGATTTTCAGGTGACGCAGTTCCACGGGTGCTGGCGACAGCGTCTGAGCCAACTGCATGAGGAATCAGTCGCTGCTTTCCCGAATGTTTCCAATGCCATGGAGATTCTCAAGCAGGTGAGGAATCTTCTTTCGTAAGAGCGGTTTCAAAAGCTCCGCCAACTGAGGGTCTAGGCCTTGCCGCCCTAGACTCATGCCCGCCTTTTCTGCTGCATGCATCACGGGTCAGCAAGGCTGCCTGTAACATCTTTTCGCTGTACGACCTGGCCTGATTTCTGTTCATGCCTGCTTCTCAGGTGCTAACGCAGCTACTTCTGCTCTACACGAGATTGCAGCAAATCGTTTCTACGTGTTTTCCAAAGCCACCACAGCCTGCATGGGCTCGCCAGTTGGTTCCCCTGAATACCATTCTGACAGAGGTCAGACGGTTTTCAAGAAACATATAATATCCTTTCTGCTTTTACATTTGCTATAGACAGGAAAGCGCAGCGAATGGTCCAAGGGCTTTAGGACACGGGCCTTCAGTCCCGTGAGCATTTTGAAGTACTAGAATATGATTCAGATTCCTGTATTTGAAAGGGTGGAACGGCTTAGGTCAGTAGCAGCTCTCCGAACGTAAGTGACCATGGACTCATCTCGTGAAAAAGGGGGTCATGGCATCTCGTAGTAGGGGAAGCAACAAAAATCCCTTGGCCTCGTAGGAGTGTGCTTAGAGTCGCCCAAAGGTTGCCGCTCCGTTGCAACTCACCCACGACCATGGCGTCACTTAAGCGAAACGTTTGCCATGCTGGCTCTGTTGTGTAAGTGTCCTCAAACACTCAAGAGCGGGAGAGACGCTGGGGTGGCGAAAGGCCACATGGCACCGTACAGCGCTGAGCTCCTTGACGAAATGCCATTTCTCAAGAAAGATATATGTTTTCTTCATTCAGCTGTTTGCATACATGGCATGGTAACCGATTGCGATTAGAAGAAAAGGGCTTAAGTTGAAAAAGGAAGGGGAAGACGCAGAGAGATGTGGCGACAATGAGAACAGCTGCTCCAGAAAAAGAATATGCATCATAAAAGAAATCTAGCTCAGTCCTGGTATGGCCAGGGACCGGTCCACGCAGCTAGGCTAACAGTCTTTAAAGTGCTGCACCATGGACAGTTTAATATGTTTATTTCAATTATACCTGCATTACCCACGCCTAGCGAAGATTAACGTGTCCTGTTATCCCTGACCCCCAGTGTAGCCGGCAAATCTACACGTCGGCGTTTTCTTCTACTCTAGCAAAAATCAATTAAGACCTAGAAGCAAATGGAACAACTGGCTCGTTCGTGCCTATTCCTGTTTTATTGCAGAGTAGCACTAGCTTGACTCACCACGACGCAATGTTGTGTGCGTGTGTGACAGATCCTACGCGACACTAGCTGCCTAATGTTGGGAATTTGTACACGGTGCAACAATGCGCACCTGCTGTGCATCGTGTAGGATGTCCAAAACTCCCATTGGTGGTTGCAGGGGAAGGGGTGGGCTCAATGAGGAACGCTCAGCAAACTTTTGGGCCTGTATTGTGTTAGGACTCAAGCATCTCTTTACCGAGGCTGTAGATGATGTATAAATGTTGGTAGCACCGCGTGATTCGACCCAGCTTTTTCTACTCATCTGCTGGCTGAAGAGACAGCGGGCTGTCAGGCCTTCCCATAACAGTTGGATGGTCTACTGATTTTTATGGAGTGCATCAAGAAGAGAAAGTGGATGGACACACAAACGCTGTCTTATTGTTCAGGCGGCGTGTTGAAGAGCACCTATCGCACCTAGGGCGCGTGCTTTAACTACTCTACGACAAACAAATAAAGACACACAAGTGCTCGTATTCTATGAGTTAATTGTGTCTCGGGTTTTTCGGGCTTCGGCTGCAGGAATTGAGGCAGATCCGGCAAAACCTCGAGCAATCAAGTGGTGGCCCGTACCTTTGCACAGCTGCAAGGACGGAAAGAACGTCTAACTGTATTGATCTTATTCCTGGGTTTGATGTGATTTCCGTGACTTTAGTCGAACCAACTTAAAAGCCGTAGCCTGTGGCCTGGACAAAGGAGGCTGATGCCGCAGCAAGGATGCTTGTCAGCGCCCGTTAAACTCCTAAGGTACTTTCGCTGCTCAATTACGAGAACCATTTCTTCCTACTAAACAATGCAAGCGACGTCGTGGCGGGTTCTATTCTCTCATCAAGATACGGACTCTCCAAAACCCTCAACCATTGCTCGCTATTGACATTGTTTAGCTGGAACCAAGCAGCGGTATTCAGCGTGGGGAATAAAACGTTCCGCGATTTGATGGTGCCTTGAAAAGCATGCTGACACCATTTGTATATGCTTCATTGTACTTTAAAAATCAACTATCAATGCTTGCTGTACCTTGCTCAGAGCATTCAGGAGCTTGACAATTCTAGCATTGTTCGCTGGCGTGAGCGCCTCCTGCAGTACGACTATACAATGAACTATCTAAAAGTTATCACCGACATATCAGCTGATGCGAAAGGGCGACACCCCAGAGGTTTCCAGATTGTTCAGGTGCTGAGTAAACTACATTCGTCTTATGCTTTTGCTCCCTCTGCCCATCGGCTTATAATGCAGATTGCAGCGTGGCAAAAGGGTGAAGCTCTGTCGGGCTAAGGAAGGCTTGTGTTTTGAAACACAAGTACTCCGTCTTCGGTGCATCCCAACTTCGATCCACAGTGCTGTTTTGCGCCAATCACATGACCATACTGTATCCAAACAACATGGAGTTTACACTGCAGGAAAAAACTTTCGCGATCCTTCTGGTGGCCTGCGATGCTTTTAGTGGCAGGGGAGTACGCACTGACATGCACAGATTGTCAGCAGCTGCAGCTGTGGAATTCTCCAAGATCTTGAGGGGTTTAAAGCCTATCGGCTTTTCAACGGATCTAAAGTTACATTGCTATAGAAGTTATTAATGGCCTGCCGGAGGTCAAACGTCAGGATAGCATCTACGTCATCGACAGACTCAGCATTAGAGCCCATGTCATCTCTTGGGGTTCCAGGTCTTTCACGGCTCAGGAAGTCACTCAACCAATCTTAACTCATGTCTAGAAGCTCCGCAGGCTTTCCAGTAGGGCAAATAAGGCTCTGAGATTCGTTAGTGCATCCTCTCATGCATTTATCAGCTGCTACATATTGATAATAAGGTAATCATTACAAACCACGCTGAGTTAGATCGACAGACGGAACGCACCAACCGTACTGTTCTACAATGCATGCCGTGCCATTCTCTGCTCTCACACGTATAATTGCTCGTGATTTTGTTTTGTAGCCAAGTGGGTGAATGATGCAGCGGTGCACTCATCTACTGAAGGGCCTACCCTGAAGAGCCCTGTTCGGTTCGGGCTTGGACCCCGTGGTGCGAGCAGTTGCCGAGGGATTTAGAAAAGAGCTGGATAGTGCATGCACATGTGTGCGCAAAGCTCAAGAGAGACAAGCGCGTTATTGTGAAAACCAGAGCTTCGACGAGGGTTTCAAGCCTTCAGATCTGGTCCTGTTGGATTTGCGAGCTCTATGAGGTACAGCCAATGGTAACAAGACAAAGAATCGTGCTGGAATGTGGTCTGGCACATTTCTGATCCTTTTACACATCATCTTTCTTTTCAATCCATGAATATCCCAAAACTAGGAGGGGAACAGAACACTTAATATTGACTTCACAACGCATGCTCTGAAGCTCCTCGAATCATCCGCCGACTTTGTCGCTCAGGTAAGTGGCCTAAGTGGCCAGCGTGGCGGCGTGGGATAGAAGGGGATCAGCAGAAGTGCAAGCTTCTAAGATTGTTGAGCCTCGATTACAGATTTGACGGCACATTCTAGAAATTTGCTGGGGAACGCCAGACTAAATGTTTGATGGAGGACCTCCTGCCATTGTAGCTTGTGGGAGAATTTGCTGCCTACCCATCATTTCAAAATGCCAGTCAGCATGAACAAAACTGTTCCGATTTTCTGTTTTTCGCTTTTCCGGCTTCTTCTGAAGTGGCGGTAGGGCGGGAAGGTGTCGGCGTCCTGCCCGCGGCTCATCTCGACGGATGCATATTGAACAAGAGCTCCTATGCTTCTAAATCTGGGTGAGGAGCAAATACTTGCTCCTGGGAAGATGTAGGGGGCAAGGCTACAGTTTGGCACTATTTACCACAGTAGCTTAGACTAACTAAGAATTCCTGTTGAATTGACTATTGGTTTGGCTGTTGCAATAACATATTTATTGCGGCGAGATGGTAACTCAATATGATCATAATCGATGTTGTGTGCACTTGCGTTAAATGCAATGTGCAACTAGCTGTGGAAGCTTCAAATGATTAAGGCATGCAGCAACTAGCACCCTCGCCGGCCCCTACATCACATGCTGGAACCCTAAGGCCTAAAGGATCAGGAGAGTGAAATTCACTCGGAGGGTAAGTCAATAACCTTCTATCATGCCTCGTGCTGGCTTCGAGGGCTGATTGTTCTCCTACGAAGGCATTTAATGGAGCGTCGGAGGAGCGCTGTGGGGCTGGGACAAGGAGAGGTGGAACTTTTCAAGGTTGCTTTCAAGAGTTTGCTCTCAAGTTACGATAAACTATCGCAGCTAAAGTTCTTTTTGCGGAGCTTTCTGGACTGGCCTTGTAGTAGTGTAGCTGGCTAAGATGTGCACGAGCGCCTTTTACCACACCAATCATTGTGATTGTACAAGGAATTCGAAAGGGTTCACTTATTGGTTTATCTGTTCGTATTCCCTATAATAGCACAGTGGTGGTAACTCGATACAATAAGATATATTTTACCAGGCACGTGCGATAGAGGCTATATGCAACTGAATGGGAATGAGCAGAGTGCTTAGAGAGCGTCAAAAGGCGCACACTAGCTGTCACACTCCCCTCATGCCAAAAACTCCATAGTGCGCTTGCAGAGCGAGAGCGATGCACTTTGTGAAAGCGCTCAATAGCTTTCTACTAAGCGGTTATTGATTTAGGACCTGAGTGCCCTCTTACGGATAGGTCAGATGCAGTGTGCAGAGTAGTGTGCCCTCCTATATCCTATCTCATTCCATTCTTCCGGTACCACCACAACAGCGAGTCCTCGACACGAAGTGTCAGAAATATCAATGCAACGCATCCCAGGAGTGCCTTTCACCTGTTCGATCAAAGCCCACTAACTGACGTGACAGCATTAGCCCTTGCCTTTGCTGAGACTATAGCTGTTAAATTGACAAAGGCACAAGGCGATACACTAACATATGCAACCCCTGTAGATCTACGGTCGAGTTTTTTGCTCATTTAAATTATTTCTGTACTCGCGTGAATCTGAAGGCAGACAGATTGCATAAGTATATAGCAGCAGCACAGTCTGCTGCGTGCAGTAGGCGGCTTCCGATGAGGCACATCCCGGTGTGACCCAGTTCCCCAGGTTTTCATGCCCGTAAATTGAGGGCTCCTCGAGTTCATTTTAATCAAACAAAAACAAATTTTCATAGAAGGTGAGTACCCCCGCCACTGAGGCCCCAAGACACCGCTATTTCCCCTTGCCGCCCCTTGGCCGGGTGGACTGGGATGCATATTAGATTGCCTCAGCTGCGTTAAGATACAGCCAATAATCATTACTCTCTTCTGTAATCATCCTACTCCGGGAAAAGATAAAAGAAGATAAAGGGTTAGTGGCCAGCAAGTCTTCTCAACAATCGTGTCGGGCCCAGCAGACGGGCCGCGACAAGGACTGGGCTGCCACTGTTCTTCAAGTCTGTTTCGTGCCAAAAATATCACTTCTTTATTTTTGAGTTATTCTTTGTCACCGTAATGAGTGACAGAAGGTTTTCCTTTTGATACTCATGGCAGGCAGATGCGTGCTGCGAGGGGTTCTTTCTTGCCGAGATTGTACTTTGTGGGCGTTGTGCTGCTTCGTCACCCCGTTCCATAGCTACACTAGCATCACCCAGACTAAACAAGTGCATTGAGAGAGGGGCTTCGTCCCAGTTGTCAATGCAGTTGAGGATTCGTGGCCAGCTTTTCGTATTGCCATATTTTCTGCAGACAGTGACCGTCATCACCAGACCGTGCTTCTCTGGAAGCTTCAGATGGTTATAGCGAGTCCTCCATTTAACGCAGACAAGGGCAGGTGGCACAACGAGATGGACACCTCGCAGGTGCGAGATTTCGAGCCCTGCAAGGACTGTTGCGCTTGTTTTGTACCGATCCGTTGCATTATAGATCAGCATGAAGTGGAAATAATCCCGGCGACCGCGCGCAGCAGCACGAGCAATGAATACTCAGCCCGTGGTGGCCCTAGTGTCGACTCGACATCTAGGACAGCCTACGGCAGCACCTCATATCGGCACCACCAGTACCAGCAGTTATCCCAGCGTGCAGCTGCTGCAGGGGGAGTATCAAGCCCCTCCGGTTTATTCTTTGGGGGCCATCATGGCTCCACTGCCCTGAGTCAGGCTGACGAACCTGTGTCTTATCGCAGTGCGACTCCATCTGATCTCTTCATTGACGGAACCAGCAAACAAGATTCTTGGGACTCGAAGGCCCCCCGGGTGCCGCTTATTAACCTAAGAAAGGTGCAGCACCACCAGGCTACGCTTCCTTGGTCTCCTTGTGACAGCGAGAGGCTGAATGTAACACAGAAGACGCATGAAGCCATGGAAGAAGGGGGGCTCAGCAGCCGCTTGCCCGATGACGCCGATGGGCCCCTCAGCAGCACCCTGTTCGGGCCTTCACAGTTAGAGGCAATGTATTGCGGGCAAAAAACCTCCTCTGACATATCTTCGGTATCGAGTAATGATGTAGAGCTCATGGTGTGGGACCAACCCGACTCGGAATCATCTCGCAGATGCATCCCGTCCCCCGTCATTGCCTTTTCAAGTCTCCAGGGGAATGAGGCAGGCAGCACAAGCACCAGTGTCGCTACCACCAGTGAGACAGATGAAGCTTCAAGGGTTGAACTTTTTTGTTTTGGGCACACCGGCTTGCCGTTCTCTGCTTTTCAGTCCCCTAGGCAGCCTAGACCAGGTTCATCTCTATCAGTACACTTTGGGAGTGCCTTAGGTGGCAAAGCCGCGTCAATAAAAGACCACATATACACAAACCATGTCGGTGCTCCCTTTACAAATGGATTTGAGGTTGACAGTTTACCATTGTTTGGGGCCGATTTGACGTAACTCCCTGTGGAGTGTCGTGGACCGCGAAAGAGGATCCGTCCATTACGGGGCCTTCCAATGTTTTGGAAGAATGCGCCCTTACAAATAAGGGCATCGAGACGACAAACCATCAGGAATGGACTTTCTCGGCTGGAGCAACGGAATGCTTCGAGGCCTTCGATGCGGCTATCAACCCGCTACAGCATGAGCGGTCGAACGAAGGCCGTCGCTGAGCCCCTGAAGTTATCGAGTAGAATTCGCACCTCCAATCCCAACGCTCAAGGTGCCCCTCGACACCACTTTAGCTCCTAGGGAGCCGGAAAGCTACCGGAAAGATTGCTGGAAAGTTGTTTAGGGGAATTAAGGGGGCTACTTGGAGAAGTAGCGGGACAGAAGAGGCACAAAGGGGCCTAGCCGACATACGCTACTTCTGCTGCTGTCTATAAATTTGTGCGGCGAGGAGCTGCGAAACTGCATCGGAATTGAATGACACAGCATGGGGAGTGGAGAGTTTATAGGCTGTGGGTATCAATGATTGAGTACTTAATGTATGCGGCACGCCACCTCTACAGAAGTATTTCTCTGCTGTGCATAGAATCCTCGGTATCTTCAACTTTGTTTTGCGTGGGGCACAGCTCCTTTGGGAGAGCTGCAGCAATGTAGTGCTTGTGTTCCCCACACCTCGTTTGTGCGTAATGCATGAACACCCACCAGACTTCGTCCTGCTGAATTGTTTTGTTAGCAGTTGGCTCACGATGAAACCCTCACGATGTATGGGTATCCTGCATTTGTTGCGGGGCGAAAAGTAATGGCTGTTGTAATTAGTGTAAGGGAGCGTGGGGTGCAGCAATACTAGCTAGAGAAGACCTACGGTGTCGTTGCAGCGCTCCCATCCGCTCGTGACGCATTTACAGTCTTTGCATGCACCGCCATCATGGCATACAGAGCTGTATGATTATTTTACCGCACGCATAAGCAGAGCTCACATAAACAGCGTTCTGGTTCGGAACACTGTAGCTCATTGTGGTGCTTGGCACGGACGCTAAACTACAGAATATCGGTTTTAGCTTTCCAAAAAATAATTACTCTGACGAGTCATATACACATTAAATGAGGCGTAGAGAAAATATCTGCATATTTCAGAAGAACTTGATAAGGGAATACGTCTGCTGCAGCTTACCTATGCCATCCGCACGTCCCGAAGCAGCTGCTATAGTTAGTACTGCAGTGTACATATTTATCTGTCTGCTCTAGCCCAAATTTCTTTTTCTGCTTAGGATGAATGCTAGGCGAACAGGCCCTTTAAGTTCAAATGTGCGCCTACATGTACGAGATTTTTGCCCTTTCGCCAAGGCTCGAGCAACAGAATTGCCAATAGCCTTAGCCACCCAGCTAATATTGGTACTCCATTTTCGCAAAAAAAGCGCGTATGATGCTTAACTAAAAGTGATGCATCAATGTCTTTGATTGCTGTTGGTTTCTTGTGAGAACTTCGTTTGGCTGTTGATCGTGTAAGAGGAGTCCCAGCTGGGCTGAGCACTAAGAAAGGAAGAACTGCGAGAACTTACCCCCTCTTTACTCTGATAAAAGCTTTTGAAATTCGTTGGAGCTGAACGATGAGAGCTGAGAAGGGCCCAATGTCCACATAATCCAGAAAATGGTCATGGCCTTCCTCAGCATACAAATATCTTCAGCTCCCCTTGGTGTCTCACCCCGACAAGTGAACTCAGGAGCCTCTACAGAATGGGAGGCGTGTGGCTGCGAGGACCCAAGCTCTGGGCCTCCAACAAGCCCGTAGAGCCCGTTATTTGCTTCTGCACGGAAATTCGTTGGATTCGCCAACAGGGGGAAATGGACTGTGGGCTTGCATGTACTCAAATGATCCTAAGGTGGGTCGCTGTGTCTTGAACACCCTATTGAAACAAGAAAACCAGCCACTCAGGGCCTTCAGAGAAGGAGAGTGCCCCCGGACAAACCAATCTCATGGCTTTTTCCGATACCTTGGGCCATAGTGATATTCGGGCCAAACTTACCCTGAAGCAGACGTTCTGTTTACCTGCATACCATTCTCCAAGCCTTATAATGTGCGACATGTGCTTGTGAACCCTTTGAGATAAAGCAGCCCAACGGCTTCCTTTTTTATACCCACTTGCTCAAAGCAGTCTATCTCCCTGCTACCTCGCTCGCCTCATCCTCGCCAGAGTCTTTCTTCCATCGTTGTTGTCGCAGGACGCTGGATGAATTGGGGGATTGCCCCCAGCCGTCCTTCCTTCTTACAGATTTACGGGAGAATATGCCTTCAAAGCCCCAGGTCTTTGAAAGTCACAGCGAGGACAGTGGAGCCACAACTGGTGTGTATGCTGATTCTGGCCGTGGTCTATCTTCGCGCAGGATTCCAAGGAAGCGTGAGCGGCTGATACGACGTACAGAGGGCTCTCAGGAAGGACGTCTTCCAAACTCTCCTAAAAGCTTTAAAGTATTAGGGTCAACAGGAAGCCATGGGTCCAGTACAGTGGAGTCAGTAGATGCACTTCCGATTGAATATTATTGCATGCGTGCCGATGCAACGGAAGCGAAGCTTGGATCTGAGCTCGCGAACCGCGGGCATTGCAAGTGCCTTAATGAAGTGCTTCAAGAAGCAGGCAGGGAGCGATCCCGTTCACAAAAGGGTGGAAACGGCTTTCTGAAGCAGTGCTCATTAGAAAAGGGCTTCTTCAGTGGTACCTTAAAAAGTGCTCTCAGACCTGTATCCGAGCAGAAGGCGAGAGAATTGCTGCGGCGAGCAGCTCACGGAGGGTGGACTGTGGAACTCCTGCTGCTGCTGCAGCATTTGCCTTGCGGCATTGCCACCTCTTTTACGGGGTTTAACCCAAAGCATGCGGATAAGGTAGACGAAACTGTTATTTCTTCTTCTACCAATAGGCTCCTTTACCCATATACATGCATAAGATGTAGGGTACTGCGGGCATACGTATGCACGCATATAAATGCTTTTACGTTCTGCGTGTCTGTAAAGAGCATTGCTGCGTTGTTTATGTATTCTAACATGGTGATTTGTCTGTATGCGGACTGCCTTCGAGTGCAGCCTTTCTATAAGTCTTTTGCCAGTGCTCACAATGCTTTTGATGAGGAGGCGCAACGCGTCGCATCGCAATTCCGTCAGGCGAGGCGCCTGGGCCTCCAAGTTGTCACTGGGTAAGAAAACTCTGCGTTTTCCTGCAGGAAGCCAAGGCGTCCGTGATGTGCTTTCTTCTTTATTGCTTGCCTGCTTTTGCCTCTTAAAGCATTTTTTTCGTGCTGACCATCCAGGGATAATGCCGCTTATCTAAAAGTTTAGGCGCACTAGTATACGGCTGTTCGCACTGTTTCAGTGCCACAGCTGGGTGCAGTGCATGGTGCTGTTGCTACATACGCATTTGTGCAGAAGAATCTCCCGGGCCTCCCTGGCTTGGGAAGTGCTGAACGGACGAATGGCTATTGTGCTAGTAGACGGGGGGCGCCTTGTTGCCCCAGACCCGCACGAAGTGCCTCCGCAACAGTATGATGGTGAGACTGACCTCTCCGAGTTTAACTGTTAGGGCGCTTGTTGCTGCTACGCTAAGTGCTGCTGATTCGGCCCACTCTTTGGCTTACAGTGACTACATCTTGAATTATAGGCTTCTGAGCTTCAGGTGAAGAGCGTAGACCGCTTTGCTAGTTGACTAGCCCGCCTCAAAAGAAAAGAGCTCGGGCAGATGACAACCCTAGATCTAGGCCAAAGGCCAGACGCTCCTTGCTCTTTCTGGTTCAGGACACTTTGTGGTCGTCTGCGGTGTATCCCTTGCACTAGCGGCAACGGTGCTCGGGACTCAACAGCATCAAGAAGCCGCTTCCTGCGAAATGGAAGCGAAGCCTTTGGACGAAACGCTGAAGAGTAATTTGTTTGTTGCCAGCGAGGACCCAAAGAGAATTTCCCCCGTCTCCTTGACCTCGGCTAGGAATGCATTTGTAGATGGCGTCAGGGCCTGTCAGGTGAAGGCTTTCCTTCTTAAAGATCCCCAGTGTCCCCAGGCCTCGTGGATCACCCCCGAGAGGTTGGACATCTGCAGAGACACCGATGGTGAGCTTGTGTGAACCCCCCTTGGTGCATGTCATAGAATTCGAATCGCCTGTGACAGTTGGTATAGTTCGGAAGCCAGCTCTTACTAGCTCTAAGCCCCATGAGCCAGAGGAATCCGTGAGGGTCAACGTGGAAACGGAGAACAGGGTGGATTCTTTTATTCTCTGCCTGTACACCACGTGCCAGCAAAGCCTGGATGACAACCTTGGCTGAAATGTCCGTTGCAGGGACAGATAATGATCTGATCGTCGTGCAGATGCCAGAACGCCTGCAAAAGGCATGGGTGATGCCCGCACCTTCCGAATCCTCTCAGTGGAGTGAATATACCGCTTCTCCGTACGTTGCAGACCTCCTCGGTGCCAGCTTCATCGAGGCAGTAATTTGGGGACTTTGATGCCCTTTACCGAAAGCTGCACTTTTTTTCAATCTGAAGAGCAACGGCCGTATCTGGTAATACCTAGTGCTTGGCCTGCACGAGCGTTCTTGTCTGTGCACTGAATTTGCACGCATCCTGACAAGCATCTATTCTCTACTTTCTGAACGGTGTATCCAGAGACTATGCGTACATTTGTCTTTGCAGCGCAGTTGTAGGATAGGATACAGAGGAGACTCTGGATGCAAGACTGGGAAGCTTCTTTTGCGTGCCAGATACAAAGCATATGTACATACTGACGCAGGCCTCACTGCATCGGAGCGGTGTCTTGCTTGTTTGGGAACATCCTTACACATATATAGGGCTTGTCCTTTTTACAAAGAAGTTCATTAACTCTATTAATTGCCTATTGCTCTTGCCACCCCTTTTTGGCGGCACCTTTCGTGTCTTGGGTAAAACCTTACTTGCGTGTACCATCGCTTCGAAATAGGGGGCAAGGGAGTTGCCCCCTAGCGTCACCTACGTAGCTCTTTGGTCATATGCAGCAAACCGAAATCGGCTTGCGCATGCCATGGATCTTGGATCATGTAATCCTAAGCAGCTACATGTGGTTTTGACGTATTGGCCACTCAACCCGAGGGCTTGGTCGCTTCAAAATGATGTATGTGGCAGCTCAAGTGCTGGTAGGCCCGCAGCGGCTTTTTCAATGCTAACTACAGTGTGTAGGAGATAAATGAAGTATTTTTGTTGATGTCAGCTTAAGGGAAGCGTTGCGTGGGAGTACTTTCCCTTACATCCACAACAGGCCCTGCTGTTCTGTGGCAGGGGCTTTTAGGGCATATGTGGTACTGATGAACTGAGCAGACCAATCATAGAAGTTAGTTGTTGTTGGCGCATTCGATTTGCTGCATACCGGGCTTAGCGCAATGCTGCAACAGTGAATGCAGGGTGGCTGAGCGCTAAGCTCTCCTGTGCAGCTGCATTTGCCAAGACAGCTCGCAGTCCGGAGCTACATGAGCTGCTGCTGGATTATCTTCCCCCACAACCGAACTCTGTCCGGTGAGTGCAGGGGAAGGCATAGACCTTTCAGGTGGACGCTATGTACTGCCTTTTAACTTCTGGGTGAGCTTAGGATTGATGATCTCCTTGTAGATGCCCTGGCCGAAACGATCTACATCTCTTCCCTCAGGAGACCGCCACGTTTTCCGCCGACACAGATGCGGAGTACAGAGAACTGTGAGATGCTGATTTCCCGTAACCGACACAATGTTTGGGCAGAATTAGGGGTAAAACAGCACTCTTTGAAATCTTACCTGGCAGCTACATGAGCCAGAACATCAGTACTTCTAGCGGAGAAATGCAGAGCTGCCCAGCCATTGATAAAAAAAAGTGTTACACGCACTCTGTACAGTTCATAATATGTTTTAAAGGCTTTCACGAAGCTTCTACAGCCACAGATGGTGTTTTTTGAAATAAACTGCCTTCTCTGAGGTCTGCACAGTTGGGTAGGTCTATTGCGTGCAACACCACATTGAGAGCCTTCTAGCACACAAAATGTGTTCAACTGCGAATTATTGAAAGGCTGAATATTTAATCTTGATCTGGACATTCGCGCATGCCCTTTGCTGCAGAGTAAATTTCGCTCAACACACTAGGGGTTGATGCGTTGTGCCTGTGAGCCAGTTGCTATCTGGCGGATTAGGCTATGCTATGTCACGTTTTAACACACTACTTGAGTGTATCTAAGATTTTACTAATGGACAGAGTATTTGAATTGTTTGCCCACATATCTTATTTATCGTAGGTTATCTGTAGTTCGAATACAACTAGACACAATGTTGTGTGCGTATGCGCTAGATGCGATGGGCCCCTAGCATTAAGTGCTCGGAATTACATATGGAGTGTAGCTGCGCGCGTCCTAGGTATTCCTCTTAGCGTATGTCAGAGACTCTGGGGCCTTGTCCAGGGGAAGCGGGGAATTCTTTGAAGTTCAGTGGCTCTGGGGTTGAGTGTTTCCCTACAAAGCCATAAATCGAGTGCTACGCCCCAAGGTAGAGAGTTTCATGTAGTTCCTGATCACAGTGAGAGTGTCCACATAGCCTCTTATCTTTAAGAAAATGCGTATTTCATTTTTCTGCATAGGTCAGCGGGTTGCTGAAGTAGGCTATCTATGGTATTTAGCCAGAGCACGACATTTCGTGAAGTGCATGGGGATTTCCATAGTACAAGCTCTTAAGTGGGTGCCTAAGTAATTCCTGCCTTACTGATATAATGATATTACGCATATGTGTATATTATTTGTTGTAAAAAGCAAGCGCAAAGCTTCGCACTGAGCCCACGGCAGGCCACCCCAGCGTTTTATGTATGCAGGAGCCCCAACCAGCGGCGGCATGCGGCTTCTGGGGGCCTTTAAGGGGCCCCTGCTTCCACAAAGGGACTTGATTTTTGACCCTCCTTTGGCTGAGGGGCACAATTTACTACTGTGGAAACCCATCGTCTGTTTGGGCCTTGGAGGCCTAAGAACCTTCCGTCTTGGGGGGCCCCTTTGATGCATGCATCCACGGGTACAAACAAGTATCACGCTTTTTTCTCTTTTCCCTCTCTTCTACGCTCATTTTGGCTCTCAGCAAGGCACTCCTAGATTTTCACAATAGGGATTGGCTGGTCCTTAAGTCCGCACAGGTTATTCTTCAAATCCGCCAGGGGTGCCCAGGGTTCGTGTTGGCTTTGGGTTTTAGAAAAAGTTTCTTCTGTAATTCCCATCACTTGTTTCCTCTCCGTCGTCTTCTTTTCTGTAGCTGAGTGTCTTGGAGAGCCGCTGCAGCTCCCTGCTGCCTTCAATCAGCCGTTACCCTCCTCAGCCTTGTTCTCGATGGCTGCAAGTGCTGCTCCGGTGGGGCCCCGTGTGGGTGCCCCTGCTACGGCAAGTGCTGTGGCAGATGTGGTGCCCAACCCCACTCTGTACTGCAACAACCTAAACGACAGGGTGCAGCTGAGTGACCTCGTAGCGTGCCTCTATGAGTGCTGCTCTGCCTTTGGTGTAGTACTGGACGTAGTTGCAGGGCGGAAGATTAGAGGCCAAGCCTTCGTGGTTTTCTCCGAGCTAAGCTCCGCCACAGCAGCATTGCGAGCGCTGCAGGGCAAGGAGTTCCTCGGCAAACCGCTCCATATTGCGTATGCAAAGACCAAGAGCGATGCGTATCTCAAGCACGTTGACCAGTTTAAACCAAGGAAGCCACATGCACCAAGAACTGCAGTTGTTGCTACACAATCCAAGGTGAATAATTCCCACTTCTTTTAGAGCAACGTATCCGGCAGAGGGTCGAGCTACCCTGCCTGCCTGAGTACCATAGGTAGCGATTTGCAGCCTGGTTCACTTGAGAGCGGGACAGCAACAGCTACGGGCTGATCGACTCGCTGTCTTTCTCCTCGTATGTGCAAGTAGCTAGTTTGTTTATCTTGCGTTCGGTCGTGTGTTGTGTTTCATTGCGTGTGCCTTCGCATTGTATTGTGTTTTGTTTAGGGTACTGCAGCGCCATCTGAAGGAAAGTTTTCTCTATTTGTTGAAAATCTACCGGAGAAGGCGAGCAAAGCCTCACTCGAGATCCTCTTCTCTCAGTACCGAGGCTACGCAGACACCCGGTTGGTAGAAGGCAGAGGGGTGGCGTTTGTGGACTTTACCTCGCAGCCTTTCGCCGAGGTAGCTTTGCAGGGCTTACAGGGATTCAAATTGACGCCTAGACATCCTCTTCGCATCTCACATGTAGACAGGTGATAAAAACTGGATATAAAGTAAAGCGGAATGCGGGCAAACGTCACTGGCGGTCTGATTTCGCTACCTCTACAGACTGCCTGTTGCACTTGACCAGCAGGCGGGGGATACGGGGGAATTAGGACGGGGCAGACACTCGAGACAGTAAGATATATCCTGGGCAACCTCGGGCCATCAACCGAAGACCCCATTTAGGGTTACTTGAATTAAGCACTGTTGAAGAGACGGGCTTATCCGGTGCATAGCAAAGCAGTTGCTTTTGGTCCCAGAGTTATTATGGCCATACTGATGGCTAGCTATCTGGCCAACCAGCTACCTTTGTGCGGACTGCCAGATGAAGAGGACAGACATGGTATCATTTGGATGTAGTTCAACCTTGCATGTGAACAAACACGCACTGACCTCAAGAAGCCATTGCTTTTGGTGGTAGTCGGCTTTTTACAGAAGTAGCACCCGGTAAATGTAGGACTCATGAGGGTTTTATTAGGCTCAACGAGCTAGAAAGATTTATGCCAAACTTTGGTGCGGCTGCGGTCCCCAAGAGTGCAACGTTGTTGCATCGATTCCAAGTTAGTGGCCTTCGTATCTGTTCGCTGCACAGCTGCATCGGAGGCAGTAACGATAGAACTTAAATATCAGCGCTTCAGCATGGCGCTATGTTGCCATAAATGCACATCAGTGAGCTCCTTAAGAAGTTGCCCTGCTTTTTTGTGCCCCACTCTCTGTGTTCAACAACGTTCTGCTTCATTAGCTACGCCGAGGCAGAACGGCTGTGGCCTTATGCAGTCACGATGTCGGAGGGATTCCAGCAATAAACTGTACCGAACAATGTGAGCAGCATGCTATGTTAACGCTCCCCTCACGCCGTTCCCCTGTCTTAAGCCCTTTGGCGTCAGAATAGCCGCATTAGCATGTGTCGTTGCCTGTCTTGTTTTCCATTTTTTAGCTTCACGCGTGCCAAAAGTGGGGGAGGGATGAACCCATTGATTCATTAGGTCGTTGGTGGTTACTATTCAAGGCTCCTAGGTGTTTCATTTCTAAGACTGAGCGTCAGCTGCAGGTGACAGACTCAACTGAACAACTGCTACAGTAAGAGCCCTCTTCTGAGATGGGCACTGTACTTATTAGACTGTCTGCGCACAAAGTGCCGCAACGCCTTTCTAAATACAACGATGACTGGGGAAGATGCATCTTCATGAAATCGGTTTGAGCTCCAGTGAACTGTACTCTACACAAATATCTAGGAAAGGGATGGTGTGTACCTTATATAACAGGATGCTTAACTAGATGGGTGCACAGTGAAATAGCATTCAAGAACTTCACAGTGCGGGGCAAGAGGAACTGCGCGAACTTCCTAACCAACTTAGGTACAGTTTTGAGAGATTCTACCGCGTGCGAAAGACTCCGTGATTGAACGGCAAAGTATGCCACCAAGCTGCACAACAAACAACTGGATGGGCGTGAATGATGCACTCCAGCAGCTCAAGTCGCTTGCCAGCCCAGAGGAAGGTTAGGGGGCAAAGTTGCATTCATGTAATTTCCGCTCAAATGTGTTTCAATGAGGTAATGGTCGCGTATCGACTGTCTGGTTTGGCAGTCAGTTATTAACTTTCCATGGTGGCTCTCAACTCAACCTTAGTGAGTGGATGCTGCGCACCCCTCTGCTAAGTTGGCATGCGTTCAACGGACTGAGCTCTACATTTAAACGCTTCCTACTGACCCATCTATATTTATTATGACTAGCGGTAAAATTGACTAATCGGTGTATCTGTTCACATGCTGTACGTGTTGGAAAGTAGCGTCAGCACTATACAAGCGGACGCGAAATTGTGAGCATGTGTGCTAAATGCTACGCGCAACTGCTTGTAGATGCTTCAAGTGCTTAGAGGGGTCAGCAGTGCACACACTAACTTTCGATATCAACTCATGCCTGACACCTGGTGGAGGCGGGAAGGGAAGAGGGCGAGGTTCTTGCTAACCACTGAATAAATATCAGTTAAGTATGAACTAAGCTTAGAGTCAATAATCTTTCTCCAGACGCCTTCAAATCGGGCTTGAGAGTCCGCAGCAACGCTGGATTCATTTCAGTATTTCTGCTCATCCAGTGGCTGTGGATGCAGTAAAATGTATTGTTTCCCCAGATCAGTTCTATGGTTTAAATCAAGTTATTTAATAATTTAATAGTTTGACATTTTTTGACAGCAGGCTGAGAAGAAACCCCTTAACGCAGTGAAAGTACATGTTCGGGTAACGCGTATGATGGCGCACAGGCAAGCTTGCACGCTTGAATGAGCCCAGTAGTTCCTCAGCTGGTAGTGGCATGCTTTCGGAGCTGGCAATGTGTTTATGCATGCGTCGATAGTATTGGGCAGCCCCGTAAAGAGTGACGGCCTACAGAAGGGAGGCACTCGAACATTTCATCCGTGGGCTAAGGTTGGATCGCTTTGTACCCCTGATTTAAAGAGAAACGAGTACACCACACTGCATGTTTGGTAAAGAGTAATGCGCTTCGATATGACCCCGATTCACGCAGTGCATAGAATCTGCAGGAAAATGGTTTTTCCGTCTATGAGTTGTATATGAAACGTCCCCGGATAGTGTTCGTACATGTCCTTTACACTCAGCTTTATGTGAGAGCCTTCTCGGCTATCTCGTCTCTGCAGTCTTGCCCGAGCCTCTGTTAGTGCTTGAAAATCATCCATGTTGCCACGCCTGGGCTGTTGCAGCACGCAGAGATTGTTCTATTGGGCGCGGAGCCATTACTAAACTGCTGTACATTTAAGTCCAGTCACATATCCTTTTTTGTCAATAGGACGCTTACACATTTTAGCGCTTTGAAGACAGCGACATATCGCGCCACCAGAGTTGCTTCGGTAAAGACCCTCGTTCGTTGTTGGATACGGAGTGGGTCGGTATTCTCTTTTTTCCTTCATGAGCTGACATCCACGTTGTTTTCCTCACTCGCCTTGCTTTTGGCCTTTTGCCTAATCGAAGGATGACGATGAGTCGGGAACGCTTTTTTCGTCTCCCCTGCAGGTAGTTGGTCTTGAAGTGCAGGTATGGAGCACGAGGGCGTACGTTTTGAAATGCGCTGGGGGGCATGGAGTAGCTCGTTAACCTACACTTCATTTCTTTGTACAATGCTAGTTATTTTGACTAAGAAGCAGAAACACTTGACTAATGGGCTTGTCTACTCCAAGTTATTATTAATGCAAAGGATTGTTAGTCAGTACAACAAGACGCGATGTGGTGTGTGTGCGCGTGTGTATGTCTGTGCTTGTGCACATTACATGCTTTGTGCAAATAGCTGTGTTAAGGGCGCAGCGTGTTTTGAGGGTGCAGCCACGCGCTCCCTATGTGTCTTTCTTATCGCATTTTGTAAAGTCTGGCAGGCGCGAAAAGGGGGAATGCAAGAGTTCAAAAGTACTCAATAACTCTAGGTGATGTTTGTGCGGATTCTGGAGTGAAGTGCCTCCTTGGGTGACCTTGCATTGAACCTTGGAGCACATGCGGACGACAGCGAGCTGTAAAGTATCGAGCTTATGCTAATCCTCAACTGATGAGATATATAGGTAGTCAGGCCAAATGGTCAATTCTCTACTGATTCTTTGTTTAATAGAACTATTGAAGTATACAGGCTCAAGTGTAGTTTTTGCCCAATACAGCCATAAAAGAAGCCATACAAGGGGCAGTAGTGATGTAGGATTGGAAACCCTCACTGTAGTCATCTTCCTTATGGGAATACTAAATGCTCCAAGCGTCAGGGCACGATGAAATAAGAACCTCTAAAAGAGGGAAATATAAGGTGGTCCTCCGGTTATATCTCGTATGTCTGTTGCGTACTGCCGTGTTGCCCCGTGCATCGGCACCTATAGCCTTTAGACCTATCCACTCTAAGGTTATCTGTCAGTGTTGCAGCATATGTGTTGCTCGTAGACCCCAAACAAGTGGGTAGGGACCTGGAGTGCATATACGATGCGCTGACTCATGGGACTTTAGGCTGTAGGTACAGGCCCATATAGGTCTTACTAACAACACCATCCTGTCCTGTAATTTTCATTCGAGTTGTTCGAGGGCTGGAGTGTTGCCACAGTTACGTACACATCCCAAATCCTCCGCAGTTTAGCTTTCCTGGCTTCGACTGTAAGTAATTCTCCATTCGAGAAGAAATAAAACAGAGATTATTTCAAGCTTTGCCTTTGCTGGTCAAATTAGAGTGCTCAGATAGCGGGGGCAGGGGATCTTCCATTCCCTTCTCTCAGACGGGGCCCCGAAGCAAAAGTGGATTCCGGTGCCTCCGGAGTTCAGGTCACCTAGTCCCTCTAAGTAGATTTGCTCGTAGGTATTCCAAAACAGTTTTTTTGTAAAGGCTTCCTGAGCGTCGGACTCAAGGCCACCTGAGGAACTTCGCGGGAGTAGGTAAATCCCGGTAAGCTTGGGGGGCCACCACACCAGCGGTTTAACTAGTATTCACCCCTACTCTGTGACACCACACTGCCCAGCTCTCCACAGAGAGACTCTAGGCAGCTTATAGTGAGGACGCAAAGCAGCCAACTGGCTGATTGTGCCAACGTTCTCCCGAATAATTGTAAAGCGGAATTTCTTAATACCCAGCCGTGCACTCAGTGAGTTGCCATGCTCCCATGCTCATGCGACCCCAAGGGCATCTGTGTCTATGGAGGAGGGACTAATTAGGGTCTCACATGGGGCGCTCGCTGACTGCCGTGACCCTCAAGGAACCCACCCCCATGGTGGACCAGTGGGAAGTTCCCTGCAGCAGTGCTGGTTCTCCGCTCGCTGCATTGCACACATAGACGCGGATTGCTTTTACGCTCAAGTAGAAGAACTATCTGATCCATCCTTGCGGTTTCGACTCTTAGCTGTGAGACAAAAGCACACCGTGGTCACCTGCAGCCTTCGCACTCGGGCGGCTCTCGGCAACATAAAAGGTATCTCCGTCGCGAGTGCTCTGCGCCGCTGCCCCGCACTCTGCATTGTTAATGGAGAAGATCTCACCAAATACCGCAGAGTATCCGATAGGCTACTGCAGCTGCTGCAGGGGCAGCCCTGGCGCGGTGTACCAACAGTGCTCTCCTCTAGAGGTACACCAGAGAGGACAGAAGCCTCCACTGAGATCCAGTGCTGCTGCTGCCGCCAGTTTACCGAAGCAGCACGATCGGAATGGTGTGATGCTGCTGCGGCAGTCGCAGCGGACTCGGCTGCGGCTCCACGACCTGTGCAACGTCTGGGCCTTGACGATTTTTTTTTGGATATCTCAGAAGCCTCTCGCGCAGTTGCAGGATCTCTCTTGCGCATCATGTACCAGGTCTCTCATCAGCTTTGTGCCTTCGTGTCAGATGGGGGATGCGCAGAGGGATCTGGTTGCAGCTGCTCTCTGCGGCTAGTCATTACCCCTCCACAGAAACAGCCTAGGGCGTCTGGAGTGTTCCTGCCACCCAGTGCGCTGCGGTGTCGCCGCTGCAGCCGCTGCAGTGGAAGGCTGCAGCAGCCTATGGACTCCGGAACAACTATCTCTCCGCCTTTCTCAGCAGCGCATGCGGAGCTTGCGGGAGCCCCCTCCAGCAGCTGCTGCTGTGAGTGGGAGCTCTCTTGCCCCGCCTTTGTGTATGATGTCAAGGGAGAGGCATCATCTGCAATGTGTCACGGGAAAAGGAGAAGTTCCGACAGCGCGGAGAGGCTGTTGAGCGAGCCACTTGCTTTGAAGCCTCTTCTTGCCTCGGTGTATAACAACGTCCTCCTGGAGGAGGAGCTTTCGGAAAGCCCTGCTGGTGAACGCAGCTCCGCGAAGTCAAGAAAGCACCAGCAGAGGCAGGAACAGGGGCCTACACGTCAGCGGCTCATCGGACTGGCTGCAGCAATCGACGATACGATCGAGGCCTCCAGGTGGCCAAGTTGCGCTGAAAAATGTCGGCAGCACCAGCAGCCACAACAAAAGCAGCTGCAGCAGCATACACCTGGCGCATCAGTGTGCTTATCCGCCTCAAACGAGTGCACTTGTGGTGTACAGAGGCTGTTACTAGTAGTGGCTGCCCATCTGACTGAGGCGATGCGGGGACTCATTTTCTCAACCTTTGGGGGCCTCACGACTACCGGCGGTGCGCTTGCAGCCATCTTTTTTGTAGCACAGGCTTATTGTACTCTGCACGGATATCGTCAAGAAGCTGTGTAGGACATGTGGGGGTGTCTCTTGACAGTTTACGGCTGGGGCACGAAACACTTAGTTCCGCTTTCTAGAGCTTTCTGAGTCCGGAGGATATGGTTGAGCATGTCTCAGGTATTTGCAGCAACAAGACGCTGGCTAAGATGGTTTCTAAGGAGCATAAACCTAGCCAGCAGACGTTGTTGCTCAGAGAGCACCGCAGGCGCTTTTTAGCCAACAAAGCGCTCCGTTCTCTCCCTGGCATTGGTGAGCATCACGATGTTCTCTCTCAACGTACTGGCTCCTGTCCTCTCTTTTGCTTCTGCTTGTTATCATATCCCTGCCCAATATACAAGGTGCTGCTGTAGTTACGGCTTTTCAACGATGCTCGACCCGCTTGCTATGCTCGTTAACTTCGTGTCCTTCCTGATGGCATCATGTGCAATGCGCTTAGGTGCTGCTACGGCTCGGCGTTTGGCTGCTGCCAAAGTGAATACCTGCAAAGAGCTCTTGGCCCTATCGACCAGCGATCTTGCATGTGTCTTGTCTACAGCCGTCTCCTCTCTTTCCAGTGCATCTTCGAAGCTCCCCCAGCAGCAGCGGAAGGGGCTCCAGACATTAGGCCTGTCCTCTCCAGGTGTATGCACACCATCAGAAACCGCCGTAGCCCATGCAAAGCGGTTGATGCTAGCTTGCTCGGGAGACGAGGCCGAGGCGGTGGAAGCGACGTCCGGGGCACCAAAGACTGTGACTGCAGAAGATTCCTATGCCGCACGGCCCATCATCACTTGGAGCTTTTTAACGCAAGAACTCAAGAGACTCCTTGGGCGGCTGCTACTGCGGCACGAAGAGACAACCAGTCGCTCGGGCCTCGTTGCGTCGTCGTTGCGTGTATCTGTAGGGTGCGCCTGTGGCAGATTGTGTGTTCTTCAGGATAACCCCGGGTTCGATGGTCCTTTTGGCGCTCAATGCATGAACATACACCTATGAGTGCCGCTGTAAGACGGTTGTTGCTGCGGTTCCAATTGCCATTCCTATCGAAACTGCAACGTTGTTTTTTGTTTTCTGCTGCAGCCTTAGAAGTCATTTTCACCGGTCTAGCCGCTCTACATTGCTGCCAGCGGATATTCGACATTTGCTGGGGAGTTATTCTCCCCGCAAGGGTCCGCTACCGCGTCAAGCCCTAAATGCTCTCCCTCCCAAGCTGGAATTCCCTGATGGGGAGGAAGGCACTGCGGAGAATACGTCTGCGCATCATGTTGAGTGCCTAGGACAGGAACAATGTACAAAGCACCTTCAGCACTTTGAGAATCCTCTGCACACCGCACTGTCAGCGCTGGCCCTTCAACTCTTTGGGAAGGTTTTTGAAGTCCCCGTTGGGTCGAGCGCAAGGCCCTTGAGTGATATCAGCGTCCTAAGCATTACCTTCGCGGGCTTCTCGCCTCAAGGTACTCGTATGGCAGATGTGCGGGAGACACGCAGAAAAAGCGGAGACAGTCCACGTACTATTAAAGATTTCTTTTGCCAGCACGCTGTAACCAAACGGCAACAGAGAGAACTCGATTACAATGAGTCATGCAGCGCCTGCTCGCCACATTCATTAAGGCATCCCAAAGGAACTGAGTTGCTTACAGTGGAGCCGACATGTGAGGGGAGACAGAGCGTTGGATCTGAGGGTGAGGAAGCGTTTGCCAGAGCAGACAAAAGTCCCAGAGGGGCTTCCTCCGAGATCTCACTTAGCCTCAACTGCCGCGCTTGGAAAACTCAGGAAGACGAAGGGGATGGCGACTGCCAACAGGAGGAAATAACAAGAGCTTCTGGTCCATGTGCCACGGTTTTACACCGCAATAAAATTGAGATCATCAGTATCTCCTCTCGTGAGTCGTCTCCGAATTCTCGTGGATCCTTGTCCTCTTCACCCACTGACGAATGCGAGGGGTGTATGAACAATAAGGCCACCAAATCAAATGCAGTAGGAACCCCCGTAGGCTGCCACACAGGCGACGAGGTGGTGGCGGTAGGGAGGCGTCTGTCAGCTTCATCCCAGTGCGAGGCCTCAGGCTACCAATTAGAGCAGCCCCTGCCATGTACTGACCAAGAGAATAGAGGCTTGCATAAGCACGAATCAACGAAGGTAAATGCTCAGAGAGGAGTAAATACACGCCGAATAATGAGGCAGCCGATGTCTGAACACCGACCAGCAGGTTTCAAAGTGCAAAGAGCTTTCACACGGGAAAATGCAAGTGAGAGAGCCTCAGAAATATCCCCCAAAGTATCGTGGGGCTGCCTAGACTGCGAGCCAGCTCGCTTTCCGGCCAGTACACATAAGGGAAACAAGCGACCGCCTCTACGGAACGACGAAGCGGCAAGTCAGAGAAAAGCGGGGCGAAAAAGCGGGGTATCGAAGCCACCTGTGAACCTGACTCATTTTTTCCCGTTTACGTCGCCAAAGAAAGACTAGAAGCACTGGAAAACTGTATGGATTGAGGTGGCAGCAAACGTTTTGGTCTCTACCCGCAGCGCTTTATATGCTTGTTTTAATTCATCGGGTCCTCACAGTGCCTAGTCCTAAGATCAGGATACACACCTCTCTCCCGTAGCACATGTTGAGCGGGGTTCGTTAATTCCTCGGTTGATCTATCTTTAGAGCTGACTCAGCGCTTCTACGTTTATTTTTTAGCGGCAGCTGCTGGGTACTGATGCTGTACTTGCTAATTGCTTGTACCACGATAATGTAGGCATGTATATTTTCTGCCGCATTAGTTGTATCTGACTAGCCATTAGCAAGGATTTGACATGTTGGCATCCCTGTTCGTACATTTTCTTTTTTGCGGAGTGCGATAGCTCAATACAAGACGAGAGGATGTTGTGCACGTCTGCGCTAGATGCTATGTGCAACTAGATGTGCATGCTTGGGGTACTTTGAGGATGCGGTAAGGCGCACACGGGCTTGCCCTCTCCCCTGATGTCTGGAAGTCCGAAGGACGCGGGCGGGAATTAGAGGAGGCTTTTTGAAAAACGCTATATAGCTTTCCAAGCTTGCATTGAGTCTATAGCTAATTGCTTTTCGAGCGAAAAGTTTTGATGGAATGTTCTACTGCCCATGCTTCTACACATCACCCGTTGTGCACGATTTATTAGGGCACCCGAGTGGCTACCTGCGACAGGCCACATGGATACCCGGATGCTAAGTAAAATATTTTCCACTGTAGCATTACTGATGTATCTTTTTCTGAGGCCGTGGTAATGCTGTCCACGAATTCGCGTGTTCAAACATCTGCAACAGGTTGGACTGAAGACCCTGTTACATTTCCATGCGCCCTCCGAGCATGTGCATACAAGGGTGCAGAAATAAAGCAGAACTTACTGTTATGATGTTAAAATTTGTTGCATGTTAATCAGACTTAGCTAATTAGCAGGGTCGCAGCTTCATCGTCACTCAGCTCTTCATGGTTTGGTCATCAGGACTCGTGCTTGCTGCTGTTGCTACATTAGGGATCTGAAGGGGATAACTACAGAGACAGTATGAACATAATAACGATATGATTCTAGCAGCCAAACCTTTATGGCTAGCTGAATTTTCAGGTGGGAGGTGGGAGGGGGGTGAATGTTTACTTCTCAATGACGGGTTCTGTAACAACTGATTAATGGTGGACCAGACAGGTGGTGAAGCAACGCTGGCATTGAAAAGAGCAACTCCTGGCAAAACCTTAATTAAGTTTGATGTGGTGTGCTATTTGTAATGTTTTAAAGCTAGCATGGTGCCATACATATGCAAGAATTGCTCCAGCAAGTGGCATATGGTGATGCAGCCAGCACCATGGCGGCATGTCGCCAGTGACGGTGGTGGGGTGGGGGTGACTTACCTTCTCTCTTGCAGTCAGTTTCATTAAGGTATAACTTACCCTGCTTGTTGTCTACGGTTTTTTGCTGAGAAATTTCGAGTGAACTGGCATCGTTCGAAATTCTCGGCGCTTTCTAGCGTCTCTTGTGCCTTGAGCTTTTATTACAATTCTCGGTGTTTGTCACTCTTTTACTTGGCGATTTCCTCCTTACCAACAACATGTCGCGGCCCAGGAAAGATCCTATGGATCCTCTGAATTGGGAATACCGACTTCAAGACAGTTCCTTCTCCCAAGCGCGTTCAGTAGACGGCTCCCTGAGGGAATCACACTCGGTAAAGTACGCTGCAGGATCTTATGAATACAAGTGAGCCCTGTTTACCCATTACCCAGCCCTAAGAGGTTCAAGTGGTCTGCTAGTTCTCATCCAATGCTCCGAATAATCGCTCAATCCAGGCTTTTTTGTAGTGTTTTCCCCGTGGGTGCAGGTACATTACCTTGACTAGGCAGGTAAGGCGCCTGCTGAGCCTGACGTTGACGCACGCACCCATACCCTTCTCAACACCTTTCAGTTTTCCATGACGCATAATGACATGGTCGCCTTTTTTATTTGTGCGTTATGCAGCAATACGATATCTTCCGGGAGGCGCTACGACGGAACCCTCGTGGCTTGGTGTCTGAGCAGTATCTGCTACAGGTGCTGCATGTTCAGCAGACTCCAGGCTGGGAGCACTATTACATTTACCCGTAAGCTAATAATGACCCAAAACGGGTTCTTCGCCACAATAAATGGCCAAGTGTTAAAGCTTATGAAGGAGCTTAACAGCCGAATAACTTTAATTCACATTCCGAACTAGGCTTTACCGTCAAGTGCATTTCTGGACAATAGTGTAATGTGTGCTCAGCATGAATCCTCACGTATTATGTCTGAGGAGGCCCAGGGCAGGCGCTTCCAACACAAAGAAAGAACTTCAAATCCTGTCAAACGCCGTGCAAGGATGAAATTCAGCACACTGAACGAAGCGTATAGATCGAGATCATGGGAATGGCCAGAAAGTTTCACACAAATGGTATTGTGTTGGTGGATCGGATGGGCTGCTCTATGACCTACAGCAGCATTCCTTTTATACATTGCAGGTTGCCACCGTCTTTCTCACAGTCATTGTATTTCCGTGTGATCCCCAGTGTCTATTTTCCTTTTTATAGTCATGTCAAGTTGTTTTTGTCCATAATATCAAGTTGGATGCTTAGTTATACCAAAGTTGTGGAAGCAACTTTTTGGGTCAAAGCACCCGACTGTGATTCTTTGACGAGCAGTCACCCGCATTCGCCTTTCGTGCCTCATGAGGCATAGATTAAACCCTTACGGAGGCGAATCCGCCCGCTTTGCACACTCAAAAATTGTCACTTGTCTGTTCAGCCCCCCTGCGAAAAACTGTATTAAGCGCCCGCTTGTACATGTATCCTGCTGCAAGTATCAGCTGACATCTAAACAGGAGAGTCAACCTGAGCCTTGCTGAGGCCCTAGTTGCGTCGTAACCAAATAAGAAGCGTACACACATTTGCCAGCCCTGTGTCACACGACAGTAGCGGCTGGATATCCGTTGGTCGCATGCATTTAGATGGCTTACAAGAGAGGGCCACTGTGTAAGCGACGATTCTACTGCACTTCCAGGCAGCGAGCAATGTGTGTTACCCGAGTTGTACACATTGGAGCTGTGAAGCGACTGTCAAATAACCATATATACAGAATTACAGCTTACCAAATGGAGTAGAACAGTTATTGGGGGAGAGAGCTACGCGGCGGTGGTTTACGAGTCCGAGTCACTGCGGGAATACGCTAGGAAACGCCTATGTTCAACATCGATGTACTGGTTAGCCGTAGGGCCCCTATTGGCGCGCATGTGCATTAGAATCCGCTGCCGCGGCGCAGCCGTCTCCAAGACTCCTTTATCTGCAAGATGCTTGGGCAGCTCCTGTCCACTCTCTGTCGTGAAACTTGCAGTGGTGGGGATTGTCTCCGCAGAGCGGACTCCTGTTGGCCCTTCCGTGGGGGACACTTCGAGGCCAGACTCACTTGAACTTATGCTCGGTTTCCACCTGTCACAGCTACCCAGGTGCTCAAGGCTCATACCTGACTGCCGACGTTGCCTCAGGCTGACAACAGCATGGGGCCTCGTGGTTGGGCCATCGCTGTCGCTTGAGGAAGATGATGGAATTACAGGTTCTTGCTGCTTTGCAGGCATATCGGCAGTGTTCTTCCTAAAAATACCACTCTTTATTTGCTTGACCAGATCCAATGGATTGGGGATGTTGGGGATCATGTCTAGCAAGTCTCCAACCCGCGGACTGCTAGAGGTACTGCCAAAGCTCCGAAAAGTAGCCCCTGACGCCAAGTCGTGGATATTCAGTGCCACGGGGCTGAGTAGAATACAAACGCATGTGTGTAATCTGGCTAAGGTAGCAAATGAGGATCAGCCAAGATAACCTCATTACAGGCCACTGCACCCGCGATTGCAGTTTTCCACGCACTCAAGTGACTTCGTGTACCTTTCAATAGTCATCCAAACTCAATATGCTGCATTGACCGTGGAACGTTGCACAAAATGCTGGCAAGCCGCTATGTGTACAGAGCCAAAGGCTGTTCCTAAAGCCAGATAATTCGCCAACTCGCGGGGATAAATGCAAGGAAAGTTGTGAGGACTCACCGGTACATTTCCACTTGCCTCAGGTTCCGCCTATTGGCAAAGCAACTGGATGTGATGCCCCCAGAATTTTGACTCGTCATGTTCTTCTCTTTTTTAAAGATGCTGAACGAAGAAAGACGTAAAAGCAAGTGCAGGAACATTCGTGCACGCCAAGGAGGAACTACGCTGCGATCGCTCAGAACAGTGCCACTTCTGCAGCTGCAGTGTGTTAGTTCGCTCTCATAAGATCTATGACCCTGTGCGGAGTCTCGTGGGCTATATCTGTAGCCTACTTGTTTCCGAATGAGGAAAGCTTCAAGAGCTCCAGGGTGTGGCTACTGTCAGATCCATCCACAGTAGCGGCAGCAGATGGGGCCTCTTTTGGTGCCCGGCGGAGGGCCAGATGTCCCAGCCGGATGCAATCTGCTCTAGCTTTCCTTAGGGTGTCCGTCGCTCTCGTGAGGATTTCTTCCTGCACCAGGCAGTTAAGTGCATAGCGCCATTAGCCATTAAAGAGATGAAGCACCAGAAATGGCATCAGCATGCGAAGCGGAGAGGTAATTGACACTTGAGAGGTGCAGCTGGGCAATTATTCACAAATCAGGATGATGGCTGAGACCAGTTAAATGGGGACGAGAACGGGGGGAACGAAGACAAGGACAGAGCCCCTGGTCAGCTAGCCCCCTGTTGAGCTGCCCTCCTAGTGCCACAAAAAATAATGATCCGCTCAATTATGCATATGGGGGGCAAAGAAAGAAGCAACCAGTTCACCTTCTCCATGGTGATCGCCTCGTTCAGCTCCAGCATTGTCTCTACTTGGACTCTACGATGCTGCAGCTTTTTCTGTTAATCACAGGAGCAGCAAAACAAGCACTTCGTACAGAGTGATGAACTGCCACGGGCAGCTGCTTGATAGATTTTATTAAAGACTTTCCCTAATGCTGAATACTTCGTTGAACGATACAACGCAAGCTGCTTCTCTGGTCTCAGAATATTGCCCCTAAATGGGGCAAATACAAAGTTGGAAGTGACAGCACATGTTGAGGTGTAGCCCTTTAATGCTTCCTCGAGCTACGGTTATTAGGCCACACAGTGGTCCGACAAGTCATAAGCAAAAAAAAGCAGCACATAAGCGCTAGTAAAACCTTAGATCAGTGAAACAAGAGGCAGTAGTATACCTACGCATATATCGAGTTCCAGCCAAATAATGACAGTGTGTAGGTTTCAACAATAAGCGATCAGCCACGGCACTCACCTCTAGGGCCTGAATTTTGGTTTCTAAGTCTCGTCGAGCGAGCGTCTGTTCATTGGCTCTCCGCAACACTTTGTCGGACGCTCTCTCCAGTTCATTATATTGTAACCGCAAGTCTTCCAGCTGTTGCCTTAGCTGCTGTGATTCAGTTGAAACGGCAGGCTGCTCCTCCCCTAGCCCCGATTCGACGTCCGTTTTGGATTCCACTGAGTTAGTCTCGACAGCAGCTGCATCAACATGTGTGTTGTGAAAGTGTCCTTTTATGTGCTCCTGGAGTTCAGCCTGCGCTTTTTCTGATTGATCCAGCTGCTGCTGAAGGCGGAAAACTTGTGCTGCGAGGATCTTGCAGTTGGCTTCATGTTCTATTGCCTTTTGTTGCGCATCGCGAAGCAAGTCCCCCTGCTGTTTCTGTTGCTGTTTTGCGTTCTCGGTCTCCTCTAATAGCTCCGTGACATGCTGTCGGTGCTTCTCCAGCTCTCTCTTCATCTCCTGAGATGCAGCCTCCTGCTCTGCCAATTGCTGACTGTATCGCCTCAGCGTCTCTGTTACGGATGCCTCAAGCCCTGCTTCTCTTGCGGGATCCGTCTCCTTGGTTTCCCCCAGAGAAAGAAGAACCCTCTCCAATTCTGCCTCTCGTTTGAGATATGATTCAACTTCTCTCTCTCGTTCAGCTGCGTGCTCAGAAGCAGCGGCGCATTGGGACTGCAGCTGGTCGACGCACTGCTCCAGCCGCTGCCGATCCTTCAACGCCTCTGTCAGGGACTGCTCAGTGGCATGCAGTTGCTTTTTAACCTCCGCAGAGTGCTCTTTCTCTGTTGACAGGTGCAGCTGCAGCTCTTTCAGCTGTACTTCCTGCTGCTTTTCAGCTACCTCCTGCTGCTGTGCGTGCAGCTCCTGCTGGTGCCTGAGCTCGTCTGCTATCTTTTGAAGCTCTGCAAGTTCTTGCGTCAACTCAGCCTTCTCTCTTTGCAAACGCAAGGCCTCCTCTTGACTTTCGCGCAGCAGCTCCTGTTGTCTATCTCCCTCGGCTTCCTGCTGAGAGACAAGTGCTGATAAGCGTTGCTGTTGCTCTCTTTCGAGCTGCTGCCGCTGCTGTTCGAGTTGAATCTTGTGCTGCTCAACCTGCGTTTCTAACTCTTGTCTATGCTGTTGTAGTTGTTCTACTTCTTGCTGTCGTCTTTCGAGTTGTTCCGCCAGTTGGTCGCGCTGCACATCCCGAGCTCGGGAGGCTTCTCTCTGCTCCTCTAGCTCAGAGTGTAACTGCTCCTGCTTCTGCTTCATCTGTTGCAGTTCATTCTCGAGCTGCTCCGCTGCGCTCTCGCGTGATTGTAATTGTTGTACCATTAGAGCATGCTGCTGCTCAAGGCCTTGGCATTCATGCTCTCGCTGCTCGAGTTGGTGTCGGAGATCGGTTTGCTGCTGTTGCATGTGCTGTTGCATCTGCTGTTGCACTCGCAGCTGCTCCTCCAGCTCACCATAGTGCTGCTTCTGAAGCTCAAGCTGTTGCTGCTGCGTCTCACGTTCCTGTTGCCGTTGATTTTGCAGCTGCTGAAGCTGTTCCCTCTGCTCTTCGGTTTGATGCTGGAGTTCCTTCTCAGAAGCTGCAACAGCCGCACACCTTGCAGAGAGCTCTCGTTTAGTCGCTTCCTGCTTCTGCAGCTCGAGCTGCAGATTCAACAACTCGTCGGCCTTTGAATCCCTTTCTGCAGCCAACTGCTGTTGCAATTGTCTCAGGACCTCGCATTCTCGTTCCAACTCGGCTTCTCTGTTTGCTGCGCGATTTGCTGCAGTTGTCTCAGCCTCCCTAAGACGCTGAGTTTCCTCACGTAGCCTCTGGAGTTCTAATTTGGCCTCAGCTTCTCTTTGGGTGGCCTCCGTCAAGGCCTCCTGCAGCGTTCGTGTCTCTTCGTGCTGCTGCTCCGTTCCTTCGCTTGCCAGTTCTGCAGCCAGGCTGCCTGACGCTTCTGCTGAGACGGAGCTTTGAAGGCTCGTGACTCTCTCCAGTCGCCGATATTGGCGGGGAGGAGGAGCTCCGAAGGCCTTCATCTGCATCTGCGCGGCCAGGCTGGAAGGCCTACTCCCCTGACGAGAAGCAAAGTCTGGTAGGGCAGATGAACCCGGAAGCTGGGTGCTCGAGGCCAGGTGGTGCAGTGGCAGCTGCATGCGGGGTGTCTCCTGCTGCAATACTCGCACGGCCTCCCGCAGCCCCTCGATCACTGAGTCTTTCTGAGCGCTCTGCGTCAGTTGCCGCTTCAGCTGCATCCAGCCACACAGACAATCCTCACCATCCCGCAGAGCTGCTTGCGTTTCTATGTGGAGCAAGAAACTAGCTGCCTAGCAACTGACTGCCCTCCTGCTCGCATGCATAAAAAGCAGCTTAGGCATGTAGGAACTGTCTGTCTGATTCCAAGTTCAGGTGGGCCTGTAGCTTGCTCAGAACTTGACATCAGACGGGCAGCTAGGCAGGCAACTAGGTTGGACAGCAAAGTAAGCGGCTCCTTTGAAAATCTGGAGGGCGCAACTGGCATCAAGACTCCAACCCTAACAAGTGCCTTACTTCTTTGTTCGCTTTGTCGAGTTCCTTTCGCAGCTCTTCAGCTGAACCTGCCTTACACAGCCGACGACCGGCACTGCTGAGGTGCAGAACACAGCAACATGTACCATTGTGTCTGACGTGCAGACGCCGATAGCAAGACAAATGTGTGTAGTAACAGTCAATGTATTGGACAAGGGAGCGCAAATGATTGTATTTCTTGACCACCCGCCGTCTTCTAATTCCCCGAGTTGATGCTGAGAGTGACTCATAAAGCTATGCGAAGCTGCGACTAAGACTCACGCGCTTATGGAACCAGCGTCTCGCGTCTGTGTAGGAGACGCAGGGAGAGATGACTGCTCGACCTTCGCTTTCAGGCTTGAGCTGGCGGACTGTACGGCTTGCTGGAGGAGCTCCACCTCCTCGTGAAGGGACTGCACCGAACAGCGGTGGTACAAGAGGGGGCAAGCCACACCGCTTAAGAGAGGGCAGCGAAAAATACAGGGAACTACGAACGAGCAGCACGCAGTGTGATATGCTTCCTCTCCTCCTGCCGTTACCACAAAGGTCACTCTGGCTGGCATTGTAGTCCCACATACACAAGCAAGTGTGTATGTGTGTGTGTGTGGGTTCTGAATGTAAAAGGCTCAGCATGTCTCACGCCATTCTCAGCTCTAAGCGTTTCAAGTTCTTTCCGTAGCGCTCGCTGCTGCAGCAGCTCCTTTTTACTTGTGTCTAGCTCACGCTGAAGCTCCTCTATGGTTTCCAGCTGCAGCACACCCATATTTTTCCCAGCCTTTTTCTCAACCTCAGTCGCCGCTGACGGAGTAAAACACTGGACTGACTCGTATGCCCTTCATCTCACTCTAGACCGCAGATACGCATGACTTAGCTAGCTACAGAAGGCACGAACAAAAGGCGGTGCAGTTGCCGGCAACAGGGTCGATAGCCCTTCAGGGGTGTCCAAGACAAATTACTGGCCGGGTGTCTTTTTGGTGAGAGGCAGTCAATAGAGTCACCTGTTTCTGCTCCTCTGCGCGATGTCTATCGAGCCGATCCAGGAGCCCATCATTGGTCTTGTGTTGTGCCTGCAGCTTTAGAACACACAGAAGCGAAAAGAGGGAAGAAACAAGCTTCGCAGCGCCGTGCTTCTTGTTTGTTTATCGCATTCTGGTTCATAAGACCCTCTCATAGCTAAGGGAACATTTATCGACAGTTTTGGCGAGGTTCATAGGCCCCTCATGACCCCACATAGGTCAGCAGAGAAGCGAGTCCTTTATGTCTCACAGCCCCTCAGAGGATAGCTGTCTCATGATGCCATATGTTGTACAGTCCTCTCATCTTTTTGCTCCGTGTTTCTGAGCGTCGTTTCATTCTGCACACGCTTGCTTGAGGTCACGTAGATTGTGAAATCGCTCTCCTATCCAAACCTACCCGCCTCATGACCTCCTGAATCTGCGGCTCCAGTACTGAGATAAGTGCCCCGTGCAAGCGGGCGATGCAGCGCTCTACTGATGGCTTCATACTGCTTGAGCCGGCGAGGTCCCCCAGGGCAGCGTGGCCAGGACTTAGATTGGGGAACTGGCTAAAGGATAGCGAGCTGAGGTGTCTCGACGCTGAAAAGTGCCACACCAGCAAGCAGGAGCAGGAGCGGCAGCGACTTTAACCCTGAAGTTGACGATCCTACAGCTAATGACGATCCTACAGCTAAGGGACAGGTGACTTGTGGGGGCAGAGCAATCACGGAGACGGGCAGAAAACACAGGGAGTGACCTTTGGGAACCAACGACTACCGCGCTGCATGGAGAGGCAAAAGGGTCAAGCTCTTTGTTTGCCGCTCACAAAGCAACCGTGGTAATGACGCATTGCTGCCGGAGCCCTGGCTCAACTGAGGAGCAGTCTCCGACCGAACCTCTTGCAGCTCTTTGCAAAGATCTTCAATCACCGTCTGCATCTCCCCCAGCATTGCAAGCTCCACACAGGCCTTACTGGCCTTCGTGGGGCCTTGCAGCTCTCCATCCGAAGATACAGCCTCCATGTTCGCGGGGCAAAAAAAGAATCGCCCGAGGATTTCTTTAGGGATCTACAGACACCGTATTAATGCCTAAGAAACCCCCTTTCCCCCCCTCTCCCCGAAAACACAACCGTTAATATTCACGGGCCTCCTGCTGCCTCCAGAGGGGCCCCCGTGCACAACGCACAGGGGGGCCCCTCCGTCCCATGGCCGGAACCTGCGTGACCCCTTCTCGCGCTTGACTTCTTGTAGTGTCCTAACAAGAGAAAGTGCTACGCCTGACTGCGGAAGTAGAGGGGCTGCAGTTCTGGACGAATCTCACAGTTTGCCAAGCGAGGATTTATTGAAAGAGTCCCTTTAGGCTACTCCAAGTCTCCTTAACGGTTGCAAATGCACCACTTCTCGATGACCAACAATAACGACACAGAGAGCGTAGACGGCTTGAGAAGACCTAACAGACGGGCTTGTCGCTGCTAGATGCAATGCAGCTCTGCAGCTGCTTCAAGGGGCCCAGGCTGCAAATGAGATTGTCTGGGAAGTTCTTCGACGGACCTCACAGGCCATACAGCGGCTGTTTCCAGCAGAAAACAAAGCCTAGGAAGCTATGGATTGCCGATGAAAGCCCTGAGAAGCTAAAGTCAAGGGCGGGCCTCAGTGGTGCCCCGTGGCTTGAAGCATCTCAACACTGAGATGGTGACTTGCTTTTATTTCCTCGAAGTTTACCAGAGCCCTCCCTTTCATCCTCAAAAAATCTAATTTTGATCTGTGAGGCACCAAAAATATATTTATATTCTGGCTTGGGGCCCTCGCCGGTAATTAGCGGTGGCGACCCTGGGGGCCCTCTGCCGAGATGCAGGGAGCGCTAGGACGGCAGTCTTTTGTTGCTATCTCGAGCAGCTTTGGACACAGTGGACCTCTGCACCAGAAAATCAATCCTAAATTCAGAGCTCCAGGAGCCTAACTGGAAAATATTAATGCTTTAGGTCTCGCACTTTTCCTTTGCGCTAGTGGTGCAAGGAGGCACTAGACCAATGGCCCATAAACGAGGGTAGGGAAACATTCAAAGGCGCTGTACTGCAGGACTGCTTTGCAGAAGCATGCTCCTCAGGTGACTCTTGCATAGCAATTATCAATGCCACCACCCGTAACTATCAGTAAGCCCAGTAATACTAGCACGCACTGGTCGTAATGTGGCACACGCAATCATGAATGCTTTGCCACGAGGAGGCGCGAAAATCAGGGGCCCCCGAAGGTGGCAGCTTTAAACGGGCATGCATGTAGAGCCCTCCTACTGTGGTAAAAGGGTTTCCAAGGGGTCTACCTACCCGTCGACACAAGACGTGCGCAAGAAGAAATGTCGACAGTGAAATCTTTAGACACGCGCGAGGTGCAGTCATTGAGACCCCTTGGGCCCCCACGAAGCGCGATCACGGGTACCCAACGAGTTTGGGGGCAAGGGCACTAATGGGAAAGCGACAAGTTAGCCCTCGTCCAAACTCTACTTGTCAGCGTAAGGGTGGGGCCCCCCCTGGGGGCACCTGCCGGGGGCCCCAGGCAGCAGCATATCCCACAGGCGCGTGGAGAGCACCAGGGAAAGCCATTGCCACTCCATACTGGGGACCGCTCTGCATCCCTGCACTGTTGAGTTGCGGCCTTAGGGCCCCCCCCCCCATGTGCTTTTGTTGTTGCGTGAGGCTACCAAACGTCCCATCCCGCTGCACAGATGGGGCCCCCGTGGGGGCCCCAGCTACGCTGCTGCTAATGACAGAGGAATGGTCTTCGTCGCTAGAACCAAACAATTCTACTGAGGAGATGCGAGAGGCGGGAGAGGACTGTGCCGCCGCATTAGGGTTACTTGCGTGGGGTCCTGGGGCACCCAAAGCACTACTCTGCGCCATCCCTCCAACTACACTGAATCCAAGAGGCACAGAGCCACCAGCAGCAGCAGCAGCGACAGCAGCAGGCGTTATAAACGGTGTGTGAGGCTGAGATTGGCGAGCCGACGAGGGCTGGGCCTCAGCTTTGGCAGCTCTGGAGGCTAAGACCAAGGCATCCGCGCTGCTACGGCAGCAGAGGTACTCCTGCACCAGACACACAGTAGGGTAAAAGGGACGACAACAATCGGCTTGGGTCTATCTATTCGTGCTCGCATTCCCCCCCTTCCCTCCCCCTTGTTTCCTTCGCCCTTTCCCTCATCAACCTCAGCAGGCATGCAAAAATGCAGGTGTTTCCCTGAAAAACACCCCAAAATAGGCCATACGATACAGGCGCTAAAGCCACCACCCAGTGTCTCCTGCTGCGCGCTTTCTCGGTACCCACAAGCGAAGAACGTGCGACACGTCTCCCCGTCCAGTGGCATACCCAAAGATTGCTGTCTGTAGCTCCTTGGCTCTCTGCAGCTGCAGACAGCGGATCCGAGATCCGCAGAAACAGCCGACGAGCTCGTACTGCCAAAGCCCTCACGCGGCGCTGCCTTGATGCCTTCTCCTCCTGCCCTGATCGCCAAAACACAGAGCAGCTAGCACGACGCCCTCATATGCATGTATGTGTATGCAAGAGTATTCCGAAGTACGCAGATACGTGCATACATACACGTGGAAGTACATAGATCGGCGAATCACAGATCGTCGCACGAGGGAGCTTTATGGCGAGCCGTGCAGGTGGGTTGGCAAGCGCTTGCCTGGGTCTATATATATATATATATATGCATATATAATGTATGTCTATACACGACACACGATTGCATGCGCCTATCGAGGAAAAGGCGACGCGAGAGAAAGAGCAGAGAGAGACATAGTGCCATCGAAGCAGAGGCAGGCAGGCAGGCAGGCAGGCAGGCAGGCAGCGACACAGGAGACTTGCATTTAAGTGGCAAGACAGCAAGTTAACTCTCTGACTCAGAGGCTGCACAGGCCCTGTGTAGGGCCAGTGCGGCGGAAGGGGTGACAGCAAGTTGGTGGAATATGAACTCGAGAGAAGACATACCCTCCGGCTCTGGCGACAAGGCCTGAGGATCGGGGATATAAAAGGAGTGATAAGGCAATAAAGCTCTGACCACCTCCTCCAGAGCAACATAGGGCTCCATGCGTTCTCTTCGCTGCCGCTTGCGGCGAAAAGTGTTTCCCGTGGAAGGCGTTGCAGCTGTATCGGCAGCAGGCTGTTGGCGCGACTGGGCGAGCTCTTCTTCCTGTGCCACCCCTGTCTCCGAGGCGTTCGTCGATTCTGCTTCCCCCGCAGCAGCAGCAGCAGGCGGAGGCACCGCTACGAGGGGGGCTGCGTCGGGAGCTGCTCTTCCTTCCGCTTCGACTGCAGTGGCTTCTGCACTCTCCGTCTTTGCCCCTCCAAGCAGACCTGCTGTAGGAGCTGCACGCAACAGTCCTCTTGCCGCGTCCTCTGCAGAAGACGCCTCCGTTCCAGCTGCCGTTCCGCTGCCCTCTGACTCCTTCACAGGAGGGGCCCCCTGGGCATCCCTAGGAGGAGCTCCTCCCGCGGTGGGGCCTCCTGAGGAGGAGGGGCCCCTCCTCCTCGGCGAAGAGGCCCCTTTCGTCGACTTCGGAGCCACGAGAACGACCTGGAAGGGGGAGAAGGAACGCAAGACGTCGGACAGAACGTAGCGTCTGTCTTCGGCAATCGCCTCGCGGCTGCGCTGTCGGCGTTCAGCACAAAGAATCTCGAAGCGTTTCAACGCGCGAAAGACACTCCCATAGTCCCTCTTCTTGCCACCACTTGCCACGGGAAGAGCCAAGCCCCCCCCTGCGCCATACCGCCGTCGATACCACGCAGCCAAGCTTTCGAGAGGCTCCCCTGGGGTTCGCTCGATCTTGCATTCCTTGGGTGCTTCTTCTTTAGGTCCTGAAACGCCGTCTGCTGTCCCCTCCAGTGCGCCTGCTGTCGCTGCCGCTGTTGCTGCTGGTGTCGTCGATGTCGCTGCTGCTGCTGGTGCTGCTGCTGGTGCTGGTGTCGCTGCGCCTGACCGCGGAGGGGCGAGTGCTGCATACTCACCAGCCTGCGTACCTGAAGGCTGTGGAAGCAGCGGCAGTCTGGTCACCCCCACCCCTGCATTAGCGGTGGGAGAAGGCGTGGCTAGTCTTCCTGCAGCGAAGAGCACAGGCATTTGCACTTGGGAAAGGTGGGGAAAGAGGGGAGGCAGGCGCGTCGGATCGTCGAAAGAGGCCAGAGGGGGCCCCAAGAGATTCCCCAAGCGCGTGCGCTGCAACAGGTAAGACGCATGCGCCATCGCTAGCGGAGCCACTGCGCGAAGGCCTGGGGCCCCCGAAGGGGGCCCCAAGGAGGGGGGAGCCGCCCCCCCCCCCATCCCGGGGGGCACACCCGCAAGCGACACCACGTCGGGGGCCCCCCGACTGGGCTGGGGGGCCCCCTCCGGAGAGAAGAGGCCCTGCAGGCCCCGCTGCGCCGAGGCTACAGCCGCTCCGAAGAGGGCGAAGCGCCGCGTCAACTCCGCGGATTCTGTTGCCGCCGAGCCGAGAGCTGTTGCTGACGCTGCTTCTACCGGAGCTGCTGGGGAAGCAGCGGCACACATCGGTGCTGAGGCGGAAGGGGCAGACGCAGGAGCTGCCGTCGGGGAATGCTGCTGGATACCGCTAAGGGGGGGCCCCGCTGCTGCTGAGGGCTGCTGTACTCCCGCTGTAGAGGCAGCTGGGGTACAGGAAACGGCCGTCAACGCAGAGCCTACGGGGGCCCCTGTAGCGACTTTCCCGGGAGGAAGTGCTGCTGCTGGTAGAGCTGCTGGTGCAGGTAGAGCTGCTGGTAGAGCTGCTGATGCAGGTAGAGCTGCTGCTGGTGGTAGAGCTGCTGCTGGTGCAGGTAGAGCTGCTGCTGCAGGTAGAGCTGCTGATGCAGGTAGAGCTGCTGGCGCTGGTAGAGATGCTGGTGCAGCTGATGCAGGTAGAGCTGCTGGTGCAGCTGATGCAGGTAGAGCTGCTGCTGGTGCAGGTAGAGCTGCTGGTGCTGCAGGTAGAGCTGCTGCTGCAGGTAGAGCTGCTGCTGCTGGTGCAGGTAGAGCTGCTGCTGCTGGTGCACCTGATGCAGGTACAGCCGTTGAAGTGATTAGAGGAGCTGTTGCTGCAACAGTAGCAGCAACAGATGGCGCTTCAGGCAAGTTTTTAAATTGGAGCATTGCCGGGGCAGCTGCAGCTGACGGTTCTCGGCTTTCCTGAGCGGAGGCATCAGGGGCCCCCTCGTGGGGGGGCCCTCCTGCAGGACTGAAAGTTGGAAGAGTGCGGTTCTCTGACATAATGAAGCGCAGTATGCTAGCAAGAAGCCTCAGCTGGTGTACCACATTGCATGAAGGCCTCTTTTCCTGTGGCACCAGGCCTTAGCGCTCGTTGAGGAGCCTCCAGCACCCCATACGGGAGAAAACTTGCTGCCGGTGCTGCTGAAGGTTGCGAGCATCCCTCAATGACAAGCATTCGAGAGCTCTAAAGAGCCGCAAATGAGGGCAGAAAGATCGAAGCGAGTTGCTGGGGGCCCCTGAAGCTCGTGGCTTCGAGAGAGGGAGAGCGCTTTCAGAATTTGCGGGGAACCCCCACTCCAGTTGCATCCCGTCTGAGCAGCCAATGAGGGCCTTTGGAGTTGGAGGGGCAGGCAAAACATGATTTATGCATGCTGGCAAAGCCCCTTTAAGTCGCCGCTGCAGCCGCATGCTGCTGCCGGCGTCTGTCTTCAGCAGCAGCAACGCCATGTTGTGTGTCAGCAGGGAGCGGCATGTGCGCGCATATATATACGTATCACATGCTGCGTTGCATTCGAGCTTTAACTAAAGCGTTCGCTTTAACTAAAGCGTTCGCTTTTACTAAAAACGGCGATATAAGGGGGTATTTACAATGGCGATTTAGAGGGCACTCGCTCGAGTATCGATTTTTTCCCTCTAGGGGCAGAGGCTGCCGTGACCTCTTGTGGCGTGTTTTGGCTGCAAGTGCAGGAGAGCTACCTCCCCCCTACCGCCAGCACCAGTAACAGCTGGAATGAGTCTCAGATAGCAGCACTTCTGGGCGGGCTAATTTTGAGAGCAGCAATCCGACAGCGAACGATCCCACGACTGCAGACACAGGGGCCCCCCTGCGGCTCCTGCCGGAAACGACTTTTCGCAAAAAGAAGTGACAGCAAGACGCGTGTCTGTGCTTGCATCTCCCCCCCCTTTTTTGAGGCTTCGCGTCTTCGCGCGTGCGATGCGCAGTCCCCTCAAGACGCAGAGCTAGCTGCCCTCATCCGCCGACGGGGACGCCTGCCAGTCTCTCGCAACAGCACTCCGCCAGCAGTGAACAAGGTCTGCTTTTTCCAACGCATACGACTACTACTAGCTCCACGCCTTCCGCAATCTAGAGCTCTGCACGCGCGTAGCCGAGGCGCAGTGCGCCCCATGCCTCATGGGCTACTCTCTCAGACACGCCTCCGCACACACCTGAACACACACCTACATACCCAGCAGGAGAGGCACACGCACACACACACACACACACACACACACACATACACATACACACCCCTCCCCCCGTCCACCAGCAGCCTCCCACTTAACGCACTTGGCGAAGTAGCGGCAGTCGTCACCTTTCTTCAGACAGCGTAGTCAGCCTCCTCCGTCTCCGAGTTTGTATGGGTGGCATACACGGGTCCTACCTCAGAGGCGATGATGGATGCCGCACTGCTGGAGGAGCCGCCGATCCTCTGTGAAGTGTTTGCGGACTGCATTCGCCTATCGCATCGGCGGAAAGGCGCTGCTGACGACGAGGTGTACATACACCGCCTGGATACTACCGACGACAGCTGTGGCAACGGCAGGCCGCCCTTGCAGCTCTCTTCTGCGCAGCCTGACGCGAGATCCGAGGCGCCTCGGCGATGTTTGGCCTCTTTTGCGTGTTGGGGTACCTTTGGAGTGGCGTTAGAGCCTTCGGGAGGGTATCTGCTGCTGGTAGAGACAGCAGAGAGAGTCGGACAGATAGGGGAAGGGCAGATCTTTGGAATTCGCTCCTTTAGGGCCCTTGATCTACGCAAGCCAACGGAGCAGCAGCAGCAGCAGCTGGAAAAAGCCTTTTGCACAAGACAGCTGAAGAGGCCTCTGCGTCTTCGGCCTGGAGACGTCTTAGCCGCTGAGGTTCTTGTCACGGATTTCGCTGGATCTTGGCTGTCGAGCAGCTGGAGCAAGGAATGCACGAGCAGCGCCAGCGTCGGCTGCGAAGAAAGCAGCCCCTATCTGCCCTGGATCTTCGAGGCGCTTGCGATGGGAGGCTTCTTTTTCTCTCCCACGTTTGATCTTTCCGTTTCTCTGCATCATGTGTTGAAACAGAAGCTGGCGGATCTTGGTCCTGCTGCCGCAGAGCCAAGAAAGGGGACTGCAGACACCGTGGGCGGAAATCGTTTTCTATGGAATCGCACGCTGCTTCAGCCCCTGCAGCAACATGCGGTAACACTTGGAGTGCGCGCTATTCAGGGGTAGGCCGCTCTTCCTAGTTTGTTCAGTGCTGCCCTCAACCTTGTCTTGACGCTCAGCTGTGTTTGTTCCCCTCCTTCCCGATCCCTCCCGCTCCTTATGTCTAATGCTGAATATTCTGACCGGAGAAACGAAATGGGAAGAAAAGAGGTGTCACTAGACAGTCTCTATGGCGCCTCCGACATCCGGAGATGCACCGTAGATGGCAGACTACGATTAGCGTCTACAAACCTTTCCTCTTCAGTGCCGCCATGGCAGAAGTGTATCCAACGACATGCAGGGGCTTGTTTTCGCGTCTCCTCGCAGGTATGTCGGTTTCGCATGCCTCTGCAGCCGAAGCACCTCGCTGATTCACCTCGTACTAATATCCAGAAAAGACGCCACACGCCTAGGAACGCGTTTTCACAGCCGCGGACTCAATGTGAAAGGTAGGTCTTTAGAAACTTTTCTTTTGACTTGTAGCATTTTTGGCTTTTACTTCTTTTGCTGGCTGGTTTCCTGCGCTTCTGTGCTTGCCCCCTCTTCTGCTGCTCTTCATCGCCACTTGTTCTGCGTGGCGGCGTCGCAGTGTGTGTCGTGTCTCTGAGGCTGTTTTTTCCGCTGCTCTGCTCCTTCCCGACGGAATCGTGTCGTCGCCATGGCTTCTTGACTCCTCTGCATTCCTTTGCAACTCGAAAAAGCCGCAGCAACGAGAGCTTCCGGTGGTGTTGGTGTGACTCAAAGGTGATGCCTCGAACTTCGTAGAGACGGAGCAGCTGCTGCTGCATTACTCTCATGACTGCTTGCCGTCCTGTTGCGCCTTTCCGCAACAGCGTGGCTGCGATACTGGCAGCTGCGGCAGTGCAGACAAACGCACATGGCGCTTAGAAGTACAGAGCTTTCTTCAGCTGCGGGGTTCTGTTCCGCTTTTGTGGCAGCAGCCGCCTACTCTCAGGTGTGTTTCTAGCGGTTCCAGACGGCGAAACAGACACTAGAAACGCAAGGAAGCCACTGCAGTAGAGCTCTAGCAGTCGCAGCCTTGACAGCAACGCTGCGAGTGCACGAGGTCAAGGAGAGGCTGTGCGCTTTTAGTGCGGCAGTAAACGTCTCTCGCGGGTTGTTTTTTTGGACGCTAGGGGGAAGGGGGGAAAAAACACCTTTGCTCTCGTGGGGTCGACTCCTCACAGCCTGCTGCACAATTTTAGAAGCGGTGGCAGCGGCAAGAGCAGCAGCAGCAGAGGCGGGAGACCCCCTGAAGCCGCAACAGGAGCGACCGCGCAAGAGTTTTTTTGTGCAATTCGCTGCCTTTTTCCGCCTTCTCAGCTGGTGCCCTCCTCCACACCTCGACGGCGCGCTGAGCGACAGTGCAGCCGCGGCAAAGCGGCACTTCGATGCATTGAAAATGTAAGCCTGCGTCTATCCGGCAAGTCCTTCTCCCTGTTTTTGCTGCTGCAGGTGTCTCTGCCCCTGCACATGCTTCCGAAGGAATTGCAGGAGCTGTTTGCGCGTGTTATGGTGGCAGGTGCTACGGCGATATAGAGGCTGTAAACCTAGTGGACAAGAAAGGCTGGCAGCGCGTATGGTTGTTGTTTCCACGTATTGCTTCTCCCCTGTTGAAGGCTTTCCTGGTGTGCTCAAGAAAGCATATCATCGCCAAATGCGTAGGGGGAGGGGACTCACTTGCTGTTGCGTTCGGTGTTGTTCGCAGTCACTCGGCGAGAAGATGGAGGCAGTCATTCTCCCTTTGCAAGACGTACACTACACCTGGTGCGGCATGTCGAAAGGAGGCGCCCTCGGGATAGGCCTAGACGCAGCACATGAGGAGGGGGATTCCCGCTTTCTTGTTCATGGTTTAGGGGCTTTTACCGCTTGTTAGTTGGCAGTCTTTGCATGTGGTGGTGTGCAGGTTCGACTTCCACGCGGAGTGCCGCAACATGCAGTGGGAAAACGTGGGCAAGCTGTTGCATCAGCTGCAGCCGCGACTTAGCTTGCACGGCTGTCTGCGCGTGTTGCTGGTGCCTGATGATGCAGCTGCACCTGCAGCAGAAGGGGTGCTCGTTCCAGGATGGAGGGTAACTCAGGCAAGTGGAGCCTGAAGCTGCCCTCTCACGTGCTTTGCCTGTTGTGTGTCTACCCTGTTGCGTTTCGACATTCCCCATTCGCGCTCTGCCTCCCTGAGCCGTTTTGTCTCTTGCTCCCCCTTTCCCACCGTTCGCTACCCTCTGCCTGTAAAATACGCCTTCGAGGGTCCCCTGGAGAGAGTAGCAGACAGCGGCAATCCTTCTACGCCACGCCGCCTCTTGTTTTCTCCCTGCACATGCAGCAGCTGCGAAGCGCAGTCAGGAAAGCCCTCAACAGTGGCCAGCCTGCCATGCGGCCTCGCAAAGCGCGTGTGTTTTTTTCAGGTGTACAGACGCCAGAAGGGCGTCATCCGCACCAACTGTGTGGACTGTCTGGACAGGTCCAACGTTGTGCAGAGCATCTTTGCGAGGGCAGTCCTTCACAAGCAGCTCTCCATCGTTACCCCAACGCCTTCGCTCGCTGCTGCGCCTGATAAGGCTGCAGCAAAAGCAGCTGCCACGGAAACGGAGGACGCCTTTGCTCCTCTCACGGTGTCGGCATCTGCGGAGAACTCTTTCAGGACGCTGTGGACTGCCAACGCCGATGCGCTGTCTATACTGTACTCCGGTATGAGATCATCGCCAGCAGCAACAACAACACTAACAGCGACAACTGAAACAACACAAGCAGCAGCAGCAGCAGCAGTTGTCATAAAGGCTGTCTGCTGCCGCGCGTTTGTGGTGGCTGCAGGAACCCCCGCTTTGAAAACAGATTTCACAAGAACCGGCAAGCGCTGCCTGTGGGGGGCCCTCATGGATGCGAAAAACTCGTGCTGCAGGTGCTGCTGGTCCCCTGTGCAACTGTGTTCAGGTTCTTGTTGATTCGTTGTCTTGGCTGGCTGTACTGCTGCGTCTCTCTAGTGGCTGTTGTTCAGCGCGTTGCTTGTCTCCTGGTCTCTGCTGCTGTTCCCACATTTTAAAAAATTAAAAAAAAATTCCTAGCACCTTGTCCTGCACCTCCTGACGCTGCGTCTACTCCTGCGGCTTTTGCTGGTGGTGGCGGTGTTTCTGTGTTGAAGGTATTTTCTGAACAACTTCTCGGATGGCTTCAAGGAGGATTGCTTGCTCTTCTGCTCGTCTCCGTTTATTCGCTTGCCATTGAGGCCCCCCAGGGCCCCGGGAGGCCTTCGCCGCGTGGCAGCAGAATACCTTTTGCTGCTGCTGCTGTGTCTCTCCGTGACTCCATTTTTCAAGGCTGCAGGACTGCTGCATGCAGCAGGTGCTAGAGTGACGCGGCTGGTGCTTATGGGGCCAGAGTTTCTCCTCCGCTCAGGCTTGCTATTGCCGGCTCTCTTTCAGTCGCTGCCTCTGATCGGTTGGTTAACCTGTAACCCGGGCAGTCTCCTCGAGCCACTGACAGGCGTTCATAATCCGAAAATGGCCCTTCAAGAAGGCTCTACAAATGCTGTCATTGATGCTCTGGCGTTTCTCGGCGGCTGCCTTCTGCTTCTTGTTGCACTTATCCTGGGAGGCGCGGCCTATGTACGCCTGAGACGCGACGCCTGCATCTCCTCTCCCGTCCTGCAGCAGCAGACAATTTCGAACTAGAGCTTGTCGCTGAGCACGCAAGCAAAAGCCTTCTATCGCAATTGTTACGGGTAGCTCCAGGACGCCAGGCTGACCACTTTCCTACTTGTAGATTTTACGAGTGCCGCGGTACAAAAAAGCCACACTGGGAAGAACGATTTTTAGGCTGTAAGGCACGTCTTCAGGGGCTCCCCGTGCAGAAAATAGCCCAACACCGTTGCTGCTGCAGCTTTACACACAGCTGCAAACGTCTGCCTTGTAGAGTCCCTAATTGAGGCCTACTACGCACACACACGAATTGCGGAGAACGATATTTATAACGGAAGATGGCCATGTTAGCTACGCCGTTCTCCAATTGTGCATCGCAGCCTTGACACGAGCAGACTGTGTTTCTACGTTTCTCACTCCAGGAAAGGAGCTCAATTTGCAGCAGAGTAATTGCAAAGAAGGCCCTAGCCTCGGGAACTCTTCCTGGAGCTTTGGCGCCTCGCGTGAAGTGTTTTTCGTCCCGTTTCTTCGCTCCGTTCTGGAATTCAGCGAGAACAAGGGAAAGGCTATTCTCTACAGGGAGCGGCCTAGAGACGCTTTATCGCATTTTCTGATGCTAGAGGGCGGGGCAGGCAAAGGAAGGCCAGCAGCCTGTTGGAGGCCTCTCACATGCTATGCTGCCTTCTCGAATACGCAGACTCGTGCCTGACTGCCTCCCGTTTCATGCGTCTCCGTGCTTACCCACATGGCTTTCAGACTAGCCTTTCGAGGTCTCAGTGCGGTGGCAAGCAGCACGATGCCCTTTGGCACCCGAAGTGCTCTTCGTCCGTCTCCGCAGCGTGTGAATGACAGCTACAGCGGTCGCATGTGCCCCCACACATTGATCTTCTTAGCAGCCTCACTGCCCCCTCTGACCTAAAGACCCCATCGTGAACCTCAATGGCCCTAACTCTGCAGTGGGTGGCGAAGCACGGTGCAGGGAGAGGCGGAGTGTGGCTGCTCTAGAGGAGAAATGCATACGCGTACGCAGAGCGGCATGGGTGCGCTTTGAAAATCTCTGGGCCCTATTCGACACGTTAAACTGTCGTTACGGGGGTAGGCGCAGGGTATTCCTATTCATCGCTAGTGTAGGAGTACCAAACAACACACCGGCGTAAACTGTATCTGCCGCATGTCAGTGTGTGACTTTCCGCCGCCACAGCGCATTTGTATTTTCCCCCCTAGTTGGTTTGGACAATCCATTAACCCGTATTTAGAAGTAGAATAAAACAGTGTGGGATCTTCACGGCTGCCGTCGGGGCTAACAGACCAGGCCCTGTAGAGCTCCCCGAGTGCCGAAGCTGGGGGGTTGCGGTAGGGGGCTTCCAGAGGCGGGAAGGAAGCCTTAGCATGTGTCAGCCCGTGGTTCTTTTGCTTCGAATGTGTGCTAATAATAGGCGGGAGGAGAGGGAAGTGCGAGGAAAGGGGGCTCAGTCTGTCGCATAGTCGCTGCATAACCCGCACTAGCAACACGGCGGCGGAGAGGAGCAACAGTGCCATACACGCCGTAGCGGCCCCTCCTGCTGCCTTGCTGCAGTAAGAATCGAGTTTTCACAGCCAGCTTCCTATTCTCTTGGTCTGTTTCATCCTCTCTGCCGCAGCGGCACGATGCTGGCTGCGCCTGCGGCTGCAGCGGCGCTGGGGGGAGGCTCCGACGGAGCACCTTCCGGCGACAAAAAGGGAGGAGGGTACTACTTTGCGACTTCTTTACCCCCCACAGTCGTCTCCTGCTGCTGCAGCGTGAGGCTGCGCTCCCCTCATACCCCTACACTTGTTCTCGCGAGACCACGCTCCTTAGTTTTCCTGCATCCGCTTCCGAGCGACAGCAGCAGCAGCAGCAGCAGCAGCAGCAGCAGCAGCAGCACTGGCAGGGATGGCAGCGAACTGAAGGCACACGGGGATGCGAGCATTGCTGCTGCTGCCGCCGAATCGGGAGAAGTAGGGCCCAACTCCTCCTGGCGCCCCTACTTCTCCCCCCCAGTAACACTGCCATGCCACTCAGCGGTTGCAGCGCTGGCGGCTGTGCCACGTCAGCCTCCCTGCGGTGTGGCTTCTCGCACTCCCGGGGAGCAAGATGATGAGGAAACAGTGCATCAGGAGGGCCTTGAAGATCTTCTGATGCTGACAGACTCCCTGTCTCTCATTCTGTTAGCCTACTGCAAGCGGCAGCGCAGTGTGCTTCCTCTTCAGATCATAGACCTAAGAGTAAGCGCCAGGCGGCTGTACTGCTGTTTCTGCTGCTGCTGCTGAATTCGAAGAGGCATTGCTCGTGCGTCTCTGTCTCATACAGGGGGGAGGGGGGTGCCTCACCCGTTGCCTCCTCTCCTGGAGCTTGAACAGCGTTGTTACAGCAACAGCGACAGCTGCTGCTGCATCTCTGTCTTCGCATTGTCGGCGGCTCTTCTGTCCTCCCTTCTTCTTTGTTTTCCTTTCTCCATGCCATGGCTTTTGAGTGTTGGCTAGGCCTCCCTGCACGCTAATGTGCTGCACTGCTGCTGGTGTGCTTGTTGTGCTTGTTGCGCGTGGGGGGGGCGGCTCCTTCTGCAGCTGCCATGCTTCCGGAGGATCAAGGGAAGGCCGCTAATGACTGTCTGCCCCTTCACGGGAGACGTCGCAATCCACCAATACGAATTCAGAGTGCAGTACTTGCAACGTCGGAGAGTGAGCAGCACTGGGAGCAGCTCTGGCAGCATCAGTGGTCATGAGAGTAGCCGAGTGAAGCGCATAAAGGAGCACGAGCAGCAGCCTCAGTGGCGGCAGCAGCAGCAGGTGTTGCAACAGCAGCATTCGGAGGCAGCGGATAGCGACGCAAATGCATCTCCGTATAGCCCCCAGAGAGTTGTCTTTCTGCACGAGCTGGGAATCCTAGACATTGCGTTTGTTGGACCGAAGCAGAAGAAGAAGCAGCAGCAGCACAAGAGCAGCAGCAGTAGAAGCAGCAGCAGTAGAGAGCTTATCTTTGCATCGGCATCATCAGCTCATGCAGACTCAAAGGACGCAGATTTCGATCCCCCAAGCGGCGTGTCGCCTTGCCAGTTGTTGTGCTGCCTCTTTGAAGCTACAGCGCTAAGCAGCAGCTGTGCAGCCTCTCCTGTTGCTGCGCCTGAGCGATTCTTGCGGCTGCTGCATCTTCCACCCACAGCCGTTCCCTTCATCAACACAGATCCCTTGGCATGCTGCTGTGGATCGCTCCCAGCTCCCCTGCAGCTCTCCCCCACTGCCACGCGACTGCTGCCCCTTCCGCCTCCGTTGGGGGGTCTCATTGTCTGCTCCGCTGAGAATATCTCCTGGCTGGCTATGCAGCCTTCCTTGCAGAAGGAGCAGAATTACGTCAAGAAGCCGCACCCAACGAACCCCAGCAGTTCTAGTTCTAGCAGCTCCAGCTCTAGCAGCTCCAGCTCTAGCAGTAGCCTTTTGTATCGAGGCTCTCCTGGCGCAGCGAGCAGCGCGCAACAGGCGGCAAGGGGCCTTTCCGAGGTGTGCTCACAAGCGACTTTCCCTGGATGCGACGACATCGTTGCTGCTGTGCTGCTGTCTTCCCCTTCCCCACCAGCAACAGTGCAGCAGCAGCAATCGGAATACGTTCTTGTCGCTGTAGACGCCAGAGGCCATGTGCTACAGGCAACGCTCCGAACGTCTGCGGCTTCCCTTCCCGACAACAGCAATGGCAGCTGCAAGTGGGAGGATGTGTCTCTTTCTGTCTGCTACTTGGGGGAGGCTTGCGAAGCCTCGCAACTCAGCCCTTTGGGGTCAAGAACGTTCTTCGCGGCTTCCACTTGCAGCGACAGTTTGGTGCTCGAAGTCTTAGACGCAGGAGCTGAGGCAGCTCCCAACAACAGCCACGGCGGAAAGAGGGGGCCGAGTGCCAGCGGCACGAGTTTAGCCTTCACTCATCCTCCTCGTCCTTCTCGTTCTGAGGAAGCAGTTGTTGCAGGTGCAGCTGCTGCTGCCTCCAGCGCCACTGCCGAGTGGTTAGAGCAGCAGCAGCCTCACACACCTGAACAGCAGCGGGGATGTCTCAAAGTGCTCGAAGTGCTTCCCAATTTGGGCCCTATCGTCGATTGCTGCATTGCAGACTTCGAAGGAAGAGGGCAACAACAGGTGCCAATGCTGATGCTGATTCTGCTGATGCTGATTCTGCTGATGCTGATTCTGCTGATGCTGATTCTGCTGATGCTGATTCTGCTGTTGCTGATTCTGATTCTGCTGATGCTGCTGCTGATTCTGGTGCTTCTGCTGGGAGCTGTAGCGTCTCGCATGCTTGTAAAATGAGTGGTTTATTGGGGCAGGGGGGGAGAGGGGATTACCCTCTTGTCGGCGCTTTTTGTTTACACAGAGCACCTAGGATCGTTGTTGGGAGCTGCTGCCTTTCAGATCTGGCTGGCACACTTATATTTGCTGTTGCATTTCTGTGCTGCTCTGCAGCTCGCCGTTTGCTGCGGGAACGGTCCAAGCGGCGCCGTGAGATTCGTGCGAGATGGTCTTTTTTTGCATTCTGCTGGAACCGCTGCTCTCGAGCAGCCAGTAGAGGGCATGTGGTGTCTACGGCTACGAAGGAAAGAGTCGCGACTCCTGCTGGCTGTCCTCTCAACGCCTACCCGCACTTTGCTGCTGCAATGGTGCTCTAAGGCTCAGCAGATGCGGCAAGACTCCCGTAAGCTCTGACCGCTGCTTAGTAGGCCCCCCTTTGTTGTGTTATGATATGATATGTTGTGCTGTGTTATGTCGTCATCTACATGACCACTCCGCAGCAGCAGCAGCAGCAGTATCCCGCGCTTCCCCTGCTTCTTGTGCTGTTCGTCCTGTGCTGCCTTTATACCCCTTGTCGTTCTTCTCTTGCAGCGCCTCCTGCTACAGACACACCTAGTGGGGAGGGAGGGCCTTTGTGTGCATGTTGCGGCTGGTGCAGCTGGAGCGATCGCGTCTTCTCGCGGATGGAGCGACGAGACAGAAGAGGGGAGTGAAATTGAGGAGCTTGAGGCTCTAGGGGCCTTTGTTACTGCGCAGCCTTCTGTTCTTTGCAGTGTCTTTGAGACAGAAGCCTTTCCCCCTGCAGCCGAAGCGGCGATGGAAGAGGACGGCGTGCAGACTGCTCCTCCAAATTCGGATGGTTCCTCCATTGTGGTGCTGCAGGTGCGTAGCTGCTGCCTTTGGTGCTGCTTTGAAGGAGGATCTTTTGGTGTCGATTTTTTTTCACGCCAGGGGGCCTCTCACCCTTTCCGCGATGATGCAGCTGCCACGTTGCTGCGGCTGTGTGTGATGTGCGCGCTTCCTGGTGTCTTCATCGAGCAGGTTCTCGCGGGCGGCATTTTAGCGCTCGAAGGGCAGGAGGCCTCTTTGTCTCTCCGCGCGGCAGTGTCTGTACAGCCCGCTGTCACTGCCACAGGAGCAGCTCCGTCTCTTGCGCTGCAACCGTGTGGCGTCGATGTGCTTTTGAGGATTCCTTCCCCCCCCCTCTCCGAGGAAGCAATTCGCATCAGTTCTGCCAGCGTTGCACCCCTAGGAGGTGGCATTGAGTGGGCACCTGGTTGTGGCGTGTCAGGAGATGTGCTGCTGTTGACTGCCAACACTCTCGCGGCAACTGTCTCGCTGAGAGGCAGCACCTTCCGAATTTTGAAAGCTCAGGATCTCGGGGACGAAGCCTCCACCGCTCACGCCGCTCGGCTCGATTTCGCAGATCCAGCTGCTGCACAAATCCAAAGTGCTGTGCCCAGTGCTGTTGCAGCAGGTGCCGCTGACATATCGACAGCTCTGGCGGCTGTAGGCCTCTTTGGAGAGGGCACTATGCGTCTGCTGTCGCTTCCTGCATTGGAGCCAGTCATGTCTTTGAACGCTTGCAGCGGTACTGAGATGATGATGTTGCTGCTGTTGTTGCTGTTGCTGTTGCTCGACTGCCTTTTGTGGCGTTTTAAACTTCTAATTGCTGCGCACAAAGGGCAGTCGAGCCGCACGGCGCGTGTTGGTAGTTTACGTGGAAGGGGGTGAAGGGAGAGAGAGGTGTGTGTGTGTGTATGTGTATCGCCATCGTGGTTGGGATGTGTGTTTTTTGGAGGCGGCACAATACTATTTTGCCGAGTCTGCAAGCAAGTGTTCCTTGCGGTAGTGTAGGCACTATCCTTATTCCCTTTGGAAGTGGTGTATTCTTCTCCCCCGCTAGTGGCTGCGCAGTTGCTTCTCAGCCTGTGGACGTGCCGCCGCATGTGCGTTGTTGCAGGAGAAATGGGGGCTTGGATCGTATCCTCGCTTGTCGCATGCATGGGAGGCATCCCCTTCTGCTTTGCAGGATTGAGCAACGGCCGCGTTGTCGTGTTTCGTCTAGGATTTGCTGCCGTCTCAGCAGAGAGAGACGGCGGGAGTGATGGAGATGGTGACAGCAGCAGCGGCTGGAAGCCTCTCCTTACAGGAATTTCACGCCGCACAGGAAAACACGTTTCTCTGAGGCTGTCTGTGCTCTCGGGAAGAGTAGTTACCGTTGGGGGGGGGCCTGTGTCTCTGGTGCCTCTTCCTCGTCTGCCTGAGACTTTGCAACGCAGAGAATCTCGCAGCAGCCGTCGCAGTGGAGACCATACAAAGCGGCGTCTCGGTGCTGCCCCCCCTTCGCAAGAGACTTTCCATGCGGAGATTGCTTCACGCCACGATGTCTCCTGCGTGGTTTGCTGCTGCTCCAACCCCACTATTATCCATGTGTCTGCTGCTGGTGAGCTCTTGTGTTGGGCGCGTCGCATGGAACAGACGGCCTGCCCCTTCAGTCCACTCGTACCACCAGTTTCTGCCGCTGCTCTCTGCAGCGCTGTATGCTGTCTATATGTGTATGTGTGTCCATATGTGTATGTGTCTATGTGTGTCTATAGGTGTGTGTGCATGTATGTGTCTGTATGTGTGTCTATTTGTGTATGTGTGTGTGTGTATGTATGTATGTCTGTGTGTGTCTATATGTGTATGTGTCTATGTGTGTCTATAGGTGTGTGTATGTATGTGTCTGTATGTGTGCCTATTTGTGTATGTGTGTGTGTGTGTGTATGTATGTCTGTGTGTGTCTATATGTGTATGTGTCTATGTGTGTCTATAGGTGTGTGTGTATGTGTGTGTATGTATGTTTATGTGTGTCTATATGTGTATTTGTGTCTATATGTGTATTTGTGTCTATATGTGTATTTGTGTCCACATGTGTATTTGTGTCTACATGTGTCTATGTGTGTGCCTACATGTGTCTATGTGTGTCTATATGTGTATGTATGTACGTATATGTGTGTGACTGCTGCCTCCGCAGGAAGCCTCACGTACAACCACGTTCCCTGTGCCTCACTGCAGCACGCAGCAGACTTCAGCTGTGAAGCGACTGACCCCTTGCTGGGGTTGCTGTGGGTAGAGGGCGTTCCTCCGTCTGCTGTAGCAAGCAGCAGCAGCTTCGCCAGCAGCAGCAGCAGCAGTGGATGGTTCCGAGAGGGCTTTGGAGCACAGCAACGTCACCGTGCTGTGTTGCATGTGGGCGTGAGAGAAAAAGCTCAGCGCTTGCACTCCAGAGTATTGCCTATTAGGCGTACTGTGGATGCTCTCTGCCCGATAGAAGCCGCTTCAGTTGTTGCGTTAGCCTGCCCTGCAGAACTTGTGGTAATTCGCCACACATCCCTGTGGAGACGATCTTAAGGGAACACGTGTGGTTTTATCGCCCCCTCCCCTTCTATGTGGCTATGTGAACATATGTGTATGTGTATATGTTCGTGTATGTATATATGTTTTGTGTATGTATATATGTTTGTGTATATATATTGTTTTGTGTACGTATATATGCTTTGTGTATGTATATATGTTTGTGTATGTGTATATGCTTTGTGTATGTATATATGTTTGTGTATGTATATATGTTTTGTGTATGTATATATGTTTTGTGTATGTATATACGTTTGTATAGAGGTGCACATATATGTATATATATATGTTTGTGTATGTATATATGTTTGTGTATGTATATATGTTTGTGTATGTTCATAGATATATATATGTTTGTATATATATATATATATTGTTTTGTGTACGTATATATGCTTTGTGTATGTATATATGTTTGTGTATGTGCATATGTTTTGTGTATGTATATATGTTTGTATATGTATATATGCTTTGTGTATATATATTATGTATATGTATATATACGTGCGCATATATATGTGTGTATGTATGTGCATAGATATATATGTGTGTGTGTTTGTGTGTGCGCGCGCGCATACATATATATATTGGTGGCACTTGGGGAGGCTGCAGTTGAGTGTTGCATGTATTTGTGAACGTGATAAGCTATATTTGAGGAGGGCCTCCTATGTACAGACGCGTGTGCTTGGCGTGCCTGTCGTCTCTTCGTGCCTGTCGTCTCTGTTTTGTGTGGGATTGGCGCTGTGAAGGTGGAGACTGCTCTCTCTCTCTCTGAGGGGCCCTTGTAGGCATTTTTTCAGGTGTCTGCAGGTGCAGCGCGTTTGCCGTTGTGCCGTTGCTGCTGCCTCAGGGAGGTCGAGAGGAGCCGAGTTGCGTTCTGTTCCTCAATCCGCTGACAAAGGCCATAGAGGGGAAATTCGTGGTGCCACAGCCAAACTTTTTCCCTTCTGCGCTCTGTCTGGGGCCCCTAGTACTGCAGGGGGTAGCGTCTTCTTGCGGCAGTGACGGTGTGTCTGTTGCCTCCCCTCGGAAGAGTAGCGAGGGAGTGGCTGCAGCGCGTTCCGCCGCTTCAGCAGACGCAGCAGCAGCAGCAGCAGTAGCTCCAGCCGCGGCAGTTGGTGCCCCTTCGGCAGAAGGAGACTCGCCGGCAACCCTCTTGTGTGTAGGGACGGCGGAGGTTGTGCTCAGCGATTGCGAACCGCTTCACGGAGCCATCCATCTCCTGAGTGTCTCTAGGGTAAATCTGCTCTTGCCGCGCGGCAGCACACTGTCTCCTGAGGCTCCTGTAGCCATAGTTCGCGATGTGCCTGACATAGGGGATGCTGCTAATAGTGTACCGCCTTTCACAGGAAGAGGACGCCGCAAGAAGAGATTCTTCGCTCTCTTTTTCCCGTAGAGCAAGAGAGATAGAGAGACATAGAGCGAAAGAGAAATAGAGAGCGAAAGAGAGGGCCTGCACAAGCGGTTTATTGCAATCGACAAAGACAAGTTGTTGACAAGTTGTTGACAAGTTTTTGAAAATCTCTCCTTAAGGGCCTTCCAAACGCTAGGCACTGGATCGTCCTGTAGGGAGCTGCCTGAGGGCTGTGAGGGTGGGTGTTTTGGGGTGGGGATGATGCGATACAGCCGTGTTTTTTGCGCTTTTCTTCGAGTGTCTTTTTTTCGTAGGTGCATGGCATGCTGATCATTGCAGAAGCGGCTCCTCCTTTGCTCCTTTCGGCAGGGGTCCACGAGCTGCGCGTCTTCGACGGAATGATCTTGGCTGCCTGCAATCACCAGGTAAGCACCGACGATGATCCCACGTGCGCGAGCACCTGCTGCTGTGCGTTGTCGTCTTTAGGACTGCCGGTGGGGCTGTTTGTTTACGAATTGCCAAGCCTCCTGAGACTCTGCCTCTGCGCGCCGATCGCTCAGCTGCGCCTTGTGGCACTGCGCCTTCCTGGGGGAACACCACTCGATGACAGGGGAACTCCCCGAAACACGCAGCCGGTGGAGGGGCGCCGACAGCGATCCGAGATGCAGCGACGCTTGCAGCTCCAACAGCAACAGCAGCGGCGTCGCCATCCTGCCTGCTCAGCAAATAACGGGCAAGACTTTATGGAAGCGGATACGCCGTCTCTCGAAGAGAAAGACACACTGGGAGACAAAGGCCTCAGTTCGTTAGGCCGCCTTTCGATGCATCCTGTTGCGTCTTTCTCCTCAAGCACCTTCATTGCCTCTCTAGACGTGCTGTGAGTCTCAGATCGGCAGCAGCCGTTACGAAGCGGCGGCAAAACGTTCAGCGCACAGAGCACAAGACTCCACAGGAAATTGAGCGAAGGGCAGATGGATCTTGGGGAGCTCGATAAGAGTGCTATTTCGTCCTGTGCTGCTGTATATATATGTGAATATATACATATACATATATATATATGTATATGTATACATGTATATGTATACATGTATATGTAAATATACATGCGTATATATGTATGCATGCATATGTATATATACATGTATATGTATTTATATGCATATCTGTATATATATGCATAGGTATTTGTATGTATGTATGTGTAAGTATGTCTATCTGCCCGTCTGTTCGCCTTTTGTGCCTTGCCATGTGTGTGTGTGTAGGGAGGACCGACTGATATGTGTGGGAGACATGATGTCTTCTGCATGCATTGTGGAATGGAGACCTCGTGAGAAGGCTCTGCGAGAAGTAGCCAGAGACATGAGATGCGCATGGCCGCTGTGAGTTGTTGAATGGCTGTAGCTAGCGGGAAGGGGGAGGGGAGGGGGGCATCTTACCACCAGCTGCAGCGGTGATTTTTTTGGAGTTCGTTGCGCAGATGCCGCTGCCTGCCACATGGGCTCCTGCCGCTGCGTTTCCCTCACGTTCACCGTTTCACGTCTGTGTGTGTCTCAGGGGCGTGTCGTTGCTGAATGGAGACAGCTGCCTTATGTCGGATGGCGAGCAGAACCTGTGGGTTCTCCAGAGGGCTCTCCCGGAGGGAGCTCCCAAGAATTCCGCATTAGGACGCGATGGCGACGGTCAGACACCTGCGGAAGCTGCTTCTGCTGCAGTAGTCGAGCGGCAGCAGGAGGGGGGCTCGACAACTGGTGCAAGTGCAAGCGCCGCTGCCAACAGAGAGCAGCAGCAGAGGCAGCGGAGGACCAGTGGTGCGGAAACAGCGGCGACAGCGGCAGTCAACATCAGCGATGCGCAGCAGTTTCGTCTGTCCCCTTGCGCTGCCCTTCAAACGCCTGTCTCAGTGAACAAATTCATTCACGGAGGCATCAGTGTGAGGCTCGAGGAGGGCACTTTTGGGGGGTGCGGTTCGGAGCAGCAACTGATGATGAGGTCTGCAGCGGCCGATGCCGCTACAGCAGCAGCAGCCACATCTGCGACGGCAAGCAGCAGTGCCTGCTCCCTCGGAGGCTTGCTGCAAGCTTCGAACCAGGGGGGAGCTGCCGTGGGGGATTGCAGAAAAGGCGGCAGCAACAGCTGCCTTGGCAGGCCCTTGCAGAAGCACAAGGCTGCGTCTCCTCTCTGCATGCCCTCATACACGCGCACATGGGTTTCGGCAGAAGGAAGCATTGGAGTCGTCCTTAAGCTGACAGATGCAGAAACCTTCTCCAAAATGGCACTCGTGGAGGAGGCCGTGAGTGATCTCATGGAATGCATTGGGGGTAAGTGGATGCATGTCTTGTCTACTCTCCCCTCCTCTTTCAAACCGGCAGCTTGTTTCTTACATCCGCACGTGGGCTTCACGAGTCTATCTATGTGTATCCATAGTGTGTATCCATAGTGTGTATCTGTCTTGTGTGTATCTGTCTTGTGTGTATCTGTTTTGTGTGTTTTGTGGCCTTTCCCCATGATGAACAAGGCTGATTTCCTCGCTCACATTACCAACTGAAAAAACTGCTGTCTTCTTGCACGGCTCCGGAGTAGAGCGCTGCTGGTGCCTTTGTCGCGTGCTAAACATGATCTATCGACGGAGGCTGCTTTGTGCTAATGCTGTTTCTGAGTGGTTTGACTGCGGGGAACGGGGATGCCTCAAGGACCTGCCCATGTGCTGATTTGCGTGGTGCCTGTCTTGTTCCTGCTGTCGGTACAGTGAGAGATGGCACACCAGGCCATGGCGCCCGCATTGATGGATCATGGAGCCCTTACAAAGGCTTTATTGATGGCGATATTTTGGAGCAATTGCTAGTGCTGAGACCGCGTGAGCAGCGAGAAGTCTACAAACTAGCACGCGCGTGAGGAAAACTTTTTTCGCTAAAAGCGGGTGCTACCCTACTGACGCCTTGCCTCCTCAATGCTTTCCCAACCTGCCAGGCCTTGTATCTGCCTTCTCGCGCACCCCGGAACCACCAGCACTAATCGTCCTTCCTCCTTACTCTTGTCGAGTGCACCTGACAAGGAAGCAGTCTCTCTGTAGAAGTTCTTGCACTTGGTTGTGTTGTGTTGCCCGTGCGCCCCGCTGCAGCACTGCAGAGGAAGTTGGCCTCTCCCTGCCTTCTCTAGACGAACTCCTTCTGCAGATCGAGCACCTAAGGCAGCTGCACTAAGGAACTTCTAGGGGGCCTACGTTAGCGAGACTGCTGCTGCCTCTAAAATAGCCCTCTGTTTCCCCGACCGGGTAGGGGGCGAAATACGTGGAGGGCGTTCCTAAAAACAGATGACGATCCTTAGGCTTCTGCGTCTGTTCCCAAACTAAGTCGATAAGGCTACCGGAGGGCGCTCACTCAACCTGGGAGCACATATTACGCCTTTAGATTGGCGACCTCAAAGGTGTGCAGATGTAAATGCCGCTGCTGCTGCTGCTAGACGGCCTCTTCACAGGTGCAGATGTTTCAGCAGTGAAAGAGGGCGGCTGCTTTAGGCCCTCTCCTTCACTACACCACTACACATATTCTGCGTCGGAAACATCTGGAATCTGGATCAACGAAGCCCAGCACGAGGGGCCCAAGGGTCTCAGCGTTGCTGCTCGGCCTCTTCCTAGGAAGCTGCGTAGAGTTGCGCTACGCATTTGCGGCGACCTCGCACATGATGCGCTTTCTTGTGCGAAGGCCATTAGATTCGCATGCGTAGTATAAAAATGAAAGACACCTTTCTAGTGCCTTCGGGCTGGGAGCACCTCCGTAGCCCTCCATACTCTACTTGTGGCCGCATACCTACGCGCAGCCGATCACAGAGTGGGCCGAAAAATGCTAGGCTTTCCCACTTAGTGGAGCTTTACTTTCTTTGAATAGTAACAGACTCTCAGGGGCCATACCGAACACTGCGAAGAAGGCCTCCAGTAGTGCCCCCCTGAGCGCTCGCTGGTAAGTCCTGCATGCGACAAAAAAAGAACCGCAAAAACCGTAAACCCTTGGGGATGCCGCGAAATTCGGGCACTTTCCCCTCTTCCTCACAAGAAATCTTCAGCAGGCCCTCCTCTGCTGCTGGCTGGAGGGGGCTGACGCCACACTCTTCGTGTGCTGCAGCCTCCTGCCTTGCCTCGCACCTGCGCGCCGCGTGCTCATATGCCGCTTTTGTGGTTTCTTGACGATTTTTATCGTGTCAAAATGCCTCGTTAAACGGCTCAGTTGCGCCCAGCTTGATGCCAATCCAGCTAATTGCTCTTGTATGTAGCCCTCACTTTGCGCCATCCTGTTGGCCTAAGGCCTTCGCAGATTCTAGAGGTAGCTGTGAAAGAGCGATGCCTGCCCCTTGAGAGCAAACGCACCTTGAGGGGCTTCCCCTCCAGCTTCTAGAGCTCCTTGCCGCCTGAACCTCTCCGCAGTCGCTGTGCTTTTATGCGCAGCGGGTGCGTAGAGGGGTGTGCCTCCAGGTTCTGTATTTAAGAGACGTCTCGCTTCATCCGGAGCGCTCTAGTGGCCGCTCTGCGCCTCCATTCGCGGCCTCTACCGTAACCGCCGCTGCCCCTAAGCTTTCTTTGGTTCATGAATGTGAACTGTACGTCTCTTAAATGCTGGGCTAGAAAGCACAAAGGATCCGGGGGCCGTTGCTGCGCGCCGTGTGTCTGTCCCTCAGTTTAGTGGTATCAAAGGGCGTGCGAGCAGCTGTGACTCTTTCGCTCCTCTATGAGAGCCTTGATCTCCTCGTCTCGGGTCCAATGGCTGTAGCTCACGCCCCCAGAAACGCCGTGCTGGCAGGCAACCTCTTCGCCGCAGTCCGATACGCAAATTGCAGTATTCACGTCTTCCGTGAGGTAAACGGCGTTGTAACACCTCCACTCCTTCGTAGTTTGGGAAGGCCCGCCCACATCTTTACGGGCAACAGCCCCGAGAGGACAGAAGGTGCCTTGACAAATGCCTTTCAGGAGGTCGTTGCAGTAGTCATCCAGCACCCTCTGTAGCCTGCTTAGAACGGCGTTGCTGTGCAGGCTTGCCCCGCAAGTGGTGGCTGATTTCTCAGCGATTAAACTAGCGAAATCCACTGCGTCTCGCCAGACGCGCGCACCCCTGCTGGTGTCGGTCCCATGGTTGCAGGGGACCTCGTCAGCGCAGTTCGAGATGCAGAGGGCAGTGAAGCGATCGGAAACAAGAGCTGCCGGCTTGTAGCATCCCCAAATCTGCGGCTGGCCGTCGGCCGTGCTGTCTTTTCGAGCAACGGCGCCGCCCTTGCAGCTGGCTGACTCTGGAGGGCACTCTTTGGCGAGGGCTTCCCTACAGGCCTCATCCAGCACAGCCTGCAGCTTGCTGGTCTGGCCGGGGGTGAGGAGCTTGGCCTTAGCGCCGCGAACGATAAACTCGAGAGCAGCTTTTAGGTTCCAGTGCCTCCCGGTGGAGTCACTCGCACGGTCGACGCCGCTGCAAGTGACCTCCTGGACGGTGCAGCCATCCAGACATATCCCCGTGGCACTGGCAGCGTCGAGGCCGCTAGGATCGTAGCAGCGCCACTCCCTGCTCTGATCGGGCTCGTTCCCTATGTCCATGCGAGCTACCGGTCCATCTTGGCAAGCGCCGTCTCCCCGCCCGCACAGGAAGCGGAGTGCGTCTGCGCAATACGCGTCCAGCGAGGCCTGCACGTCATTGACACATCGCTCAGGCTGGCAGTAGCGGTATCTGTTCTCGTAGAGCACCTTCCGGATCGCAGCGTCTTCGCTCCATCTGACACTCGAAGCCTCAGCGGGGCCGTCCCCGCACGCAAAGGTCTCCCCGCAGTCATTCACGCATTGTGCCGAGTTCAACCCGATTCTGAGTCCAGTCGGATGGTAGCACGACCATCCACCGCTCCCTGTATCGGCAGCTACCACTAGGCGGGCTGCACTGTCTAAACAGCTGTACTCTGACAGGGCCGTAATACCGTTGGCGGAGCAGCTGTCCCTACAGTGCTCGTCCAGCAACTCCTGCAGGAACCCTTTTCTGTTTGGCACTCCTGGCTGCGCATCCAACACCAAAAAAAACACACACACACACACACATGCACAAAGACAGCCCTTCCTTATCCATTCGGAGGTTGTCACAAGCAAACACACGAACAAACGCATATACATATATATACAGACGTGTATGCATATATATACAAACATGTATACATATATATACAAACATGAATACATATATATACACAAAAGCCAAAGGCCGTGGTTCGGCGCTCGTTGGGGAGTGAGCCACAAGCGAATGGTTAGCCTCTTTCAGTCCGCTCAGAGCACGAGCATCCACACAGCGTAAGGAAGGTGATTTCGAGCAGGAAATGGAAGCAATCTGGTGTGCACACGAGCGAGGCTTTATTTGGCGGCACGCTGGTTTTTTGTGTGGCGCTGTCGCATAGACTTGTCGAGAACCCTTTTCCGCGGGTTGCATGCGCAGCTATCCCTTCGGATTTGCTGTGCGAAGCCCATGCAGCTCCAAAGAGTCAGGCGGCGAAGCGGGAGGCCCCAATCGTCGCAGGTGGAGCTCAGGGGACTTACGAAGGAGACAGTGTCTGAGGCAGAGTCACGCATGCGCACGAGGGGAGAAGTCGGTAGCGAGAGTCAAGCAGGGGGGCGGGGGGGCCATAAGTCGGAAAAACGGCAGAAGCGGTCACACCTACTCCGATGGGCTTCGACATACAGCGCCTGCTGGAGATCCTCGCCCAGCAGTGCAGCGGCAGCCACCACTAGGGCCCCTGTGGTGGAGAACACGTTCATCACCGTGGGAGGCCAGCGTCTCGCGTGAGGCTGCTCCCATCTGCAGTTGTTGCTAAAGGGCCCATCGAGCCGAACTTTTTGTTCCTCTAGGCGTTCTGGAGTTGCTTCGCCCTGCACCTGCCTGGATAGTAGTGCCTTGCCAGGAGTCTCTCAGGTGCATTACGGGGCATCAATGGCAGCGCTCGCTCGGCGTACAGTGAAAAGGATGGGCATCATAGGGACGCAATAAGAGGAATTAACTGTGCGCAAGAAAGCGCTGCCTATGAAAATGTTGTGCACCAAGCGCTAGAGATACTACACTATGCTTCCGAGTTCGTTCTTCGTAGCCGGCGCCTAAGTGAGGCTCACCGTGCTCGCTCCCAGCCCGCAGCCTGCCCCCTCACACATTTCTCCTGAGCCTCAATGCCCCCAGTGAGTGTGTGTGTGCGGTTTCTACGGAAATTAAAACTACTGGAACTGACGGAACGGATCAAAAGGTGCTTAGCCGCTAGTTCATGCGGCTGTGATCCACCATTGGATCCCGTACATACGCCGGGGCGAGGGTCCTACGCACTACACATGTGCGAAAGCAATAAACTCTACGCCTTGTCCCTAACTCTTTATTCACTTTAAAAGCAGGGGACAAAGTCACGCGTGAGTGCCGCGATTCATCGCGATGCACTCTGGTAACAAGGGTTGTGTTGGGAAGCGACACACACCCAAGCCTGGTCGACAACGCTTGAGCGAGCACTGACAGCATCCGAAGGCCGAAGCACCACACCATCACCACCCCGGCATCTTCAACTCGAAAAGCGCTATTTTCCTGAAAGCAGCCTTTTTAGACTACTAGATTCAAAACGTCACACGGGCTGTAAGTAGAGGCGCCAACAGCGCTTTACAGGGCTGCCTTTGGACTGGAGTTCTAAGGCCAGTCGACGGCGTTTCTAGGCAACAACATAGCCTCAGTCCATCTTTGTTGAGTTGATATGGCGTTCTCTATGTGTGGGCGGGGGAAAGGGCCCAAGATCTGTAGAGTTTTCCAAGATGCTTTTTATTTCACCACGATCCCGGGGTCGATTGCCGCCTGAAGCATTACAGATAAAAATTCTTCGTGCATTCTAAAGGGGCGTAATGCTTCAAAAAATATTTTCCTGGACATCCTATCAAAGACTTCATCCAAAAACCACCTAATTTTTGCATGTGTTTGTTGGCCGAGGTCGCAGCTTATGGGCAAATAGCAGCAGTTCCTTGACTGACTCCTCTACCCATGCACAGCCTCATGTCTCTGCAGAATTCTTGCCCAGTTGCAACGCAAGAAGGCATGCAGTCATCTTAGGTACCGTTGTTGTGCCCTGCAAGGCTCCCTTGTATACGGTAGAAACCCCCTTTCAGGAGAAGAATGAAGTCTTGAAACTGCAAGCACAATCGTGATGCCTTGAACCGGTACAACCGTAGAAGAAGCAGAATGACGCAGACACCGGCTGTAGATGCAAAACCCTTGAATAACAGCCCATCTGGAACGAGTGGCATGGGCAGATACTTCAAAGTGCGTTCTGTGTTTACCCGAAGTCCATTCCAGCCTCCGCGCCTAACGGACCTTAGTATGCTCTAAAAGGAAGTTGCTGCCGTGCAGCAAATCATCGATGTGTATCGCTGCTCTGGCAGAACTAAAAGAGATCTCAGACTCTAGTAACATCTCACGGAAAAGTTACTCCCTGGAGTGCGCAAGATGCAGCAGTCGAGCACTAGCCCGAAGTGTTGCCTCCAAGCGAACTTCTAAACAATTTTTAGGTCCACATTTGAGGAGGCCCTTCATTAGAAAGGCCCCCCCAAAACACCCATGATGAACAGTTCTGATATCAGCGTGGACGATCGCTCCCCCGGTACACGCCACAAAACCATTGTACATTGCATAATGGCGGTCCTGGTACCCAGAGGACGCACGAAGACAAAGTAAAACAAGGAATTATCACGCTACACTCCAAAACAAGAATCGAGCTCTTACGTGCAAACGGAGTACCTGCTACTTCAGGTGCCCTGGAAGCACGTGGAGGCTAAGGTTCAGCATAATGTACTCGACAAACGAAACGAAATCCGTTGAGGGCATCACTGTAGGTCGCAATGCACTAGAGGGAGGCCTCCACAGAAACCCTTTCAGCAGAGCTGTTAAGTTACGCGGAAGCCAGAGCTTAGGTGTCTCCAGACAACTACCAACACAAACAGAAACTGAGGCTGCTTTTTTACTTGATTTGTGAAACCTGATAATTGCCGCGTTTCTTACTGCCCACATGCGTACAAGTCCTTGCCTACAACGGTTTTACGAGGAGGCTCTCACCGCAACCCCACAGCAGCCTGACAACGGCCTCCTGCTTGTTATTGGCGCCCTCTGGCGCGTAGGCACACAACAATTGCCTCGATTTCTGAGCCTTTTCACGGACTGCTTGCCCCTTGCCCTCCGCGTCTCTACGGGAGCCCGTGCGCAGGGTCAAACCGGGGCATAGAACATGCTGTGCCGGTACGAAAAGCAGTGGCATCAAGAGCGAATGCAGTGTGCGCGTCATCTCAAGGTGTACCTCTGTGTGCGTGCCACTTTCGAGGACCGCTAGACACAGGCAAGCTGTAGACGTGTTGCACTGCGAGGACCTTCCAGCTACCGCAGACAAATGCACGCATACGATGCAATGTAACCTGATTGGTGCTGCCTACTCCATGTGGCTCTGGCACCCTGTCGTAGCATTCCCCCCCCCGTACCCCATATCCCCCCACACAGAATGACAAGAGACACCTGGCCGGTGCAGACGCCGTGCTGCTCAAAGCCCACAACCAGCCATGCTGAAATCCGCTCGCCACGAAGAATGCCCTCGAGTTCATACAGCTGGAGCGTGGTCGCACTGAGCCCGGAAAAGAAACGGGAAGGGTGGGGTGGGGTGGGAAAGGGGTTTACGTGGACTTCGTATCTGCTGATTGCGCTCAAGGGTCAGCAACTGCTGCAAAGAGGAGCATGCCTGGGGAGTTGTCGGCGGCTGCAAAAACGCATTCTCCAGCAGCCGGCTATGCCCGGCCCAAACTCCCATACTCCAGGAAGGGCGTGCCGTGCGAGAGGGCTTGGCTTCCGAGACATCTACGAAGTCACTCGCGAGGGCTTGTAGCGCCTTTCCAGCGGTGATGCGCGATCGCGACCGCTGAAAATGGCCTACTGGAGCTCTTGGGAAGAAAAGCCGCAGTCTGTTCTCTCCCTAGGGGGCCTCTAGTGCAACTCGCATCCCTCCTCAGCCCATTATTAGGCACTAGCGCGACAGGACTGCAGCAGCTGCAGAGGCAGCGTGGCAAAAACTGCTGGTTGTGGCTGAAGCCGTTGCTGCTCCTGTTGAACGTTCCCAGCGTAGCCTAGATGCTGCCTCAGGCAGCCTTTGGCCACAATGAACATCCGTGAGGGTTCGTATGCGCGCTCATCCTTGTAGCTTCACTGAGCTGCCTCTGCCTCGTCCTCAGCTTCTTCTTGATCCTCGTCGTCGTCCTCCTCCTCGGGGTCGGTGATGCTCTCTGTATCGACGCGTCGCTGCCAATTCCAAGCCTCGCTGCCCTGGGAAGCTCGTTTCGCCTTTAGGGCTTGGAATTCTGCAAACGGCAGACGCGGAATCAGACACGGAAGGGAAGCAGACTGTGCATGCAGCAGCACAGCACAGAGGGGCTGACGAACGGGTTGCAAGCGGTAGACATACAGCCCCAAGAGGGATGCGGCAGCATCAGGCAGAGGAAACACCGGAATAGGAAGTACCACGACAAATTGTTCGTAGCAAAAAAACATCAAGGGGGAGGCAACAACGCAGAAAACAAACTGCAAAAGCCCACGACTCACCTGGTGAGGCCATGAGGTCGCGGACGGCAGCATAGGTTGATTCCTTCTTGTTGAATTCCTCTAGCGTCATTTGGTTCTGGCAATACTGCACGGGTGGGGGGTTCACTGCGGAGCGACAAGGAGAGCAGTGGCAGCGACGCAGTCTCTCTCTAGGAAGTGCGCGTCAAACGGCTCAAGAAACAGCGGGATAGAAATTACGACTCCATGTACAGAACTTCACGCGGGCTAGAGGGGTAGCAAGCGCAGGCCGATGGACTGCTCGATATTTTCACAAGGGACGTTTCAACCAATGCATGGATTCTTGTGATACATATATATATATATATTTATATGTATTTATATATATTTATATGTATCGCAAGAAATAGGTGCTCAGGTGGAACCAGAACACAAAGACACGACGGGTTCTACAAGCGGCTTGCCCTCTATTTCCCTTTCTCTCTTGTATGCCAGCATGCCTCGGATGAGGGATGTGACGAGCAGCAGCGTCAGCAGGGTGAAGGCCCCAAAGACTGCAGCGTCCAGGTACTGCCAGTCCGCAAGGACTGCAAGGCGAGCAGCAGCCTCCTTGAAGCCATGCTGATGCAGCATCAGCGCTGCCTCTTGCAGAAGGGGTCCCTGCATGCAGCAAGACAGCTACGGCAGCCCACGCCATAATCGGGGGCGTTGCAGGAGGGGCAGACACCGTACTGACCGATTCTGGAGATACGTAAACAGCTGGAAAGACGCTCAAAATACGCACCACACGGAAGGCCTTGGGTGTGGCTGATGCACGGGGAAGGGCGGCGAGAAGCTTGAGAACTTCCACGTGCAGCCAATGAGAGGACGGCAACCCATACAGGATGCCTGCAACTGCAACAACGGCACCCAGTGCAGCAACAGACAGCACGAACAAGAACACACCTCAGTCACACTGTCGGGATGGCCATACAAGGGCTCTTGTACTTCTGCAAGCGTAGCCACCTTAGCCCCAGGCAGTGCAGTGCCAACCATTTGCTTCCACAGAAGACATTAGGGGTCAGCTGGTCCCTTGGCTAAATAGATGCTGTGTACGACGCTAGCTGATGTACTAGGTAGCTTTCACAGAGCTAGGCAAATGAGTCAGCGGGAAGGGAAGGAGGGGACTGACTGGCAGCGCAGCCGAATCCAACTGAGTAGAAGATAAGATTTATCCAGAAGCTGCAACGCGAGGCCAAGGATACCTCGGGGGCTGTGCAAGAGCCATCTGGTTGATCTCCTGCACTTGAGTTCACCCACTTATCTTTTCTATGGGAGTCCTCTGCTGAATATGCCCAGGTGCTGCAGGCCTGCGCTGAGGGGTTGCCCGCTGCTGCAGACTGCGCCTGTTGAGCTGTTGCCTTCATTGCGTAACCAAGGAGTCCAGGGAGCAGGGAACAGCATGCAGAAAAGGAATTCTCTGTAATCAGGATTCTACGTTGCCGTCCGTGTCGCTGCTGCTACAGATGCAGCTGTCTGTACACTGGCGGATCAGGAGGGAGGGCCCTACGCCGAGACCTGCGGTCGGTAGGGGCGAGGGGCAGAAGGTTGCAGCCGACTAATAAATCCTTGCTGATGCCAATGATGAGGAAAAAAGAAACGGAACGCGAGCAGTTTCGCTTTGGAGGCTACGTCACTTGACCTCCCCCCTAGGGTGTACCTCCACCACCGTAGGCCGCGGTCACGGGAGGTTGGTGAGCAGGAGGGAAATCAGCAGTAAGACGCCTAATATAAGCAGGCAAATGGATGCAAAAAAGCGTTTAAAAACTCGGAGTGTTATGCCTTGAAAACCACCAAACCAACGTCTCCGTGTGCACACAGCCCCATGCCTGCACCACTCCTCTCCCCCCTTTCCCACCACAGCGCAGACGCAGAGGGGCACCTCTGGCATCATACAGCCTGGATATCCTGTCATGAAATTCGATTCATTTGTATGCTCCCCTTTAGTTTCATGAGTATGCACCGTTTAAAGCTGTGGCTACCTCCCCCCATCGCCTATTAGGCCTTATCTACTGGTTCTAAAGGCTGTCTTGGGGTTTGTTGAGGTATCTTCCACCTCTTTGGGCTTCCACTACCCCTGAAAAGGCATCTTTGGGCTTAGGAGGTACTTCGAGAGAGAGAAAAATGGAGTCAATGCTCTTCTCAGCTGCCACCCTCGGACTTTGGTATGAGATTTCTAGTGGCAAACATTCTAGTCTAAGGTTTATACCTTTATATTGTTGCGGGGATCTATCTTTATATGCTAAATTTCCATGATGTAGGCCCAGAATTAATTCAGTGTACGTGACACCTCTAAATTGCTC